CACCCATCAGTGTCTAACCCAGACCACGAAGCATTTGGATGTGACCGTTGAAAGCCTGCTTGTAATTTCTGGAGGGACCATTCCTCAAGTTGTTTCTTTAATTCACACCCAAGAGTGGACCCTCGAGAAGACAAATAGTCGTGATAAGCCCCTTGCAGCTGTGCTTTTCTGAATAACTGCAACGTGGAATCTCCCTCCCAGCTCCAGGTTAAATTTACAGGCAGCCATAATTCTGCATGCTCTTTGAAGATCATGACATAGGTTCTGTTTAACTGTGTAACGTTTTGATGAGACAAGCATGTAGCGTACCAGTTACTGGAAGAGACTTTAATACTACAAAGGACTGATTCTGTCCTGTTGGGAACATGTGGCCCAAACAGAAGTCCATAAGGGTGCGTAGCACAAGCAGGACCGTTTCAGTAACATCACTGTGCACACAGAGGGTGTAGTTGCCACCACTGGTAATGTACTCGCCATGTGAAAGAACGTGTTCCAAAAAGGAGAGTCTTAGTCTCCAAATTCAGGTATGAGCAGGGCTTAAAGCTTATTTCCCTTTTAGTTATACTATTGTTCCCGAAAGCCCATACTCTGACCAGGTGATAGGATCATTGGAGGGACTCCCAAACCTAATAGTCTGATTTGCAGGTACGGTAACCATGGGGACCCCAGTCAAGTGAGGTGTCATTATCAAGCCGGGGCCCTCGGCACGGCACAGACTTGTCTGCACCGAGACCGGTGGGCAGCCTGGAATGTCTGTCGCCAGTCCCTACCTGGACGGCATGTAGGATGGTCAGGCGTTTGTGTAGGCATTAGCGACCTCAGTAAGGTTAGTGGTAATAGCAGAAAATGAAGGTCAGATTTGCAAGCTTAGCATCTTTTTCGGGCTGATAGTACAGATACTCCTGAGGAGTGAGAGTAACACACTTACCACGTGCTGTTGTAGAAAGGCAAAGGGGGTGACTACACGATAAAGCCAAAGAGTCACTGAGTTGAAGCCACTCACATTTTCAGTTAAGGGTAAGACGGGGCATCTATTGACCTCCTGTCTGTAGGACGGTTAGATGACAAAGACGGTCAGCGTCCCACCACGTACTAACATTAAAAACGGGGTCCACTTGGCAAGGGACAAGAACCACCAGCCATGTCTGTCTGACTCGCTGAGATGCTTCCCAAGTACCGCCAGATCTGCGAGTAACCGGTTCTCCTCAGCTGCGGGGGCTGCCACGGCGGCAGGCTGGCTCGCTGCCCGCTGACCCAGTGTCTTCAGCTGCCCTCGGATAACGTCAGCTGCCTTCCGACTCATCACCGTGTGGTGGAAGGCCTAAAGTTATAACAGACTTAAACAAATGAGCAAAATCTTTAGTATTTTCTCCAGTCCCGGGGGTAGCATGCATTAAACCTGTATAAGTGTCCACAGTAGCATGTACAAGTTTAAACATGTAAAGAGTGGACACTGAGTAATATCAGTTTGCCAGGTAGCATCAGGCACCAGACCCTGTGGGTTGGCACCAAGCGCTAAGGAGAAAGGAGAGAACGCCATTGGCAGTCAGGACAAGTTTTAATAATTACATGGGCCTGAGCAAGCGTCAGATGAAACTGTTTAAGACTGAGCATTCTGATGAAAAAAAGCATGATCAGCATGAGCTCGCGAAAAATGCAGGAAAGTCTGCAAACCGATTCTGTGGTTGCCAGAGCGTCAGCTCCAGCTTTCCCTCCTGATAAGGGACCAGATAACCAAGAATGAGAGCAAAGATGGGTGATGCAAAGAGGGTGGCGATGGGCACAGGGGAGCTCTTCATTACTGAAGCTGGTGGGCTTCGTTAGTAATGCCTTTCACCTGTGCAGGACCTAAATGCGTGATGCTCTGAATCGCTAACCATGTTTATGTCTTGGTGAGAAAAAGTCTGCAAGGCCGCTCTGAGGGCACCTAACTCTGCCAGTTGCCTAAGTTTTAAGATGTTCCTGGATTCTGTGTTGTCAGTTTTGCCTGGCGTCTTGCACACTGGAGCGGTCTTTTCAGTCCCTTGAACCATCTGTAAAGACAGTGGTGGTGTCACACAAAGGCTCAGACACAGCAATAGATACAAATGTAACGGGCGCCGTTTGTAAAATCAGGATCACAAGCTGCGAGTGCGAAACGGTGCCTGCTTCACGGTCGGGAAGGGAGCAGCAGGGTCGTGTCTTGATAATCGTATGCAATGTTGGCACCGCTTTACGGGAAGAGAAGCTGTGAAATCTGTAGTGTTTTGTCTGTTTTTAGAGGGATTATGAGACAGGGACATAACATACAATACAGGAATGGCAAAAGATAAAGCATACCTATTAAAAGAAGGCATGGAAGGGACAGATAGTTTAAGTAACTTTTTACCGTGTTTTGGTTCTTGAAAGTCATTAGAATGTGACCACAAGTCACCAGGATGATAAACCTGCGATAAGTTAGGTTAAGTGTGTAAAAAAATAACAAAAACAAAACAAAACCCAAATACTTTAAAAAATGTTCTTCGGTGCTGGCCGTTTTCCTGCATTAGGCTTTAGCCGGATGCTGTAGGCGTGAGCGTGGGAAGGCACGGCTGTGGCCAGTTTCTTGCCGTCTGCGCGGGGCGCCTTAAGCAGCCTCTCTTTTTAATAGCTGCCACCTGTTGCTGCCTTTCCCCCGAGAGGAAGGAAGGCCATCAGTAGCAGGAAGAGGCTTACTGACCAGTGGGGAAGTGTGTGCGTGTAAGCACGGGGGCAGCAGGGAAGAGGGTCACAGGCTGGGAGAAGACACTCCCCTCATCCACCAGGCCACCTACGCTTCGAGCCACCCTGTTAAGTAAGGTACTGAAAATATACTGGGTTTTTTATGATTTTTACCACCCCCCCAAGCAGAGTGGCTCGGGGCAGAGCAGACATGCAGCACAGGGTCTGCTTTGAAGTGTCCTAGCCACGGTGTTTTTAAACATTTTATAAAAAAGCGAAAGAAACTTTCCTTACTGCTGCATTTACCTTCTGAAGATGATGGCAGCTGGCAGAGCTCACCCTCCCAGCCTACTCAGCATTTAACATATGGCAGCGGGAGAGCGCCCTCATTAGCGGGCTTCTCCCCCTGCTAATTTTTTCACCCCTCTGCTGACCTTAGCCTAGTAAGGTCGGGGTGCATGTGGACTGTTTCTTAGCCCTTTCCCCAGGGGCCAGGGAACACAAGGAATTGCTTGTCAGCTGACACATGCGAGGGGTGGCAGGAAAGGGCAGATGTAGGAAAAGTAGTGGCACAGCAGGCAGTGGGCTACCTTCTGGGCACAGTCACTGAGGCCCGTGACCGTGCTGAAGCGCGTTCTCAGGGCCGGACTGGAGCTGCCTGCTGCCACCGGGGACTCGGTCTGTGCCTCTTTGCCTCCCTTCCATCACCACAAACCCAGAAAGGGGCAACTTGCCTAGACACTCGTGACTAAATGGGCACTCCATGGCATCTCAGCAACTCTCCTGCACCAGGCCTCTGTGGGCAGCAAGAAAGCCAGAGCTTTCTGGGGTAAAAGCCAGGAGGCAGCAGGCAACTTTCCCTTATACTCCAGGGAGACAGAAAGAAGACAAGGCCAGGAAGGCTGGTGCTGGAAGTGGGAAGTGAGAACTTGTGTATTAGGAAGGTGGCCACAGTCAGCCACCCTCCTCCCCTCCGGGAGGCCCCGCGTGTGGTTTGTAGACGATCTTGACCGTGTATATGATGAAGGATCATACAGATGTTCGCTGAGCGGGGGTCTTATCTAAGAGCTGTCACTTAGCAGCCCCCTCTCCATAAGGGGGATGGGAAGCGCTGCTGCCTGAACAGGCCCTAGATGCAGGTCCCTATAAGGGTGGAGGAAAGGCTCCGGTCCGTCCTTCCGCACTAGAAGAATCTTCCTTATTTCCTGTAGAAGGGACTGAAGCAGGAGAGGGGCCTCTTCCTGTTGTTCTGGTTTCTGTGTTTCCTTCTCCGTTAAATCTGCTGAATTCCCTTCAGGTGGAGAAGGTGGAGTCTGACTCACTGCAATCTGGTAGATAAAGAGGATGCGGCAAAGAGCCGGCCAGCGCCCAGGTGCCGGAGAGTGAGATTAGTGAATAGCCTTGCTCACGTCCTCTTTTGAGGCAGTGACCTGACCTACCTGCTCCCGTAACCCTGCGTCTAAGGCTCCTTGATGAGGAAACCAGGAGCAGTCCTGCTGAATTAAGAGCATAAGCGTGTGTAGAGCTCCAGGCTCTGCAGTGCACTCCATAGTAGCTGTTTCTGTTTTAAAAAATACTTTCTGCTCTTTGGTCATTTCTTGAGCCATGATAAGCTAACTCCTGATATTTTACGCGTGCGTCCCGTCTCCTGATGGGAGTCAGGACTGTCCCTTACCGGGATTCCCCGAAAGCTGATGAGCTCTCCTCCTTCACGTGTAAGTTCAAGGTCATCACGTCTGGAGCACCAGTTGCAGAGCTTGCAGCTTTCCGTGAAAGCCAAGAACAAAGTACTCAGTTCCAGCTGAGCAGGGCTCGGAGGTAGCTCTTCCTAGGGAGTCTGCCCCAGCCAAATATTTACCGAAAGGACTTGTGTTAACTGCAGACACCCACTAGATGGCCATTTGAGGTGGTTGCTGAGGCACCTGTGACCTTGTACACGCTGTTTTCAGCATTCCTTATCATGGCACACACTCCACTCCCTGTCCTGTTTTCAGGGTCAAGGAGTTTCATGCCCATGCACAAATCACACACACAGTGCCTCAGTATTTTTCCATGCCTGGACCTCAAGTGCCAGGTAAGTAAATCTGGATATGCTGCCATGTGCCCCCCACATTATCTAACTGGGAGGCTTCAGATTCTGAGAACTAACCTATTGTCTGCCCTATGCATCTTCAAAATGTTAAGTTATTTTTGTTGGGAAAGCCAGGAACAGGGCAGCCATGTGGCCACACCGTCAGAGTTGTGAGATGAGGAAGGCGGGCCCTCATTCAGTTCTAGTAATTGGAATATGTCTGACCCTGTGTGTCCCACTCTGTCCCCAGAGCCCAAGGTGGTGTTTGCCAAGGACCAGGTGTCATGCGGTGAGGTGCAGGCCGAGGCAGGGGCCAGCGCCATGCTGAGCTGCGAGGTGGCCCAGGCCCAGACGGAGGTGACATGGTACAAGGACGGGAAGAAGCTGAGCTCCAGTTCGAAGGCACATGTGGAGGCCAAGGGCTGCACACGGAGGCTGGTGGTGCAGCAGGTGGGCCAGGCGGATGCCGGGGAGTACAGCTGCGAGGCCGGGGGACAGAGGGTCTCCTTCCGCCTGCATGTCACAGGTGGGTTTCTTGAGATCTTTTTTGTATTCCTTAGGATAATTTTGAATGACATTAGTGTGGAGGTGCCACCTAATTGCCTCTTTTCTCACGAAGCTTCCCCTATAATAACAACTAGAAGGTATTAATTTTGTGCCAAGGGCATAGGTTTTGTGAAGTGCTACTTGTCTTTCTGCTTACTTAAATTTCAAAACAGTTCTGTGAGAAAAACTCTGATAATTCCCATTTTAAGATAACACACAAGGAAGTAACACACCACAGGTCACAGAGCCAGAAAACTGCAGTCAGGATTTGGACCTAGTATTCTGGGATTATTATTCTTTCTTTCTGAAGAGTTCTATCTTCAGTATCATGTTAGCAGCTCTGCTGGTTTTATATATTCTCTTTTTCTCGTGTGAAAACATATTTGTTCTCCCTTTGATTCTGTTTTATCTGGGTATGGCATTACAGTTTAGCAGCCCCGTAACATTTTAAGGAGGTCATTCCATTGTCTTCTGAGTTTCATATTTCTGTTGAAATATCAGCTGCAAGATTTACTGTGGACATTTTAAGGGTGATGTATCTTTTTTCCTCCTGTTGATTTTAAGATTTTCTTTCTGAGTTTGTTTTGTGGTAGTTTTCCTTTTGTGAACATAGGCGAGGTTTCCTTTGCCTTCATCCTGGTTGGACTGTAGAGCGTCTTGAGTCTGTGGGTTTATGTCTTTCATCAGTTGTTTTCTGTTACTGAATCCTGAAGCTTCAGTGCCTGTGAAATGGGTTGGTCCCTGATTTGTGTCTCTGACTGTGCATCCCTCTTTGTCCACCCTCAGAGCCCAAGGCGGTGTTTGCCAAGGAGCAATCGGTGCACAATGAGGTGCAGGCTGAGGTGGGGGCCAGCGCCACGCTGAGCTGTGAGGTGGCCCAGGCCCAGACGGAGGTGACGTGGTACAAGGACGGGAAGAAGCTGAGTGCCAGCTCAAAAGTGGGCATGGAGGGCAAAGGCTGCATGCGGAGGCTGGTGGTGCAGCAGGCGGGCAAAGCAGATGCTGGGGAGTACAGCTGCGAGGCCGGGGGCCAGAGAGTCTCCTTCCGCCTGCACGTCACAGGTGAGTTTCTTGAGGCCTTTCTTGTGCTTTTAGGATAATTTTTAGGGACTTGGGATACATATGGAGGTCCCACCCAGTGGCTTTTTTTCTCATAAAGCCTCCCTGGTAATAACAACTAGCAGGTATTAATTTTGTGTCAAAGGCCTAGATTTTGTGAAGTGCTTCTTGTCTTTCTGCTTGCTTAAACGTCAAAACGATTTGTTAGGAGGAACTCTGATTATTACCATTTTAAGATAACACACAAGGAAGTAACTCACCACAGGTCAGAAAGCCAGAAAACTGCAGTCAGAATTTGGACTCAGTATTCTGGGATTATTCTTTTTTCTTCTTGTAAACTATGACTTCAGTATTGATGTTAGCAGGTCAACTGCTCATAAGTACGCATTCTGTTACTTTTTATTTCTCCTATGAACACATATTTGTTCTCCCTTTGATTCTGAGAGCTGTTTTATCTGGGTATAACACTACAGTTTTGCGGCCACTCCCCCACTCCCTAACATTTTAAAGAGGTCATGCCATTATCTTCTGGCGTCCATATTTTCTTTGCAATTATGAACTGTGAAATTTGTTGTGGGTATTTTATGGGTCATGTACCTTGTCTCATCATGTTGCCTTTCAGATGTTCTTTTTGATTTTGCTTTGGGTTAGTTTTTTTTGATGAACGTACATGAGGTTTCCTTTGTCTTCATCCTGGTTGGACTGTAGAGCATCTTGAGTCTGTGGGTTTATGTCTTTCATCAGTTGTTTTCTGTTACTGAATCCTGAAGCTTTAGTGCCTGTGAAATGGGTTGGCCCCAGATTTGTGTCTCTGACTGTGCATCCCTCTTTGTCCACCCTCAGAGCCCAAGGTGGTGTTTGCCAAGGAGCAGTCGGTGCATAATGAGGTGCAGGCTGAGGCGGGGGCCAGTGCCACACTGAGCTGTGAGGTGGCCCAGGCCCAGACGGAGGTGACGTGGTACAAGGATGGGAAGAAGTTGAGCTCCAGCTCAAAAGTGGGCATGGAGGGCAAAGGCTGCACGCGGAGGCTGGTGGTGCAGCAGGCGGGCAAAGCAGATGCTGGGGAGTACAGCTGCGAGGCCGGGGGCCAGAGAGTCTCCTTCCGCCTGCACGTCACAGGTGAGTTTCTTGAGGCCTTTCTTGTGCTTTTAGGATAATTTTTAGGGACTTGGGATACATATGGAGGTCCCACCCAGTGGCTTTTTTTCTTATAAAGCTTCCCTTGTAATAACAACTAGCAGGTATTAATTTTGTGTCAAAGGCCTAGATTTTGTGAAGTGCTTCTTGTCTTTCTACTTGATTAAACTTCAAAACGATTTGTTAGGAGGAACTCTGATTATTTCCATTTTAAGATAACACACGAGGAAGTAACTCACCACAGGTCAGAAAGCCAGAAAACTGCAGTCAGAATTTGGACCCAGTATTCTGGGATTATTCTTTTTTCTTCTTGTAAACTATGACTTCAGTACTGATGTTAGCAGGTCAACTGGTCATAAGTACGCATTCTGTTACTTTTTATTTCTCCTATGAACACATATTTGTTCTCCCTTTGATTCTGAGAGCTGTTTTATCTGGTTATAACACTACAGGTTTGCGGCCACTCCCCCACTCCCTAACATTTTAAAGAGGTCATTCCATTATCTTCTGGCGTCCATGTTTTCTTTGCAATATGAACTGTGGCCAGGTATGGTGGCTCATGCCTGTAATCCCAGCACTTTGGGAGGCTGAGGTTGGGATGGCACAAGGTCAGGAGATCGAGACCATCCTGGCAAACATGGTGAAACCCTGTTTCTACTAAAAATACAAAAACTTAGCCAGACGTGGTGGCATGCGCCTCTAGTCCCAGCTACCCTTGAGTCTGAGGCAGGAGAATCACTTGAGCCAGGGAGCCAGAGGTTGTAGTGAGCTGAGATCATGGCATCGCACTCTAGCCTGGGCAACAGGGCGAGACTCTGTCTCAAAGAAAAAGAAAATAAATATGAACTGTTAAATTTGTTATGGATATTTTTAGGGTCATTTATCTTTTTTCATCCTGTTGATTTTAAGATTTTCTTTCTGAGTTTGTTTTGTGGTAGTTTTCCTTTTGTGAACATAGGTGAGGTTTCCTTTGCCTTCATCCTGGTTGGACTGTAGAGCGTCTTGAGTCTGTGGGTTTATGTCTTTCATCAGTTGTTTTCTGTTACTGAATCCTGAAGCTTCAGTGCCTGTGAAATGGGTTGGTCCCTGATTTGTGTCTCTGACTGTGCATCCCTCTTTGTCCACCCTCAGAGCCCAAGGCGGTGTTTGCCAAGGAGCAATCGGTGCACAATGAGGTGCAGGCTGAGGTGGGGGCCAGCGCCACGCTGAGCTGTGAGGTGGCCCAGGCCCAGACGGAGGTGACGTGGTACAAGGACGGGAAGAAGCTGAGTGCCAGCTCAAAAGTGCGCATGGAGGGCAAAGGCTGCACGCGGAGTCTGGTGGTGCAGCAGGCGGGCCAGGCGGACGCCGGGGAGTACAGCTGTGAGGCCGGGGGCCAGAGGGTCTCCTTCTACTTGCATGTTTCAGGTCAGTGCTTTGAGGGTAGTGACTTTGCCTTCTGTGGAGGTGATGATGAGACTGGCTGATAGACTCTGGTGCTCTTTCCATTAGCCTTTACCTCTGTTGTTTCCTATTTTCCCAATTTCTATTTCATAACTGGTGTGGTCAAGGGAGGCCAGATGGGAAGGGTGTATGTGGAGGGAGAGGGGATCTTGTTGTGTACCTGGAGTGGTATTTCCATGCGATAATACTCAATCATACATTCCCATCATCTGCCTAGAACCTTGCTGGTCTTCCTTTGTGTCTCTGTCATCCAGGGCAGAGCCTGAGCCTGGGGAAGGTTCTGTCCCTCCCACCTCCCTTCCAGTGCTGCCTTCCTGACCGAGATGGTGGAGGTCACCCTGTGCACCCTTGTCTTCCCCAGAGCCCAAGGCAGTGTTTGCCAAGGAGCAGCCAGCACGCAGGGAGGTGCAGGCCGAGGCGCGAGCCAGTGCCACGCTGAGCTGTGAGGTGGCGCAGGCCCAGACGGAGGTGACATGGTACAAGGATGGGAAGAAGCTGAGCGCCAGCTCGAGAGTGCGTGTGGAGGCTGCAGGCTGCACGCGGAGGCTGGTGGTGCAGCAGGCGGGCCAGGCGGACGCCGGGGAGTACAGCTGCGAGGCCGGGGGCCAGAGGCTCTCCTTCCACCTGCACGTGGCAGGTGAGTGCTTTGAGGCGCTCAGGAGCCTCTTCGGAGATGGTGGTGGTTCTGGCTGGCAGCCCCAGCAGAGCTCTGTGCACGTTCCTTCAGCGTTCATGTCTCGGGCTTCCCATCCTCCCGCTGCCATTTCCATTCTTGAGGCTGGACCAAGGGAGGGGTGTGCATGGGAGGGAGAGGGGCCCGGCGGCGTGTTTGCACTTGGTAATGTTCAGTCACATGTTCCTAGCCCAGAGCCTTCCTGGTGCTCCTTGACATCTGGGACTCTGGATGTTCCTGGTCTTGGGTTTGAGGTTGACCAGGCATCTCTCCTGAGACTCTGTGAATATCTTGTCAGTATATGTTCTGGCAGCTACCATATGCCCTCACCCCGCAGCTCATACTAGTTCTGGTCAGCAAGAGATGTTTTAATTTTATTGAACCTGGATTAGGGGAGATTTTGGCTACACCATCATACGACTTAGATTTATCTCAAGAGTGAAGTTTGAATAATTTGATTTCAGGTTTCTGGGACACCCTTCCTTTTCATAGATGTAGAAGCCCTTTGTTACCTATATGTAGCCAAATATGGGTGCGTATTTTGGTGTAATGTCTTTTTAAAGGGAACGGGGATCAGAGGATTGGGAGACACTTGCCTGTGTTCCTGAGGAGTTTGTTTTAAAGCAAAGAATGTTTTGCCTTTTTCTTCAGTTACGCTGTTGCTCCCTGTCAGAGTCCCTTTCGAGATGTGTTTATAAACTTAGGGGTGGCAGCGTGCAGGCAGCTCCTGCGACATCAACATGCTTTGTTAACAAGCCCTAGCCACTCACTAGGAAAGCAGTATTATTTCCCAGTACTGTCCTGATGGTCAGTGTGTGTATGAGTCCGGCTTCTCTAGAGGAGCAGGACTAATGGGATAGCTGTGTCTATGAAAGGGAGTGTATTAAGGAGCGCTGGCTCACACGGTCACAGGGCGATGCCCCATGGTAGGCCATCTGCAAGCTGAGGAGCAAGGAAGCCAGTCCGAGTCCGAAAACCTCAAAAGTAGGGAAGCCGAGAGTGTAGCCTTCAGTGTGTGGCTGAAGTTCTGAGAGCCCCTGGCGAACCACTGGCGTAGGTCCAAGAGCCTAAAAGCTGAAGAACTCGGAGTCCGATGTTCACGGGCTGGAAGCGTCCTGCGTGGGAGAAAGACGGAGGCTGGAAGAGTCAGCCAGTCCAGTCCTTCCATGGTCCTCTGCCTGCTTTTATCCTGGCGGTGCTGGGATTAGAAGGTGCCCACGCAGACTGAGGGTGGGTCTGCCTCTCCCGGCGCGCCAACTCAAACGTTCAGCACCCTCACAGACACACCCAGGAATAAAACTTTGCATCCTCCAATCCAGTCAAGTTGACACTCAGTATCGCCTATCATAAGTCCACCCCTTGTCAACTTGAACTCATACACAACTCCTAAGGTCATACATGATCTTCAAATAAAGACAGTAATAAGGTCACAATTACACCTAACATAATACAGCTATCCTTCGTACAAGCAGAAATGCACCAGTCCCCAACCCACATGCTGTTACGTAGAGTTAACACTGAAATGCTGATATTGATTCAGTAAGTGCTATAGCACGACAAAGGAAATAAGATGAAGCTTTTTAGTACAAGTGTAAACACGCACAAACATGTTTTAATAAAAGGAGGAAACAGTGACAATTACAGTCCTCGGTTCTGCAGCTGCTCACGTGGTCGTAGCTGGTATTGATGACCACATTCTTCTACTCCCCATTCTGTATTCCTTCAGCAAGCACCTCAGCAGGTGAGTTTTTGTCCTGGTGGAGTGACCCACATCTTCATTCCTGAAGGGTCTGGGCCACTGTAGTCCTGCCTGGACTGGGCTATTGTACTTTGCCCTTGATCTTCATCGCAGGGCGTGGTCATACTGAGAGACGCCCTAAGGGATCTCCTGTGTTCCATGCATACACCTCCTTACCTCCATTGTGGCGTAGGAGACTGATTTCATCTTGATAGTCCAGGTCAGTCACCCCAGCCAACAACGTAACTCCTTAGCCTGTTGACCTAAAGGTAGGAGGAGCCCAAAGTGGGCAGGTGGCAATCTTCACTTCCAGTTTAATGGGATCATTGTCATGTCCCTGGTTGCGGCGTTCCTACCTCTGGAGCTAAGACCTCTAGACCAGCAGAATGTAGTGTCATGGGAACAGGAAGCAAAAACTTTGCTAGTGGGTCACTGGGGGTGATGGTGAGTGGTACCACTTCTACCCCTTGGTTCCTGGACTTGTGGATCTGGCTATGGGAGAACCACTATACTGTACTGGACACTGATTCAGCGCATACACAGCCTCTGGAGGACTTTGCCCCAGCCTTGCAAAGTAGTATCACCTAGCTGGCATTGGAATTGTGACTTCAAAAGGCCATTCCACTGTTCTGTCAATCCACCTGCCTCAGGATGATAGGACCATGGTAGGACCACTGCATTCCATGAGCATGAGCCACTGCCACACTTCGTTAGCCACAGAATGCCTTGGTCAGAGGCAGTGCTGTGTGGAATACCATGACGGTGGATAAGGCATTCTGTGGGTCCACGGATGGTAGTTTTGGCTGAAGTGTTGTGTGCAGGACAGGCAAACCCATATCCAGAGTGTCTGTTCTGGTGAGGACAAACAGTTGCCCTTTCTGTGATGGAAGAACTCCAGTATAATCAACCCGCCATCAAGTAGGGGGCTGATCACCCTGAGGAATGGTGGCATGTCCAGGGCTCCGTGTTGGTCTCTGCAGCTGGCAAATTGGGCACTCAGCAGTGGCCGTAGTCAGGACAGACTTGGTGAGTGGAAATCCGTGTTGCTGGGCCCATGAATAACCTCCACACCTGCCGCCATGGCCACTTTGTTCATGGGCCCATTCCATGATGACCGAGGTGGCTGGGGAAGGAGGCTGAGTGCCGTCCACAGAACAAGTCACCCTATCCACTTGATTATTAAACTCCTCTGCTGAGGTCACCCTTTGGTGGGCATTCATGTGAGATGCACATATCTTCACAGTTTTTGATCACTCAGAGAGGTCCATCCACATACCTCTTCCCCAGTTTTCCAATCATGCTTCTTCCAAGTCCCTGGCCATCCAGCCAGACCGTTGGCTACAGCCCATGAATCACTGTATAATCGCACATCTGGCCGTTTCTTCTTCAAGCAAAGTGCACAGTGAGAGGTGCACTGCCTGAAGTTCTGCCCACGGGAAGCTTTCCCTTCGCTGCTGTCCTTTGGGGATGTAACCCCTTCAAAAGGGCTGCAGTGCTGTAGCTCTCCACTTTCGGGTGGCGCCTGCAAGTCGTGCAGAACCATCTGTGAACCAGGCCCTAGTCTTCTCTCCCTCTGTCAGCTGATCATAGGGAACTTCCCATGAGGCCGTTGGTGCAGGCTGGGGGAGAGAAGGCAGGGTGGCAGGAGTGGGGACCGTGGGCATTTGAGTCACTTCCTCTTATAACTTCATTGTGCCTTCAGGACCTGCTTGAGCCTGATCACAGATATGCCACTTCCATTTCATGCTGGAATGCTGCTGCGCATGCCCAACTTTATGGGTAGATGGGTCAGAAAACGCCCAGTTCCTGATAGGCAGTTCAAATGCTCAGTGTCCACCAAAGCCCTGTAACAGGCCAAGAGCTGTCTCTCAAAAAGAGAGTAGTTATCTGCAGGAGGTGGCAGGGCCTTGCTCCAAAAGCCTAGAGGCCTCTGCTGTGATTCACCTATGGGGGCCCTGCCCAAGGCTCCAGACAGCATCCCAACTGCCACTGACAGCTCAGGCACCATTAGATCTGCTGGGTCATATTGCCCAAGAGGCAGAGCAGCTGGCACAGCAGCCTGGACCTGGTGCAGAGCCTCCTTCTCTTCTGGACCCCACTCAAAACTGGCAGCTTTTTGGGTCACTTCATAAATGGTCCAGAGTAACACACCCAAACAAGGAATGTGTTGCCTCCAAAATCCAAATAGGCCTTATGCCCCTTTCTGGTTGAAGGAGGGGCCTTTACCTTAGAAGGAATATCTCGACAGGCCCCACACCACTGGATCCCTGGAAATTGTACTGAGGTAGCAGGTCCCTGAATTGTGGTCAGATCTATTTTCCATCGTCTTGAATGCACATGTCTTACCAGTAAGTCCAGTGTGTTTGTTGCTGTATGTCTCTGCTCCCTTGGCTGGTGCGTAGGGAAGCCTGAGAAATACAGTTAATTTCCTGTGTTTTTTTTTAAAGAGAGTATTGAATAGGGGTAGGCTGAAGTCTCATGGTGACCTCTGGGTGCTAAAACCTAAGTTTGGTATTATATCAGAATCAGTGTTATGTGGATGTGTATAGATAGCAGAAATCTCACCATATATTTTAGTTATTTTTGAAGAATATGACAAAATATTTTAAGTAATCAATTTTAAAAGTTGTGACAATTTGGCTCATTCCTAGTAAACGACATGAAAACTCATGTAAGAGGATACAGAAAACTTAACTAGTCCTGTAAGTTTTAGATAGATGGAGGTAGTGATAACAGAAATCTTTAAAACCCAGTAATTTTCTAGTAAACTGTTTCAGATATTCTGGAAAGCAGTTATTCCATATTCATGGATATTGTTCTAGAGAACGGAAAAAGGAGATTGACCTCTGTATGCCATTTTATGTATGTATATATGATGTATTTTGAGGCAGGTCCTCACTCTGTTGCCCAGGCTGGAGTGCAGTGGTGTGATCTCAGCTCACTGCAGCCTCCGCCTCCTGGGTTCAAGTGATTCTCCTACCTCAGCCTCCTGAGTAGCTGGGGTTACAGGCACGCACCACCACCAAAAAGTAGCACATGCACCAGCTATTTTTTGCATTTTTTTTTTCAGTAGAGATGGAGTTTTGCCATGTTGCCTAGGCTAGTCTCAAACTTCTGGGCTCAAGCTATGTACCCGCCTCAGCTTCCCACAGTGCTGGGATTACAGGTGTGAGCCGCTGTGCCCAGGCTGCCATTTTGTATAGATAGTTTAACATTAATGCCAAAATCTGACAAAGGAAGTAGGAAGAATTAGATTGTAGACCGATCTGTATGCATTTGTCACTGTAGATATCAAGAACACAATTATAAACAAAGTTTTAGCAAATGGAATTCAGCAATATCTCAGGAAGACAGTGCAGCTGTTGAAGACCCTGGTCCCAGAATACAAGGCTGGTTTGGTTTCAGAAGCATTAGATCAGTATAATAAGCTTGGCAGATGGAATGAAAAATGATGAAATTGATAAATGCAGATAAAAGTATTTGATAAAATCTAGATGACACATTTAAGAAAATTTAGCATCAACTTATTTCATAAGATTCTTAACAAACTTTATAGAAGTGTTCTTCCTGAATTTGATAAGTTAAGGCTGATTTGGCTTTAGAATTAGGCATATCCATGATGGGAGCTGTGCAGGTGTCAGGACCGCAGTCCCCACCCTGGAGGAGCTCGTGCCCGGAGGGTCTGTCTCAGCTGCCCTGCCGGGGATAGCCCATGGCTCCATTCACAGTGGATGGAGAAATTGATTCTTGTGCTGGGGGCGGTGGGGCTTGTCCTGGCCACACGGCGGTGCAGAGCCTGAGGAAGGTTCTGTTCCTCCTGCTCCCTCGTCCAGGCGCTCCTACCCTAGGGTGGCCTTCCTGACCTGGGCGTATCTTTGATCTCGTGTGTCCTTTCTTGTCCATCCCCAGAGCCCAAGGCAGTGTTTGCCAAGGAGCAGCCGGCACGCCGGGAGGTGCAGGCCGAGGCGGGGGCCAGCGCCACGCTGAGCTGCGAGGTGGCCCAGGCCCAGACGGAGGTGACGTGGTACAAGGACGGGAAGAAGCTGAGCTCCAGCTCGAAAGTGCGCGTGGAGGCCGCGGGCTGCACACGGAGGCTGGTGGTGCAGCAGGCGGGCCAGGCGGATGCCGGGGAGTACAGCTGTGAGGCCGGGGGCCAGAGGCTCTCCTTCTGCCTACAGGTGGCAGGTCAGTGCCTTGGGGATGCTGAGTGACCTTGTGTAGAGGTGTGATGAGACTGGTGGATGACCCCACAGACCACAGTGCCCTTTCCATGAGACTCCACCTCTCCACTTGTCCATGCCCTCACCTCCCCCAGTTTTATGCCCATGGCTGTGCCAGGCTTGGACAGACGGGAGGGTGCGGGGAGGGCCAGGCCTGTGGTGCACCTGGAGTGGCATTCCCATGCAGTGTAACCTCATCACACTGAGCCCTGCCCCAAAACCCCTGTACTCTTTGGTGTCCAGGTCCCTGGCGCTGTCTGGCCATGTGGTCTGAGGTGGACCAGGCATCACCCCGGGAATGTGGGGATGTCCTTTCTATCCAGTAGCTCCTACATGCCTCCCTTCAGCACCACATGGGGCTTCTCACCCGTGAGAGATGTTTGAATTCATATGAATTATGTAGGAGGAAATTCTGGCCACGCAGTCCCAGCTAGGATTCTCTCCAGACTGAACTTTGGGGCGTCAAAGTTTTTGGTGTCAAAGAAGCCTCTTTCCTTCTTTTTCTTGAATCTAGAAGCTTTAGAAGCTCACTGTGCACCCATATGTGGCAAAATCTCTGTCCGTGTTTTCTTGCAATGTCTGTGCAAAAAAATTGGAGCCAAGAGAGCTGGTGACTATGCTCCTGGGGTACAACTGCAAGATTCCAAGTGCTCTTCTTGAGGCAAACCTGGCTTTCCTTTTGTCTCCAGTTACAACCTTCTGAGTCAGAATTTGTTTTTGGAGTCTGATTTATGGATTTAGCAGTGGAAAGGAAGAAAGAGATTAAGCTATCTCAGCGCACCATTGCAGAGAGTCTGGGCTGGACACCTGTTGTATTCCCAGCCCTTTGGGAGGACAAGGCAGGAGGGTTACTGGAACCCAGGAGTTCCAGGCTGCAGTGAGCTGTGGTCATCACACCACTGCACTCCAGTGTGGGCAACAGTGAGACCCTATTTCTGGAAAAAAACCCAAAAAAACAGGCTAAATATCAGAGAGAAAAACGTTGTGGTACTACATTTTCACCCAAATGCCAACACGTGACAACTTGGCATTCTATCTGTGTAAAATCATTAAAAAGCCCACTATGTATCTTTCCAAAATATTGTGTTAAGAGAGTATGATAAATTACTTAATGGTAATAAGTTTTCTAAGTTTTGAAGAATTACCAATTTCTTAGAGAAAACTATGGAAAAAGTTACACAAGAAGAAACAGACAACTCAGATCGTCCTATAGTTTTTAATTAAGTGGAACCAGTGATAAAAAATATTTTTATGAAAGGTCTAAGGCCAGTGGATCTACTGATAAATTATATCAAATATTCTCAAAGCGAAGTGTTTCATGTTCTTAGAGATCCTTCCAGAGAACAGAATGAGAAGAACACTCTTGAACCTGTTTTATGTGGATAGCATAACACAGATACCAATTGTGACAAGAAGAGTATAAGGATTTGAAATTGCAGGCCAGTCCTTATGGATATCCAGGCCAATGCTTCAACAAAGTATTTTCTTTCTGAGATGGAGTCTTGCTCTGTCGCCAGGCTGGAGTGCAGTGGCACAATCTCAGCTCACTGCAACCTCCGCCTCCCAAGTTCAAGTGATTCTCCCGCCTCAGCCCCCTGAGTAGCTGGGACTATAAGCACGCGCCACCACACCCAGCTAATTTTTGTATTTTTAGTAGAGACGGGGTTTCACCATGTTGGCCAGAAGGGTCTCGATCCCTTGACCTCATGATCTGCCCGCCTCAGCCTCCCAAAGTTCTGGGATTGCAGGCGTGAGCAATATGACCAGTATGTCAAAAGGAAAGTGCACTATGATAAAAGGCATAGTTTAGAAATGCAACATTGGTTCAATATTCAAAACACCAGAAAATGTCATGTGTGACATTAACAGACTGAAAGAGAAAAACAATGAGATTATCTCAATAAATGCAGAAGAAAAGTTTGATGAAATTTAACATGACAAATTCTGAATAGCTGTTTGACAACATTTAGCATCAAAACTGGCTCAGTGCCTCATGCCTGTAATCCCAGCACTTTGAGAGGCTGAGGCAGAAGGATCACTCGAGTTCAGGCATTCGAGACCAGCCTCCCATGCAGCAGGGACCACTGGAACCTGCCACCATTCTGCAGGGCGCCCTGGGGGTGTGACAGACGCTCCATGCAGAATGGATGGAGAAACTGTTCCTTGTGCTGGGAGGTGGTGGTGCAGAGCCTGGAGAGCGGCTGTCCCTTGCACTTCCCCTTCTAGGCCTTCTTTCCCCAGTGCTACCTTCCCGACCTAGATGGTGGAGGTCACCCTGTGCACCCTTGTCTTCCCCAGAGCCCAAGGCAGTGTTTGCCAAGGAGCAGCCGGCACGCAGGGAGGTGCAGGCTGAGGCGGGGGCCAGTGCCACGCTGAGCTGCGAGGTGGCCCAGGCCCAGACGGAGGTGACGTGGTACAAGGATGGGAAGAAGCTGAGCTCCAGCTCGAGAGTGCGTGTGGAGGCCGCGGGCTGCACGCGGAGGCTGGTGGTGCAGCAGGCGGGCCAGGCAGACACCGGGGAGTACAGCTGCGAGGCCGGGGGCCAGAGGCTCTCCTTCCGCCTGCACATGGCAGGTCAGTGCCTTGGGGATACTGAGTCACCTTGTGTGGAGGTGATGATGAGATTGGCTGGTAGACCCCAGTACTCTTTCCATTGGAGTTCATCTCTGGAAGTGTCTCATAATTCTACCTGCCATTTTCCTACCCATGCTGGACCAGGGTTGGCTGGATGGGATGAATGTGTACAAGAGATGCCGTGAGTTGTGTTTCCAGGCAATAATGCTGTTTACAAATTCCCAGCCCCCGGTGAGAACCCACAGGTGCTCCTAGGTGTCCAGCCCTTTGGCTCAATGGAACTGAGGGGGCTGCTACAGGGGGCTGAAGCAGACCAGAAACCTCTCACCTGAGGCCATCCGATAACTTGCACCCAGCCTCACCAGCCCGACCTGAGGGCTCTCCCTATGGAGATCGGTGAATTCCATTGAACCAGGCTAAGGGCAAATTTCAGCCACACAATCATTCCTGGAATTATCCCATGACTTTGGATTGTCCAAGTTTTAGGAGTTCAGGGACCCTCTTCTCAAATTTCTTATGGGCATAAAAGGTCTCTGCGCACCTGCATGTGGCAAAATCGATATCCTGTGCCTTTTTTGTTTTGTTTTTGAGACAGAGTGTGTCACCCAGGCTGGAGTGCAGTGGGTGATATCAGCTCACTGAAACCTTTACCTCCTGGGTTCAAGCGACTCTCCTGCCTGAGCCTCCTGTGATTACAGGCACCTGCCACCACACCTGGCTAATTTTTGTATTTTCAGTAGAGATGGGCAGGCTGGTCTCAAACTTCTGGCTTCAAGTGATCCGCCCGCCTCAGCCTCCCAAAGTGCTGGGATTGCAGGCATGAGCCACTGTGCCCAGCTTGTTTTTATTATACTGCCTGCAGAGTGAATACAGAGCCTGGGAATTGGTGCAGCACTGTGAGGTTTGACGTTCCCTTCTGAAAGTGTACGTTATTTTTATTTGCTGTTATTCAGTATATTCTATGACTGAACTTCCCTTAGTTTAATTTCGTGTATTTATAACTTAAGAGGAGTAAACAGATCAAGCTACATCAGCACGCTTTTTTTTTTTTTTTTTTTGAGACGGAGTTTCGCTCTTGTTACCCAGACTGGAGTGCAATGGCGCGACCTCGGCTCACCGCAACCTCCATCTCCTGGGTTCAAGCAATTCTTCTGCCTCAGCCTTCTGAGTAGCTGGGATTACAGGCACGCGCCACCATGCCCAGCTAAATTTTTGTATTTTTAGTAGAGACGGGGTTTCACCATGTTGACCAGGTTGGTCTCAATCTCTTGACCTCGTGATCCACCCGCCTCGGCCTCCCAAAGTGCTGGGATTACAGGCATGAGCCACCGTGCCCGGCCTAGCACACGTATTAAAGATGAATCACCGTACAGCAGCCATGGGCAGGTCAAGCGAGGTGTGTTTCATACTGTTGTCTAATAATTCATGGCTGGTTGATGAAGAGGTCTGAGAGCCAGCTCTCCCTTCCTTTTGTCAGATGGAGATGGAGTGCAGTCACACACGTGTTCACAGGTACCTGGTGTCACATCAGCACCTAGAAGTTTGTGCCAAAAATCCCACTTTGTAGGTATTTGAAATGTTGTTATGTGAGAACATGTCATTATTATTGTTATTTTGAAATGGAGTCTCACTCTGTCACCTAGGCTGGAGTGCAGTGTGTGATCTTGGCTCACTGCAGCCTCTGCCTCCTGCCTTCGAGCAACTCTCCTGATGCAGCCTCCCGAGTAGCTGGGACTACAGGTGTACACCACCATATCTGGCTATTTTTTTTTGCATTTTTAGTAGAGATGGGGCTTCATTATGTTGGCCAGGTTGGTCTCAGGCTCCTGACCTCAGGTGATCTGCCCGCCTCAGCCTCCCAAAGTGATGGGATTACAGGTGTGAGCCACCATGCCTGGCCCTATTATTTATGCAAGTAAATTTGAAAAGTTTTGGCAAAAACTTCTGAAAAAACTATATCAAAAGTAGAAATAGATACGTTTAACAGTCCTATAACCTTTTGTAGAAATGCAACAAATAATCTTCTCATAGAATAATATCTACCCAGTGCTCTAAACTGTACCAGATATTCTGGAAGGAAATTATTCCATGTTCATACACATTCCTCTATAGTATTGAAAAAGGACGTCAGTCCTCGATCTCATTTTATATAGGTAAATATCATTAATACCAAACTCTGACAGGGTGAATATGAGGAATTAAAACTGGCCAATCTCTTATCAATATTAATGCTCATATCTTAAACTTAAATATTAGCACCCTGAATTCACCAATTGATCAAGAGGGTAACACACAATGATAAAAGTCACAGTCCAGGAATGCAAGGCTGGTTTAACATGAGAAACATTAGAAAATCAGTACAAAATATGACGTCAACAGATTGAAAGAAAAACAAATGTGATTACCTCAATACAGAGTCTAAAAGTATTTGATAAAATACGACATCATCAATATGCAAAAAATATTTGGAAAAATTTAGCATCAATTCATGTCATACAATTCTTAACAAACTCTAAATAGAAACATTTTTCCTTAATGTCACAAGTGATACTGTAGAGAAAATAAGCCAACGTTACACAAACATGAAACCTTGGAAGTGTCGCCTTTGAGGCTGGAGGCAGGACAAGGATGCCACCCATCACCACTTCTTCCAACACTGTACAGTGCAGAGGGGAGAAGAAGGAAGTGCACGGTGTGACACTTGGAAAATAAAACATGCACCTCACGGATGTTACGGTTATTAATTCAGAAAGTCCAAAAAAACCTAATTATTAGTAAGAGATTTGGGAATGGTTACCACATAAAAATATCAATATCCACAAAACACTTCTAGATCTATGTACCAGAAACAAGCAGATGGAAAATAACGTTTTCAGAGCTTTTCAGTGCCATCCTAAGTTGCCAGTCTAATAAAAGGTCTTTAGATGGTTTGCGGAGAAAAATTATTAAACACTGTTGAGAGATGGTAAAAAACTGTGGAGGACGTGGAAGTGTGCATCCCAGTAACTGTAGGTCTGCTGGGCGGGAGAATACTGAAGTACATAGCAAAGGTCAAGCAGAGCCAAGCCGCCCTGGAAGAATGCAGCGTGAGGGTCTTTGCTCTACCAGACAGGAGGGGCTCCTCTACAGCGGAGGCGATTCAGACACCTGGGCCCAAAGGCAGGAGGAGATGAACAGACCAGAATACCTGAATACTGAGCTCAAAACTGCTCCGATGGAACCAGATTCCTCCTCCTCCTTGTAGAGGAATGGTGCCAAGACGATTGTTTGCAAAAATAAAAATACTGAGTGTCTACCTCTGCAGGCAAGCAATCAACTCAATGTGTGGGTAGAACAGCTCTTACCAGATAATACAGACTGGTCCGAGACTTCGGGTAGTGGAAGGTGTCCTGAGCACACGAATACACTGGCCACACAGGATGAGGGATGCATTTGCCTGAAATAAAACTGATCACTTCGTGTCGCCAGAAGACCCTCATGCAGGAGTGAAAGCACAAGGCGCAGACGTGGAGAAGATGTTTGTAACATGCGTAGCATGTAATTATATGAAGTTCTTAAAACTGAATATGTAAAAGACAGTGCTGTTGAAAATTGGGGTTGGGTGTGGTGGCTCATGCCTGTAACCCAAGCGCTTTGGGAGGCCAAGGCGGGAGGATTGCTTAAGCCCTGGAATTTGAGACCAGTCTGGGCAACATAGTGAGACCCTGCCTCTAAAAAATAAAAATTAAAAGAGCTAGGCGAGGTGGTGCATGCCTGCAGTCCCAGCTCCACAGAAGAGCAAAGACTCCGTCCCAAATATCAGAAGGCATCCAGCTTGACCATGCTCCCAGCAGGCCACAGAAAGCCGCAGGAAGCTCTGCAGAGGCCAGCACTGACCCTCCTGAGAGTGGCAGGAGTGGGAGCCTCAGACTCTGGGGCCTGGCGGTGAGGACTCACCTTGCACAGTCCCATGGGGAGACCCTGGCACATCCATGAGGGGGGCTGTGCAGGCGTCAGGACCCCACTCCCTGCTCTGGAGGGTCTGTTATGGCGGCCCTGCCTGGGATCACAGTCCATGGCCACATGCAGAATGGATGGAGAAACTGTGTTCCTTGTGCTGGGAAGCAGTGAGGCTTCTCCCGACCACACACCAGGGCAGAGCCTGAGCCTGGGGAAGGTTCTGTCCCTCCTACCTCCCTTCCAGTGCTGCCTTCCTGACCGAGATGGTGGAGGTCACCTGTGCACCCTTGTCTTCCCCAGAGCCCAAGGCGGTGTTTGCCAAGGAGCAGCCGGCACGCAGGGAGGTGCAGGCCGAGGTGGGGGCCAGTGCCACACTGAGCTGTGAGGTGGCGCAGGCCCAGACGGAGGTGACGTGGTACAAGGACGGGAAGAAGCTGAGCGCCAGCTCGAAAGTGCATGTGGAGGCTGCGGGCTGCACGCGGAGGCTGGTGGTGCAGCAGGCGGGCCAGGCGGACGCCGGGGAGTACAGCTGCGAGGCCGGGGGCCAGAGGCTCTCCTTCCGCCTGCACGTGGCAGGTGAGTGCTTTGAGGCGCTCAGGAGCCTCTTCGGAGATGGTGGTGGTTCTGGCTGGCAGCCCCTGCAGAGCTCTCTGCACGTTCCTTCAGCGTTCATGTCTTGGGCTTCCCATCCTCCCGCTGCCATTTTCATCCTTGAGGCTGGGTCAAGGGAGGGGTGTGCATGGGAGGGAGAGGGGGCCGGTGGCGTGTTTGCACTGGGTAATGCTCAGTCACACCTGTGCAGCACCTTCCTTGGTGTCTGAGGAGTGTTGCTGCCCCTGGCGCCGGGGGTTGAGGTGGATCGGGCGTCTGTCACATGAGCAGAGGTGGACGTGCTGCTGCTGGATGTCTGGCAGCTCCCACGTCTCACCCCATGGTGCGCAGGACTCTCTCCAGGGGGAGCTGCCTCAATTTCATGTAACCAAGATCATGGGAGTTTTGAGTCACCAAATTATTGTTGGAATTTTTCTGAAACTAAGATTTGGTTTATCGTAGGTTTAGAGGAGGGGGACACTTCCCTTTTCCCATATGTCACAAATCGACATCCCTGATCTGCTGTGATGGTGTGACTCATAAGGAGTGGCGCCCTGGCGGAGACGTGCGTGTACAGTGACTCTGCGGGCTTAGAATGTTGCTTCTAAGGCAGAGCATGTTTTCCTTTTGTCCTCAATTGGAGCATTTGGAGTCGGTGTTCTTCTTGTAGCTTGATTTAGAAATGGAAGAGAGAGTAGAGCAGGTGACGCCACCACACTTCGTTGAAGGCCAGTTCCCTCCGTAGCAGCCTCAATGTTGCGTGTATTTATTTTATAGAGTTTCCTAATGGTTACTGTGTTTGAGCCTCTTGGGTGCTTCAGAGAGAAGTCTGAGACCAAGCACATTTATTTCCTTTCGTTAGACAGTCTGGCTGTCCCGTAACCCTGGCCATAGGTCCTTTCACTGAGACAGTCTGACTGTCCCGTAACCCTGGCCGTAGGTCCTTTCACTGAGACGGTCTGACTGTCCTATAACCCTGGCCGTAGGTCCTTTCACTGAGACGGTCTCACTGTCCTGTAACCCTGGCCGTAGGTCCTTTCACTGAGACAGTCTGACTGTCCTGTAACCTTGGCTGTAGGTCCTTTCATTGAGACAGTCTCACTGTCCCGTAACCCTGGCCGTAGGTCCTTTCATTGAGACGGTCTCACTGTCCTGTAACCTTGGCTGTAGGTCCTTTCACTGAGACAGTCTGACTGTCCCGTAACCTTGGCTGTAGGTCCTTTCACTGAGACAGTCTGACTGTCCCGTAACCTTGGCTGTAGGTCCTTTCACTGAGACGGTCTCACTGTCCTGTAACCTTGGCTGTAGGTCCTTTCATTGAGACGGTCTCACTGTCCTGTAACCTTGGCTGTAGGTCCTTTCACTGAGACGGTCTCACTGTCCTGTAACCTTGGCTGTAGGTCCTTTCATTGAGACGGTCTCACTGTCCTGTAACCTTGGCTGTAGGTCCTTTCACTGAGACGGTCTCACTGTCCTGTAACCTTGGCTGTAGGTCCTTTCACTGAGACAGTCTGACTGTCCCGTAACCCTGGCTGTAGGTCCTTTCACTGAGACGGTCTCACTGTCCTGTAACCCTGGCTGTAGAATTTTTTTGGGTAGTGACAGGGTCTCGCTATGTTGCCCAGGCTGGACTCAAACTCCTGGCCTCAAGCAATCCTCCCGCCTCAGCCTCCCAAACTGCTGGGATTACAGGTGTGAGCCACTGTGCCTGGTCATTGTGAAACCTTTTGACAGACAGTAAGAAGACCTAAAAAAATGGATAGAAACCCATGGAAGTCTCAAATATGTTTACTCCCAGTCAAAACACAAGCAGATGTTTTTCTTTGCGGAGCTGAAGATTGAGGAGCAGATTCTGAAGGCCAATGAGAGTAACACGCTCCTGAAGAGCCATGTGAGCCTCTGTCTGCCAGATATCAAGAATCATTCAGCCGCAGGAATGGAGAGCGCCAGGCACAAGATAGGGACAGTTGTCAGAACAAAGGGACAGAGTTGTGAGCTCATGATCAGACCCAAATCAAACCAGTGGCTTCCCCCTTTTTATTGTTCTTGTTTCTTGGGTTTTTTTTAATCTTCACACCTGCATAGGCAGTGGAGAAAGGATGATCTAAAGAAAACAAAATAGTTCTTTGATTTTTTTTTAACCATATAAAAATTTAGATTAGTGACTTATTTTACACTGAAAAGTGAGTTCCAGGGGGGCTACAGGCCACACAGTGTAACAGGTAAAACCATAAGACCCGTAGATGACAACAGATTGCTGGAAACTCCAGGGAAAGGAACATTTTCTTAAAACTACACGGTGGAACAATGGCATGTTTCACTACATTTACACTAAGACTCTAATTTGTCAGGACATTATTTGAGAGTGAAAAGGCAAGTCAAGGACATGGGTAACGTGTTTGTGAAATACGCAATTATCATTTGCTAGCATTTAAAATACATAAAGAGCTCCTAAAAATAAGGAAAAGACAGAGAATGATCTTAAAAATGGGACAGAAGCCTGAAGAGTGACACCCTAGAAGAGCTGATGTAATAGTCAGAATGGTAGAAAGGGCTCCACCTTGCGTGTCACCAGGCCATGCATGACAAAGCCTGGGCCTTCCCCACAGAGGCCAATGCTGACCCTCCTGACAGTGGCAGGAACGGAAGCCTCAGCACTCTGAGGCCGTGCGTTGAGGACGCACCCTGCACAGTCCTGTGGGGGAGACCCCAGCATATCCGTGAGGGAGCTGTGCAGGCATCAGGACCGCAGTCCCCGCCACGGAGGAGCTTGTGCATGGAGGGTCTGTCACAGCTGCCCCGCCTGGGGCGGTCCATGGCGAGTGCACAGTGGATGGAGAAACTGTGATTCTTGTGCTGGGGGCGGTGGGGCTTGTCCTGGCCACACGGCGGTGCAGAGCCTGAGGAAGGTTCTGTTCCTCCCACTCCCACGTCCAGGTGCTCCTACCCTAGGGTGGCCTTCCTGACCTGGGCGTATCTTTGATCTCGTGTGTCCTTCCTTGTCCATCCCAGAGCCCAAGGCGGTGTTTGCCAAGGAGCAGCCGGCATGCAGGGAGGTCCAGGCCGAGGCGGGGGCCAGCACCACGCTGAGCTGTGAGGTGGTCCAGGCCCAGACGGAGGTGACGTGGTACAAGGACGGGAAGAAGCTGAGCACCAGCTCCAAAGTGCGCGTGCAGGCCACGGGTGGCATGCGGAGGCTGGTGGTGCAACAGGTGGACCAGGCGGATGCCGGGGAGTACAGCTGCGAGGCCGGGGGCCAGAGGCTCTCCTTCCGCCTACACGTGGCAGGTCAGTGCTTTGGGGATGCTGCTCTGACTAGAGTAGAACCACTGCTGACCCGGTGGGCTTTCCATTGGACACTGTCCCTCCCCTTCTCCCATCCTCTCACCTCCTACTCTGCCTGTGGCGGAGCTGGGCTGCTGGGTGGGAAGGGAGTGAATGGAAGGGTCAGGGCCCTCCTTGTCCATGTTAGGTGCTATTCCTGTGCAGACATGCTGGGTCACATTTCCTAGCACCTTCTCTGAATCACCAATGTCCCAAGGTGTTCGGGACTCTGGTCCTATCTAACACGTGAGATGGAGTTAGGCCAGGCGTCCCTCCCTCAGGGATATTCCTGCGGTCCCTGCATGGCCTCATCTGGCCCCACATGAGGGCTCTCCCTGTGGAGAGAGATTTCACTTTGCTGAGCCAGGGTGTAGGGAAATTCCAGCCACACGGTCTCACTTGGAATTACATCAGCACTGAACATTGGGCTCCCAAAATTTTCAGTGTTCCAGGACACACTGCTGTCCTTCTCTGTGGTTGTAGAAGACAGTCTGAGCTTCACTAAACCCCAGATCCACAGAGTTCATGTGTAAGCAAGTGAAGTGCAGAGCCACAGAATTAGTGTGCAGATCCAGGGCATTACTGAGTAAACAAGTGACACGCAGACTCACATCGTTAGTGTGCAGACGGGTGGAGCGCAGACCCGCGGCGTTAGTGTGCAGACGGGTGGAGCGCAGACCCACGGCGTTAGTGTGCAGACGGGTGGAGCCACAGATTCACATCGTTAGTGTGCAGACGGGTGGAGCCACAGACTCACATCGTTAGTGTGCAGGCGGGTGGAGCGCAGACCCGCGGCGTTAGTGTGCAGACGGGTGGAGCGCAGACGCGTGGTGTTAGTGTGCAGACGGGTGGAGCGCAGACCCGCGGCGTTAGTGTGCAGACGGGTGAAGCCACAGACCCGCGGCGTTAGTGTGCAGACGGGTGGAGTGCAGACCCGCGGCATTAGTGTGCAGACGGGTGAAGCCACAGACCCGCGGCGTTAGTGTGCAGACGGGTGGAGTGCAGACCCGCGGCATTAGTGTGCAGACGGGTGAAGCCACAGACCCGCGGCGTTAGTGTGCAGACGGGTGGAGCGCAGACCCGCGGCATTAGTGTGCAGACGGGTGAAGCCACAGACTCACATCGTTAGTGTGCAGGCGGGTGGAGCGCAGACGCGCGGCGTTAGTGTGCAGGTGGGTGGAGCGCAGACCCATGGCGTTAGTGTGCAGACGGGTGGAGCGCAGACCCATTGCGTTGGTGTGCAGGCGGGTGGAGCGCAGACCCATGGCGTTAGTGTGCAGACGGGTGGAGCGCAGACCCATGGCGTTGGCGTGCAGACGGGTGGAGCGCAGATCCATGGCGTTGGCGTGCAGATGGGTGGAGTGCGGACACGCAGCGTTAGTGTGCAGATGGGTGGTGTGCAGACGTGTGGTGTGCAGACCCATAGTGTTGGTGTGCAGACGATTAGAGCGCAGACGCACGGCATTAGTGTGCAGATGGGTGGTGTGTAGACGGGTGGAGCGCAGACGCGTGGCGTTAGTGTGCAGATGGGTGGTGTGTAGACGGGTGGAGCGCAGACACGCGGCGTTAGTGTGCAGATGGGTGGTGTGTAGACGGGTGGAGCGCAGACGCGCGGCGTTAGTGTGCAGATGGGTGGTTTGTAGACGGGTGGAGCGCAGACGCGCGGCGTTAGTGTGCAGATGGGTGGTGTGTAGACGGGTGGAGCGCAGACGCGCGGCGTTAGTGTGCCGATGGGTGGTGTGTAGACGGGTGGAGCGCAGACGCGCGGCGTTAGTGTGCAGATGGGTGGTGTGTAGACGGGTGGAGCGCAGACGCGCGGCGTTAGTGTGCAGATGGGTGGTGTGTAGACGGGTGGAGCGCAGACGCGCGGCGTTAGTGTGCAGATGGGTGGTGTGTAGACGGGTGGAGCGCAGACCCATGGCGTTAGTGCGCAGACAGGTGAAGGCAGCGCCTTGGCAGGCCCGTGCCTGAGACTCTTGATGTTGGAGTTACATTTCCCGAAGCCATTCTTGCTTTCTTTTTGTGTTCCGTTAGAATGTTCTGTGTCCAAATACCCCCTGGAATTTGGATGGATTTAAAGTGGTAGGAGTCAGAAGCTATAGCGCAGTCACACACGGCTGCTATATCAAGTTGTTGTGGTGGAAGCTGCTGACTGGGGAAGCCGAATTACATCATCCTGTTTCCCTGATGAGTCCTGTGTCTGTCCTCTCCGGCTGATTCACGGAAGTCTGACAATGACCTTCCTGTTTGTTACGAGACTCTAGCTTCAGACTCCAGCCCGAGCCCTGAGTGCCACCGTGTAGCAGTTGCTGTTACCTGTGTCCATAATGGCTTACAGATGTGTACAGATACCAAAAACTCACTGCAAATAAATTTCAAAACTGTTAACCAATTATCTAATTTCTAGAAAACCAAAACCAGTCAAGGAACAGATAACCTGTGTGCAGTTACCTGCTGTTACTGAAGTAATCTGCAGTTGCTACAACCTATAAGAACCAGAACCGGTAGCAAAAAATCTTCTCTATCAAACAATACCTGAACCAAGTGGCCTTGCTGAGAAATTCTTCTGGAGAACGGAGAAGGGAAGATACACCCTCTAACGCGTTATGTGCGGATAGACAGCTTACTGCCACAGCTAAGAGCTGGCCGGAAAACAGGAAGATTGCGTATCATAGGCCAGAGAATCATGGGGATCGTGGCCAGTGTTTTAAACAAAATATTAGTAAACTGAATTCAGCAATACATGCAGAGAGTCGTACACGATGATAAGATTCATAGTGTAGGAATGAGGGCTGATTTCATGTTAAAAACATTAGAAAATCATGATATGTGATTGAAATTAAAAAACAATGCCGTTATCTTAAACGTAGAATAAAGTGCCGCATTGACGAAATTGACCTTATATATTCAGAACAAGTATCTGGCAAAACTTAGCATGCATCATGCCATAAAATTCTTAACAAAGTATAAACAAAAGGATGTTTTCCCGTTAATTTGACACAAGGTGTGACACAAAAACCACAAAGGGGGACTCTGTAAGCTTTGGCTCTGAGCCAGGGAACAGCACGAGAAGCCAGCAGCCAGCACTTCCACCCAGCACAGGGCAGCAAAGTCAGGAGGAAAGTAGAATGAAAGGCGTAAAAGTTAGAAAAAGGTGAACCGGGCCAGGCGCAGCAGCTCACACCTGTGATCCCAGCACTTTGGGAGGCTGAGGCGGGCAGATCACGAGGTCAAGAGATCGAGACCATCCTGGCCAACGTGGTGAAACTCCATCTCTACTAAAACTATAAAAATTAGCTTGGCGTGGTGGTGTGTGCCTGTAATCCCAGCTACTTGGGAGGCTGAGGCAGGAGAATTACTGGAACCCAGGAGGCGGGGATTTCAGTGAGCCAAGATCGCGCCACTGCACTCCAGCCTGGCGCCTGGCGACAGAGTAAGACTCTGTTTCAAAAAAAGAAAAAGGTCAGTCAGCAGAAGATATGGTTTACCCAGAGGATAAATTATTAGAGAGTTGAGAAAGATCAGCCCTTGCAAGATCCGTGTGAAGAAACTTTTCTACATGTAGACGAGCAGCAAGCAGTTGGAAAATGAAAACCTGAAAGACTGACAGGAGTTTCAGAGGCATCACGTTCAAGATCCCGGGCTGGTAAAGGTGTCCAGAGGCTCATGGGGAAGCTATGAAACACTTTTGAGAGGTATCAAGATGTAAAGTGGATGGAAGGCATGGAGGCATGAAACGTGTTCAGTCTCAACAGCCAAACAAACGTGGTTTGGGGGATGTGAGGTTGAAAAAGGACAAATGGATTTAATGGCTGTGCACAAGCTTGAGGAAGAGCCGGTGTGCAGGCACCCCAGTCCCTGCCCTGGAGGAGCTCGTGCACGGAGGGTCTGTCACAGCTGCCCCGCCTGGGGTGGTCCATGGCGAGTGCACAGTGGATGGAGAAACTGATTCTTGTGCTGGGGGCGGTGGGGCTTGTCCTGGCCACATGGCGGTGCAGAGCCTGAGGAAGGTTCTGTTCCTCCCCCTCCTTCGTCCAGGTGCTCCTACCCTAGGGTGGCCTTCCTGACCTGGGCATATCTTTGATCTTGTGTGTCCTTCCTTGTCCATCCCCAGAGCCCAAGGTGGTGTTTGCCAAGGAGCAGCCGGCATGCAGGGAGGTGCAGGCTGAGGTGGGGGCCAGTGCCACGCTGAGCTGCGAGGTGTCCCAGGCCCAGACGGAGGTGACGTGGTACAAGGACAGGAAGAAGCTGAGCTCCAGCTCGAGAGTGCATGTGGAGGCCATGGGCTGCACGCGGAGGCTGGTGTTGCAGCAGGCGGGCCAGGCAGACGCTGGGGAGTACAGCTGTGAGGCTGGGGGCCAGAGGGTCTCCTTCCGCCTGCACATGGCAGGTCAGTGCTTTGGGATGGCTAATCCACCTCACCTGGAGCTGATGGCCACACTGCATGGCCCCTGAGATCCTGGATGGTGGCTGATGGTGCTCAGGACTGCACTGGGCTGTCCTTGAAGAGCAATGGGCATCAGGAGTGCCAGGTGGCATTAGGGTGGCCCTGATGGGGGGCAGGGCTGGTCCAGGGATGCCAGGGTCCCCTCTCATGCCAACTCACCTCTACACAGAGCCGGAGCCCCTAATTTCAGAGAGACCTGGCCGCAGGGAGCCTCTGGTGGTCAAGGAGCATGAGGACATTGTACTGACTGCCATGCTGGGCACACCCTCTGTGGCTGCGGTGACTTGGCTCAAGGACGGCGTGGAGATTCGCCGCAGCAAGCGGCACGAGACTGCCAGCCAGGGGAACAGCCACACCCTGACCGTGCGTGGTGCCCAGGTGCTGGACACCGCAGTCTACACTTGCCGCGTGGGCGCAGAGGGGCAGGACTTCCCCGTGCAGGTGGAAGGTGAGCCAGGCATGGGGTGGGGACGCCTCCAGATGCCTCTGTCCCCGAGCTGGGCAGGGGCCAAGCTGGGTCTGTGCAGAGCCCGGCTGATGTCCCCTTCCTGCCCACAGAGGTGGCTGCCAGGTTCTGCCGGCCGCTGGAGCCCGTGTCTGGTGAGCTGGGTGGTGCGGTGACGCTGGCCTGCGAGCTGAGCCCGGCGTGTGCAGAGGTGGTGTGGCGCTGCGGCAGCACGCAGCTTCGGGCAGGCAAGCGCTTCCAGATGGTGGCCGAGGGGCCCGTGCGCTCGCTCACTGTGTTGGGGCTGCGTGCAGAGGACGCCGGGGAGTACGTGTGTGAGAGCCGTGATGACCGCACCAGTGCGCAGCTCACTGTCAGCGGTATGTGAGGGGCCGGGTGTCCCTATCCAGGGTGGCTTCCTGGAGGAGGCGGCCTTTGGCACTCCTGCAGCCTGGGGGCTCTGCTGGTCCTGTGCGCCTGCCTCTTAAGCAGCCATCCTGTCCGCAGTGCCCCGAGTGGCGAGGTTTACGTCCGGGCTGAGCGCCGTGGTCGCGGAGGAGGGCCGCGAGGCCACCTTCCAGTGTGTGGTGTCCCCCAGTGACGTGGCAGTTGTGTGGTTCCGGGACGGTGCCCTGCTGCAGCCCAGCGAGAAGTTTGCCATTTCACAGAGTGGTGCCAGCCACAGCCTGACCATCTCGAGCCTGGTGCTGGAGGATGCAGGCCAGATCACCGCAGAGGCTGAAGGTGCCTCATCCTCAGCTGCCCTGAGGGTCCGAGGTGAGCGGAGGGGGCAGCAGGACCTGCCTGGCACAGGCATCTCCCCCATGGACTGGTCCTGCATGGGCACCTGGAACTGCTGTCCTGAGTCCGGCTGGTCTGGCTGACCTCAGAGGACACGGAATGTGTGGGCTACAGAGAGGAGACTCAGATAGATTGGATGGGCCAAGTGCCTTCTCTGGATGCGGAGAAGATACAATCCTGCAGGTGCACCTGGTGGGGAATGGGTGGAGGTTGAGGCAATCCAGGAAGGCTTTCTGGAGGAGGTGTGTCCATGCTTAGCCTGATGGATGGCAGTGGAGAGAGAGTGGGGTTAGCAGCAGTGCAGGCAGTGACATGAGCTTCCCATGCGGCTGAAGCCAGCAGCCAGAAGTTGCCCTGAAGGGAAGTGGGAGTCACGGCAGATTCTGGGGCAAAGGAGTGATACAGCAGATTCATCTTTGCGGTGTTCACGGGCAGCCGGAGGCAGAGAGGCCCGCCGGCACTTCCTTAACCCGCGCAGGAGTCCTGGGGCTTTGCGAACACCATTGCCCCTGGTGGGAGCCATGCCTAGGAGTTCGAGGCCCCTGGCCATGCGTCTTGTTTGGAGCGGGCGAGCTGGAGGTGGGAGCGGGGCTTAGGGAAGCTTCTCTGTTTCCTCACCTGGTCTGCTCCCCAGTGTGGCCAGGGCCATGCCCAGCTTGGAGAGGGACCTGGGTGAGGTGGGCTCCGGGGCCGGATGGGCACTCCGCACCTTGGCTTGCCCGTGGAGGAGGGCCAGGGCCGCCATGACCTCCCTTCTCCCATGACTCCAGAGGCGCCTGTGCTGTTCAGGAAGAAGCTGGAGCCTCAGACGGTAGAGGAGCGGAGCTCGGTGACCCTGGAGGTGGAGCTGACGCGGCCCTGGCCCGAGCTGAGGTGGACGCGGAACGCTGTGGCCCTGGTGCCAGGAAAGAACGTGGAGATCCACGCCGAGGGCGCCCGCCACCGCCTGGTTCTGCACAACATAGGCTTTGCCGACCGTGGCTTCTTTGGCTGCGAGACCCCTGACGACAAATCGCAGGCCAAACTCACCGTGGAGAGTGAGCCGCAGGCGGGAGTGGTGGGGGAGGGAGGGACGAAGGGAGGAGGGAGGGGAGGAGGGAGGTGGGGCACTGAGGGGAGGAAGGAGGAGGGAGGGGAGGAGGGAGGTGGGACACTGGGTAGGAGGGAGGGGAGGCACTGAGGGGAAGAGGGAGGGGAGGAGTGATGGGCACTGAGGGGAGGAAGGAGGGGAGGAGGGAGGCAGGGACTGGGGAGGAGGGAGGCAGGGTACTGGGGGAGGAGGGAGGGGAGGAGGGAGACAGGGCACTGAGGGGAGGAGGGAGGGGAGGAAGAAGGAGTGAGGCAGGTACTGAGGAGGCGGGTGGAGGGAGGAGGAAGGAGGGATATTGAAGGGAGGAGGGAGGAGTGGGGGCACTGAGGGGAAGAGACAGGAGCAAGGCTGGGCACTGAGGGCAGGAGGGAGAAGGGAGGTGGGGCACTGAGGGGAAGGGCGGGCCCTGTGGGCAGGTACTAAGGGTGGGAGAGGGGTAGGCCTTCCGCAGGAGGGGCGAGCCCTGGGGGTGGGCATGGGGCAGCTGCCAGGACCCTCCCTGAGCTCTTGGGATAGCTGACTGTGCCCAAGGGGTCTGAGGTGAGAGTCTCAGAGCAGTGGCTGACCCACGCCCCATATGTGCCCCGCAGTGCGTCAGGTACGGCTGGTCCGGGGCCTGCAGGCAGTGGAAGCGCAGGAGCAGGGCACAGCTACCATGGAGGTGCAGCTGTCGCACGCAGACGTGGAGGGCAGCTGGACTCGAGACGGTCTGCGGCTCTCGCAGGGGCCCACCTGCCACCTGGCTGTGCGGGGCCCCACACACACCCTCACGCTTTCTGGGCTGCGGCCTGAGGACAGCGGCCTTGTGGTCTTCAAGGCAGAAGGCGTGCACACGTCAGCACAGCTCGTGGTCACCGGTGCGTGCGGGAGCCAGCAGGACACAGTGCAGAGCACGCCTGCCTGTCCCAAGGGGGTCCTGGGGAGGCCAGTGGGGACTGTGAGGACCTGGATGAGCCAGCCCCATATAATTCTGTCCAGCTCGTGCACTGCCCCACACTTGTCCCCGTCCCCATCCCCACCCCCACCCCTACCCCCACCCCCCACCCTGAAGGCTCTTCCAAGCCCTTTGTCTCCTCTCCCCTCCCGCTTCCGCCTCCCCAGAGCTGCCCGTGAGCTTCAGCCATCCGCTGCAGGACGTGGTGACCACCGAGAAGGAGAAGGTTACCCTGGAGTGCGAGCTATCTCGTCCTAATGTGGATGTGCGCTGGCTGAAGGTGCCTCTCCGCCCCCCACCTCCCAACTCCATTGCCTCCTCCCCTCCTCTCACGTTGGTGGGCCCAAGTGGAACCCCAGGACTGAGCCACCTGAGCGCCTGACTGGGCCTCTGTGCTCCTCAGGACGGTGTGGAGCTGCGGGCTGGCAAGACAGTGGGCATTGCGGCCCAGGGTGCCTGTCGGAGCCTCACTATTTACCGGTGCGAGTTCACAGATCAGGGCGTGTATGTGTGTGATGCCCACGACGCCCAGAGCTCTGCCTCCGTGAAGGTGCAAGGTGAGGGCTGCATGGGGCACGTGGGGAGTGGCAGGTGTAGGTACCTCCTCCTGTCCTCCGTGGTCCCCAGCCAGGGGCTTGGCCGCTCTGCTTTCATCCTCACTATCCTCAGCGTGCTGGGGCACTGGGTGGGGAGCACCGGGTGGCGGCTGCTGGGAGCGGCTCTGTGCGTCCGGGGGTGGCTGGCAGGGCCTCCCTTGCCACCCCAGGCCGCAGCATCCAGATCGTGAGGCCCCTGGACGATGTGGAAGTGATGGAGAAGGACGGTGCCACCTTCTCCTGCGAGGTCTCCCATGACGAAGTGCCTGGCCAGTGGTTCCGGGAGGGCGGCAAACTGCGTCCCAGCGAGAACGTGCGCATCCGCCAGGAAGGTGTGAGGGCAGGTGGATGTGGTGGGCGTGGCCCAGCCCAGGTCCTCCTCTGCCCTACCCATGCTGAGTAGCTCTTGTCCCCAGGAAGGACATACACGCTCATCTACCGGAGGGTCCTGGCAGAAGATGCAGGAGAGATCAAATTTGTAGCCGAAAATGCAGAATCGCGAGCCCAGCTCCGAGTGAAGGGTGAGGTGGGGGCTGAGGGGAGGGCGGGGCCTGGATGGTGTGTGTATGTGGCCAGCTGGCTCAGCTCAGGCCCTGATGCCCCAGGCTGGCTCTCAGGACCGGGACAGCAAGGACTCACGAGGAGAGAAGGGGGTGTCACCTCCTTGGCAGGAAGATAAGGGCCAGAGAAGCAGCCATGAGGGGATTCTAGCTTAAAACCAGGGTCCTGATGAATTCTCCCTATGGCTGCAGCGAGTGCTGGAGAGGCCAGGCTTGAGGCCCTGCCAGGGTGAGAGGTGGTGGTGGGGGGTCTACCTGGTGGCCCTGAGGAGGAGGATGGTTGGGGGGAGTCGTGCTGGGGTGGCAGGGTGGGAGGCTCTGTAGATGGGAGCTGTGGGGACCAGTGAGCGGGGCAAGCTAGAGGTTTGTGGGGAGGGACGTGAGTTCCTGGGGCTGGACTAGGGCATGCAGTTCTGGTGCTGAAATGGGGGCTTGGGGAGAGGACTGGAGTGGGTGGGGCTACATGGGCATGACCTGCCTTTCTCTGGGCAGGACCTGGGTGGTGGAAATGGGAATGTGGGATACGCGGTGGGAGGGAGGGCAGCCACGGAGGCGGATTCACTCCCCTTGCTGTTGGTCAACTCTGTGCAGCAGGTCCTAGCACAGCTCCGAGGGGCACACTCAGCCTGACCACCTGCTGGCCCCTGGTGGGCAGACATGGGCTGTTGGGGCCTAGTGGGGTCCAGGCCCTTGGCTGTCCAGGACCCCTGGTGCCTTGTCAGAGCCTGGGCCTGGGAGCCCCGAACACCATCTCTGACGTAGCCCCACCCCCACCACACTCAGAGCTGCCAGTGACCCTCGTGCGCCCACTGCGGGACAAGATCGCCATGGAGAAGCACCGGGGTGTGCTGGAGTGTCAGGTGTCCCGGGCCAGCGCCCAGGTGCGGTGGTTCAAGGGCAGTCAGGAGCTGCAGTCCGGGCCCAGGTACGAGCTGGTCAGCGACGGCCTCTACCGCAAGCTGGTCATCAGCGACGTACAGCCGGAGGACGAGGACACCTACACCTGTGACGCCGGTGACGTCAAGACCAGCGCACAGTTCTTCGTGGAAGGTGCGGGCAGGAGGGCAGCTCTGCAGTTTGCTTTTGTGTGTGGGGGTGTCTTCTGGGCTCATGGTTTGCCCTGCGCTCCTAGAGACGCTGGGTCCAGGCAGCTCAGGAGGATGCCAGCATGCACATGGCGGGCAGGGGCTTGTTCCCAGTAAGGAATCTGCCGGAGGGGCAGCCTGTCCTTTCCGCGGGACCTGCCAGCGCTGGCTCCTCCCCACAGAGCAGTCCATCACCATCGTGCGGGGTCTGCAGGACGTGACGGTGATGGAGCCCGCCCCTGCCTGGTTTGAGTGTGAGACCTCCATCCCCTCAGTGCGGCCACCTAAGTGGCTCCTGGCGAAGACAGTGCTGCAGGATGGGGGAAACGTGGGACTGGAGCAGGAGGGCACGGTGCACCGGCTGACGTTGCGGCGGACCTGCTCCACCATGACCGGTCCTGTGCACTTCACCATCGGCAAGTCCCGCTCCTCTGCCCGCCTGGTGGTCTCAGGTGAGCACTCTCGCCCTGGCGGGTGGACACGGGGCAGAGCCACAAGAGGACAAGGTTCAGGGCTGCTGGGAGGCCTGAATGGGGCTGTGGGCAGGTGCAGGGCAGGACCATGGAGATGGCTCAGGGCAGTGAGTGGGCACAGTTCAGGGTCCCGAATGGATATTGCTCAGGGCTGAGGGAGGACACGGACCAGGGCCATGGGGGACACAGCTCAGGGCTGGGGGAAGATAGTTCACGGAATGGTGGATGCAGCCATTGGAAATAGGTGCTCGGTGCCGAAAAGAAAAATCAGCACTGAGACAAAAAGATCTTTCAGAAACGCAATTTTTATTTTCTGGACTGTGGGAAGGGTACCCTCACCGGCATCGTGCCATGGAAGTACAGCGAACAAAAGAAAACACACACATTAATTTCTTACACATTTGGGGTTGTCCTTACTGCTGTGTCTGATCTCCGTTGGCTGGAGCCAGACCTCAGCATCTAAACGAAAACCCGATTGGCTAACAACTTAAAACTTTCTAAACAGGTAAAAGCAGTGGAGAGCTGGGACCTGGCTGTGAGCACGTCCAGCACAGATATCTTGGTTAAAGTATAAGGAAGGACATAGAATGTACTACATGCCTGTAAGCACGGCATGTCCAACAGCTACATAGGATGGGGCTTCACAGAGTTATTAGCACACTTATGATTTAACAAGAAAGAAAACTTTAAAAAGGAAATTTTCTACTTCCCACGGCAGCTCAGGGCCAGGGGAGGACTCGATTCAGAGCCATAGGCAAGTAGGCTCAGGGCTTGGCAGGCAGGATAGGGTGATTGGTTCCTGTGGCCCTGTGGTCCAGCCTGTCCCCACTCCCTGCAGACATTCCTGTAGTCCTCACACGGCCATTGGAGCCCAAGATGGGCCGTGAGCTGCAGTCCGTGGTCCTGTCCTGCGACTTCCGGCCGCCCCCCAAGGCTGTGCAGTGGTACAAGGATGACACGCCCCTGTCTCCCTCTGAGAAGTTCAAGATGAGCCTGGAGGGTCAGATGGCCGAGCTGCGCATCCTCCGGCTGGTGCCTGCCGATGCTGGTGTTTACCGGTGCCAGGCGGGCAGTGCCCACAGCAGCACTGAGGTCACTGTGGAAGGTGGGGCATGAGGGGCACGGGGCCACCGAGAGGGTTTGGGGAGGGGTTGCCTGGTGATGTGGGCGCTGAGGCCCACTGTGTCCTTGCAGCACGGGAGGTGGCAGTGACAGAGCCGCTGCAGGACATGGAGGCCATGGAGGAGGGCCGGGCCAGCTTCTCCTGTGAGCTGTCCCATGAGGACGAGGAGGTCGAGTGGTCCCTCAACGGGACACCCCTGTACAACGACAGCTTCCACGAGATCTCCCACGAGGGCCGGCGCCACAGCCTGGTGCTGAAGAGCGTCCGGAGGGCCGACGCGGGCACAGTGCACGCCTCCTCCCGCAAGGTGTCCACCTCTGCCCGCCTGGAGGTCCGAGGTGAGCCATCTGGCGAGCCTGCGGGGGCCCCCACTAGGGATGGGACGGCGCTGGGCTCCCCTCACCCTCCCACCCCTCCTGCAGCGAAGCCGGTCGTGTTCCTGAAGGCGCTGGACGACCTGTCTGCTGAGGAGCGCAGCACCCTGGCCCTGGAGTGTGAGGTCTCTGACCCCGAGGCCCGTGTGGTGTGGCGCAAAGACGGTGTGCAGCTGGGCCCCAGCGACAAGTATGACTTCCTGCACACGGCGGGCACTCGGGGGCTCGTGGTGCATGACCTGAGCCCTGAGGACGCCGGCCTGTACACCTGCCACGTGGGCTCCGAGGAGACCCAGGCCCGGGTCAGCGTGCACGGTGTGTGGCTGCGGGCATGGTGGAGCTCCGGGAAGTGGGGCGTGCTGAGCGTGGGTCTGGGGCCGGCCACTACCTGGGTGGCTCACGTCATTCTCTGAGGTTGAGAGGCTGCTCTGCTGAGCTGGAAAGGCCAGGGGGACCTCCTGGGGAACCATGGCTTGACGTGGTCCTGTGAGGCCCAGGTGCAGGAAGGTGGACCCGGGGGTGATGAGTCCTGGAGCCAGGGTTGGAGGCTGTGCTCTCCCTGCCCAGTGTGCCCCAAGGGGCACAGCCAGGGATGTTGCCCTGAACCAGGGGCCGTGTCTGCACGGAAGCCACCAGGCCAGTGTGGGGGCACCACTGGGGATGACCAGGCAGAAGCCGAGATGCCAGGCAGGGGCCTTGAGTAGGCCACATCTCTGTCCTTCACAGGGCCCCAGCAAGGCCCCAAGGCCACAGGGCTGGCAGGGTAGAGCCATCCCCAAACCCAATCTTGCAGCCTTGGGGGTACGTGTGCCCTGGAGCCTGCCTACTTCTCAGGGGCAGGTCCCTCAACTGCAGGGCAGCTACCTGGCCCCTGTGTGTGCCCACTCTCCTGGCTCCATTACTGGGAATCCCCATCCCAGTCCCAGTGACATCTAGGTATGGGTGACAGGTGGTTTAACAGGCCTGCTGACTGGTCCCTGAGTCTTGTAATGAGATGGGGAAGGGGCAGGAGGCTGGTGAGTTTGTCCTGGAGCTGGGTCCAGCCTGCCTGGCAGCCCCTTGTCCAGGGTCCAGCGCCTCCTCTCCTCCCTGTGGCCACCGCAGGTCCTTCCTCTCCCTGCCACCCTGATTGGAGCTCAGAGCTGTTGGTTACGCAGATGCCAGGGTGCGGCCAGCTCCTGCAGAGGGGCGTCTGCTCATTGGCTGAGGCAGTGTCCCACCCTCCTCCTCGGGGCCTGGCCTCTCCCAGGGTCTGGTCCCTCTAAAGGACCGGGGGGATCTGGCTCCTCCTGGGGTCTGGTCTCTGTGAGCTCTGATCTCTCCCAGGGTCTGGCCCTCCCTAGGTCTGGCTCAGGGCAGTTCCATCCTCTTGGCTGGCCTGACAGTCTCCCATGGCCCGCAGATCTGCACGTGGGCATCACCAAGAGGCTGAAGACAACAGAGGTGCTGGAGGGGGAGGACTGCAGCTTCGAGTGTGTCCTGTCTCATGAGAGCGCCAGCGACCCGGCCACATGGACAGTCAGCGGGAAGACAGTGGGCAGCTCCAGCCGCTTCAAGGCCACACGGCAGGGCCGAAAATACATGCTGGTGGTCCGGGAGGCTGCGCCGAGTGATGCCGGGGAGGTGGTCTTCTCTGTGCGGGGCCTCACCTCCAAAGCCTCACTCATCGTCAAAGGTGGGCGCGGCCTGCCGGACGGGGGCTTGTCACCCGGGCTGGGGGGTGGGGAGCCTGGGCCTGTCCCCAGGGGTGCACAAGCTGGGCTCCCCTGCTGCAGAAGCCACTGGGGGTGCTTTCGGGGCCTGCCTCCCTCCGCTGCGGCCCAGCTCCCCTCCTGGAAGCCTTGGGGCCTGGAGCACCTGCTGGGTGCTGGGGGCAGTTCTGAGGTGGCAGCGGGGCCACACTCTGAACTCCGATGATGGCCTGGATTCAGGTCCAATCAGTGGTCCGAGTGCCCTGAGTGCTCGGTAGCTCCGCAGAGCTGGGGCTCATGGGCCAGTCTGGCAGCACCGGTCCGAGGCCCCAGCCGCAGGCTCCGCTGATGTCACCGCCAGCGCCTGAGTTTGCGCCCCTGACGCGCCCGGTTGGTGGTGCAGCTCAGAGGGTGGGGCTCACTCCTGGGACGCTGACCACGGCCACACCAAGTTGTCGGCCTGAAAGATGCCAACAGATAAAATTCTGTGGTGGTTGATCTTCCCGCCTCCCGGTCCCATGCTGGTGACAGTGGGGACACTGGCATTCCAGGACTGTGAGGCTCCTGAGGGCGGAGGTGCCAGAGTTTGAGGGTTGCAGGTTCTGTTGTCTTAGTCACCAGAGAGCGAGTGTCCCCAAACGCTTGTCCTTGCCCCAGTCCTGGTCTTGGTGGAGGTGGGAGGTTTTGGCTGGGTCTGTGCCTGGGGCTGTGTCTGCAGTCATCTGTGGCTGGCACCATGGCCCTTGCTGGGCCTCAAGGGCAGCTGTTTCTGCTCCCTTCAGAGAGGCCGGTGGCCATCACAAAGCCCCTGGAAGACCAGCAGGTGGCGCCAGGGGAGGACGTGGAGCTGCGCTGTGAGCTGTCACGGGCGGGCACCCCCGTGCGCTGGCTGAAGGATGGGAAGGCCATCCGCAAGAGCCAGAAGTATGACGTAGTTTCTGAGGGCACGATGGCCTCGCTGGTTGTCCGTGGAGCCTCGCTTAAGGACGTGGGCGAGTACACGTGTGAGGTGGAGGCTTCCAGGAGCACAGCCAGAGTCCGTGTGGAAGGTAAACACCGCCAGGAGCCCCATGCGTGGCCCTGGAGTGGCCTTGCTCCCCTGGCGGGGCAGGGCCCACCCATGGAGCCCAAGCTCTTCTGTCCCAGCTGGGAGGGCTTGCCCAGGTCCCAGCGCTTCCGCAGCCAGGCCTGGACGATAACGGGGCCAGGTCGGGGTCTGTGCGGGCCTCACCCCCCACCTATTCTGCTTCCATCTCCCTGCCCAGAAAAAGCAAACCGCTTCACAGAGGAGCTGGCTGACCTGCAGGTGGAGGAGAAAGGCACAGCTGTGTTCACATGTAAGACGGAGCGCCCCGCAGCCACCGTGACCTGGCGCAAGGGCCCCTCGGAGCTTCGGGCCTCAGGGAAGCACCAGTTCAGCCAGGAGGGCCTGACCCTGCGGCTCACCATCAGCGCCCTGGAGAAGGCAGACAGCGACACCTACACCTGCGACATCAGCCAGGCCCGGACCCAGGCCCGGCTCCTGGTGCAAGGTGAGGGAGCCGAGTATGTGTGGCCCAGGCTTTGAATGGCACTGGAGACTTGGCGGTGGGCAGGCCCAGCTTCGGTTTCCTATCACGAGGGTAGTGGGGCGCTCCCTGGGTGACCGCTGAGGCTCCAGCGTAGCTGTAAACGAGCTGCCAGCCCTCACTTCCGCGTGTGTTTCTCCCACGTGCGCGGGTGCCTGGCCCCATGGGTGAGCTCTGCGTGTATCTACACATATGGCCTGTCACCCTTGTCCCAGAGGGACAGCCTGACTCGGCCGTGCCAGGCAGCCTCAGGTGCCCCCAGGGAAGAACTGACGGTCATTGGGGTTGTCATGGAGAGTTACACTGGCACTTAGTCTTTCTCTTGTTGCTTACAACAGAATACCTGAAACTGTGTCATTTATAAAGGAAAGTAATTTACTTCTTACAGCTCTGGAGACTGGGAAGTCCAAGGTCAAGGGCCACATCTGGTGAGGGTCCTTTTGCTTCAGGGACTCTCTGCAGAGTCCCCGGGAGGTGGCACATGGCATCCCATGGGGAGGGGGCTGAGGGTGCCAGCTCGGGCCTCTCTCTTCTTGTAAAGCCACCCTCCCATGACAGCGCTTTAACCCATTAAGCCATTGATCCGTGAATGGATTAATCCACTCCTGAGGCAGAGCCCACTCACCCAGTCCCTTCTTAAAAGCCCCACCTCTTTATGTTGCCACATTGGGGTTAAGTTTCAACGTGAGTGTCCAGGGGACACTCAGATCCTAGCAGGTGACTTTCTGATCTTACTGTTTGCCTCTATGGTTGAGGGGCAGGCAGAGTGAGAACTCTCCTTCTCTCCACACTGTAGATAAGAAAAAACTGAAGTTTTAGGCCGGGCGCGGTGGTTCACGCCTGTAATCCCAGCACTTTGGGAGGCCGAGGCGGGTGGATCACGAGGTCAAGAGATCGAGACCATCCTGGTCAACATGGTGAAACCCCGTCTCTACTAAAAATACAAAAATTAGCTGGGTATGGTGGCGCCTGCCTGTAATCCCAGCTACTCAGGAGGCTGAGGCAGGAGAATTGCCTGAACCCAGGAGGCGGAGGTTGCGGTGAGCCGAGAGCACCATTGCACTCCAGGCTGGGTAACAAGCGAAACTCTGTCTCAAAAAAAAAAAAAAAAGAAAAAACTGAAGTTTTAGTGGGTCCATGGCCAGGGCAAGGTCGTGGGGCACATTGGCATCAGGGCAGGCGAGGCCCAGCCCCCTCACCACAGCCTCCACTTGGCTCTGGAGTCCTGGGCTGGTGTCCGGACCTGAGTTTGCAGGTCCCTACTGGGGTCTGAGCACAGAGCGTTCACAGGGTCCCGTATATGAAAGGCCCAGCCTTGATCATCAGAGTAACACAAACCAGGGATTGTTAAGGATTTTTCCTCTGCAGCGGATTTGCTGATCCTGGTGAAAGCACAGTAAAGCTCCGTGATCTCAACTTGGTCCCCGTAGTTAATGTTTTTAAAAGCTATCAGAAGTGGCGCAGAGGCTCGCGCCTGTAATCCCAGCACTTTGGGAGGCTAGGAGTTTGAGACCATCCGGCCAACATAGTGAACCCTGTCTCTACTAAAAATACAAAAAGTTAGCCGAGTGTGGTGGTATGCCCCTGTAATCCCAGCTTCTTGGGAGGCTGAGGCAGGAGACGTGTGAACCCAGGAGGTGGCGGTGAGCCGAGATTGCCCCACAGCACTCCAGCCTGGGCGACAGTACCACAGTGCGAGAGTCTGTCTCAAGAAAAAAAAAGCCATCAAAAGTGAGAGTCATAAGATAACAAAAGTTTAACATGGCGGGGGGCCGTGGCTCAGGCCTGGAATCCCAGCACTCTGAGAGGCCGAGGTGAGTGGATCACAAGGTTAGGAGTTCAAGACCAGCCTGGCTAACATGGCGAAACCCCATCTCTACTAAAAATACAAAAATTAGCCGGGTGTGGTGGCGCACACCTGTAGTCCCAGCTACTTGGGAGGCTGAGGCAGAAGAATTGTGTGAACCCGGGAGACGGAGATTGCAGTGAACTGAGATCGCGCCACTGCACTCCAGCCTGAGCAACAGAGTGAGACTCCATCTTAAAAAAAAAAAAAAAAGGTTTAACACATGAGGATGTGGGCCGGCCTGGTCAGGGAGGCCAAGCCGTTTCCGTGTGCGCCATCGGCTGATGAGAGCTTTTGTCTGTGTGCATGGCGGGGCTGGCTTCTGTGGAGTCATGCCTGCGGGGCACTGTGTACACAGTAGGAATCTGAATGCAGGGCCCGTCTTGATATTCATAAGCGGTTGTCTCTTACCATTCCCAATTCAACAGCCAAAAAGCCTCATTTCTAGGAATTCACATTTTCCATCTTCCAATCATTTGATTTAAATTTCAACACAACTGTAGCTTTCTTTTTTTTGAGACAGTCTTCCTCTGTCGCCCAGGCTGGAGTGCAATGGCGAGCCTTCGGCTCCCTGCAACTTCCGCCGCCCGGATTCAAGCGATTCTCCTGTCTCAGCCTCCTGAGCAGCTGGGATTACAGGCACGTGCCACCACGCCTGGCTAATTTTTTTGTATTTTTAGTAGAGACGGGGTTTCACCATGTTGGCCAGGATGGTCTCAATCTCCCGACCTCACGATCCGCCTGCCTCGGCCTCCCAAAGTGCTGGGATTACAGGCATGAGCCACCGCACCTGGCATATTTTTTTTCACACTCCTGTTTGATCTGTTACTAGAAGAGTTAATTTCATGGCACAATTGTAGTGACACACACAGCCGCATTGGCAGGTTTGGGAGTGGCCGCTTCTGGGAACACAGCTTGGAAAGAGGGCAGGACTGTGCTGGCCTGGTTCTCAGCAGGCTGTGGACTTGCCCAGCAAGCCTTGCAGAAGAACTCCCGAGGTGCAGAGAGGTGGGCTCGGGGCTCCGAGTGGCCCTCGAACAACTATCTTTGGACCGTTCAGCTCTGACCCACTTACTGTTTTTGGCGTTCCGTCCCTTGCTCTGTCCTGGGGAGCCTGCCCTGGACGGTGTGGGGCCCCTGAGCAGTGTGTGCCTTTGCAGGCCGGCGGGTGCACATCATCGAGGACCTGGAGGACGTGGATGTGCAGGAAGGCTCCTCTGCCACCTTCCGTTGCCGGATCTCCCCTGCCAACTACGAGCCTGTGCACTGGTTCCTGGACAAGACACCCCTGCATACGAACGAACTCAATGAGATCGAGGCCCAGCCCGGGGGCTACCACGTACTGACACTGCGGCAACTGGCGCTCAAGGACTCCGGCACCATCTACTTTGAGGCGGGTGACCAGCGGGCCTCGGCTGCCCTGAGGGTCACTGGTGGGTCGCATGCCCGCGTTGCCCACGTTGCTCAGGGCTGCAGCCAGGTGGAGAGGTGGACATAGCTCAGCCAAGTGCCTGGTGTCCCTGGGCTCACAGAGAAGGCCCCATTGGCTTTCTGTGGGGTGGGGGAGCTCGGAAGGCTGAATTGGGCTCTTTGGGGATGAATTCATCGGCGTGGTTTGCAGAACCGTGCTCGGCGTGGCCCGGGCCAGGCTGTATCCCCCGCAGGGCAGGAGCCCCCTCGCTGTGGTGAGGAGGTGATGGGGTCATTGTGGGGAGCCTGCCCTTCTCTCTGCACAGCCTGCTGCATGGCCCCAGTGCAAGGGTGGCTGGCGGGTGCCAAGCCAGGGTGTTCACTGGTTCACAGCGAGAGCCAGGGTTTCCCCATCAGCCCCTCCAGCGGCAGTGTGACAGCATCCCACATGCTCCTGCTTCTCTCTCTGCCCCCCAGAGAAGCCAAGCGTCTTCTCCAGAGAGCTCGCAGATGCCACGGTCACAGAGGGTGAGGACTTGACCCTGGCATGCGAAACCAGCACCCGCGACATCCCCGTGCACTGGACGAAGGACGGGAAGACCCTGCGGCCGTCCGCCCGGTGCCAGCTGAGCCACGAGGGCCAGCGGGCCCAGCTGATCATCACTGGGGCCACCCTGCAGGACAGCGGACGCTACAAGTGTGAGGCTGAGGGTGCCTGTAGCAGCTCTATCGTCAGGGTGCATGGTGAGCCCCAGCTGCCTGAAGCCCAGCCATGGGCCAGGCACCTGCAGCTCTCTTGTCAGGCTGCACCAGCTTCAGGGCAGGGTGTGTGCACCCACAGGGAGCCCGAAGCGGGAGGACCCAGGCTCCCGTGCATCCTGTTTGGGGTGCCCCCGGCCCCCATGTGCTTCCTGGCGTTTCCTGGCACCTGGTCCAGCCTGCTTGGCTCCTGCCCTGGCCTCTGGCCTCTGCCCCTGCAGGAGCCACCCTGCAGACCCTCTGCATTCCTGAAGGGCCATCCTTCTGCACGACTGTGTGGGTATCTCCCTTCTTATTTTTGAGTCGGAGTTTCGCCCTGTCACCCAGGCCGGAGTGCAGTGGCATGATCTCGGTTCACTGCAACCTCTGCCTCCTGGGTTTAAGCGATTCTTCTGCCTCAGCCTCCTGAGTAGCTGGGACTACAGGCATGTGCCACCACACCCAGCTAATATTTTTTGTATTTTTAGTAGAGATGGGGTTTCTCCTTGGGCAGGCTGTTCTTGAACTCTTGACCTCAGGTGATCCGCCCACCTCAGCCTCCCAAAGTGCTGGGATTATAGGCAAGAGCCACCGTGCCTGGCCCTAATCTCCCTTTTTAGGAGGTGCAGCCATGGTGGCTTAGGGCCCACCAAGACCTCATTTGACCTTACTTCCATTGTTCACAGCCACGCTCAGAGGTCTGGGCTAGGGCTTCCACCTGTGAATCTGGGGGCACAGGTCCCTGACACCTGCCTGTCTGTTCTCCCGCTTGATTCACCCTTTCTACCCCTCACCTTCAGGGCTGACCCTTTCCAGAAGTCCTGAGGTCCTTGCCAAAGACCCCACAGGAGAAGGGGGAGGCGGGCCTGCCGGCACCCTGCAGCCGATGTCCCCAGCCCTCCACCCCCTACTGGGACCCCTTGTGGACTTCAGAGCAGGGAGGGTGAGCTGAGCCCATGCCTGTCCGCAGCCCGGCCAGTGCGCTTCCGGGAGGCCCTGAAGGACCTGGAGGTGCTGGAGGGTGGTGCTGCCACACTGCGCTGCGTGCTGTCGTCTGTGGCCGCACCCGTGGAGTGGCGCTGCGGAGACAGTGTCCTGAGGTCAGGTGACAAATACAGCCTACGCCAGGAGGGCACCGTGCTGGAGCTGGTGGTCCGGGACCTGCGGCCACAGGATAGTGGGCTGTACTCATGCTCCTTCGGGGAGCAGACGACTTCTGCCACCCTCACAGTGACAGGTAAGCATCTCTGTCCACCCTACCCATGTGGCCCAGTGATGCCACCTCTGACATGGGAGCAAAGACGGTGCCCTCTGTGTCTGTCTGACCCTCCTGCAGCTTTGCCTGCTCAGTTCATTGGGAAACTGAGGAACAAGGAGGCCACGGAAGGGACCACAGCCACGCTGCGGTGTGAGCTGAGCAAGGCGGCCCCTGTGGAGTGGAGAAAGGGGTCTGAGACCCTTAGAGATGGGGACAGACACAGCCTGAGGCAGGACGGGGCTGTATGTGAGCTGCAGATCCGAGGCCTGGCCGTGGTGGACGCCGGGGAGTACTCATGTGTGTGTGGGGAGCAGAGGACCTCTGCCGTGCTCACTGTCAGGGGTGAGACCGTGTGTCCAGGGCCATGTCGGTGTCCAGTTCTTCACGTCTGCTGTCCCATTCCAGTCTCCCCGACTGTGCCATGCTCTTCCCAGCACACCACAGAATCCCTTCCTGCTTTCTGGGCTGTGGAAGGAACCAGGAGAACCCGGCATCTCTAGCCAGACTCCTGCCCTCCAGGCACCCTGGAGCATGTCCTGTGGGAGTTGTCTTATCCTCATCTCGCCATGGCCTGTTCCCCGGTGCTCCTCAGTGTCTGACCTCTTCTGCATCTGTCTGTCCATCCCTCCCCAGCCATGCCTGCCCACTTCATAGGAAGACTGAGACACCAAGAGGCCACAGAAGGGGCCACAGCCACGCTGCGGTGTGAGCTGAGCAAGGCGGCCCCTGTGGAGTGGAGGAAGGGGCGTGAGAGCCTCAGAGACGGGGACAGACACAGCCTGAGGCAGGACGGGGCCGTGTGTGAGCTGCAGATCCGTGGCCTGGCCGTGGTGGATGCTGGGGAGTACTCGTGCGTGTGTGGGGAGGAGAGGACCTCCGCCACGCTCACTGTGAAGGGTAATGACTGCCCCTGGCCACATGCACGGGTGGTTGTGTCTGAGCGGTATGCACATTCCTGCCCTGTGCCATGTCTGCGCTGTGGCCCTCCTTGTCTTTCTGTGTGTGGTTCCTTCATTCCTTCAGTAGGGATTTCCCACCTGCTGTGCATGACCCAACTCAGGGACAGGAAGACAGCAGAGAAGAGAGGGCCCTCCCAGCCCTACCGGGTCACAGGCAGAGACAGAGGATGTGGGGAGAACCAAATCATTGGAAGACTGAGATCACAGATCTTCTCTAGGGAGAGCCAAGTCATTACAAGATGAGATCATAGGTCTTCTGTGGGGTAAACACCAGGGAGGCAGTAAGGCACCCAGGAGGAGCACCAGGAGTAGAACACAGATGGGGGTGGGGGGTGCAGGTGGGCTGGTGGGCACAGCCAGGGGTGAGGGTCCACTGTGAGGATGAGGTGACGGGTGACTGTGGGGAGGGGGTGACGGGTGACTGGGGAGGGGGTGACGGGTGACTGTGGGGAGGAGGTGATGGCTGGGCGTGGGGAGGGGGTGGTGGGGTGACTGTGGGGAGGTGATATGTGGATGTGGGGAGGCGGTGATGCGCGGGCGCACGTGGGGAGGGGGTGATGCGCGGGTGTGCGTGGGGAGGGGGTGATGGGTGGGTGTGGGGAGGGGTTGATGGGTGGGTGTGGGGAGGGGGTGACGGGTAACTGTGGGGAGGGGGTGATGGGTGACTGGGGAGGGGTTGACGGGTGACTGGGGAGGAGGTGACGGGTGGGCGTGGGGAGGGGGTGATGCGTGGGCGTGGGGAGGAGGTGGTGGGATGACTGTGGGGAGGGGGTGATGCGTGGGCGTGGGGAGGGGGTGATGGGTGACTGTGGGGACCGGGTGACACGTGGGTGTGGGGAGGAGGTGACAAGTGACTGGGGAGGAGGTGGTGGGGTGACTGTGGGGAGGTGACGTGTGGATGTGGGGAGGTGGTGACGCGTGGGCCCACGTGGGGAGGGGGTGATGCACGGGTGTGCATGGGGAGGGGTGACGGGTGGGTGTGGGGAGGAGATGACGCGTGACTGTTGGGAGGAGCAGCCACAGTGGCTGTCACATGACAGCTAAGCAGAGCTGCTGTGTGATTTGGAGGAAGGGGCGAAGAGCTTTGGAGATGGGAGCTTTGACGAGGACTGGACGTCTGGAGCCCTGTGGCCTGCCTGTGGCAGATCCGGGGTGTCCTCGTGAGTAGGTGGTGGGAGTGGACTTCAGCCATGTTTGGGTCCCCAGGGAGGTGAGGCTGCAGAACTCACCCTGGGCCCTGGACCTCTCAGTCACAGCCAGGAGAGGCTTCTAGCCTCAAGCCACTGGTGTTCTCAGCGGAAGGGGCACAGCCCCACTTGCCTGGCCCCCTGTGTCCGTGGCCCATGGTCCCTTGTGGCTGATGGTGTGGTGTGGCGTGTGCAGGTGCTCGCTTCCATCAGGGAAAGCATGTGGGATAAAGCCTGCCCAGAGGGAGGGCCCGGGCACCTTCAAGGCAGCGCAGGGAAGGACTCCCTGGCTGAAGGGCTTTCTCACCCAGGACTCTGGTGGGCTCCACTCACACTGCAAGGAGGGATCCCTCAGGCCAGTGGAGGGGCAGGGTCTGGACGCCAGTGCCTGAAGTAGGTAGCTCCGGCCACAGGCACTGGTGTTGCAGACCTTTGTGGGAGGCCCGGCCGCCATGCTCCTCCAGTGGCATCAACAGAGCACAGCATCCGTGGCACGGAGGCATCACACCACATCACCAGGCTCGCCAGGATACCCACAAGGTCCATAGACTTCAGGCTCTGTGTCATGGCTGTGTAGCATTTTGGAGAGACAGAGACCGCAGGGCCCGGGGGCTCAGCTGCATCCTCCTCAGACCGGTGGCTGAAGAACAGATGACCAGGGTGGACCCCTGCCGGCTGCCTGAGGCAGTTGCTTCCAGAAGTGGGCGACTTCCGAGGGAGCTTCAGGCGATAGGTGCCCTGTGGTGCCTGCTCTGGTTCCTGCTGAGAGGGCGCCCTGCGTGCTGGACATTTCCACTGGACCCAGAAGCCCCGAGGATGCTCTGAGCCAAGGTTCCCCTGGGGGCCTCCAGGGGGCAGCTGGGCACTCTGAGGCCCCAGTCTCCATCTGGTGGGCTAGGAAGCCACCCAGCCCCAACGCACAGGACCCAGTGGCCCTCGTCTGTCCCTGTGATCCGTGGCTATCTCTATGTGCCTGGCTGGATGGCTCCTTCGTGTGTTCAGTTGGTGGTTTCTTATCTGCTGGACCCATGCACCAGGGCACCTGCCACCTGGGGTCCCTGCCTGTGTCATTAACACAGTGACAGTCAAGGTGGAAGGCGCACTCTTCTCCCTCCCAGCAGCAGGCTCCTTACCCCACAACTGCCCTGGGCTCTGGTCGCAGGAGCAGCAGGAACTGATGAGAAGCAGGAGCCTCGATGATTATGTGGAAAACTTTTAGGCAGTGGATTTTGTGTCTTTTTCCTCCAGCTATCCATCAGGATCCTGACCGGCTGCAGTGGCTCATGCCTGTAATCCTAGCGCTTTGGGAGTCTGAGGCAGGAGGATCACTTGAACCCAAGAGTTCCAGACTGACCTGGGCAACCCAGGACCCAGGGAGACCCCCTCTCTACAAAAAATACAAAAATTAGCTGGGTGTGGTGCTGTGCACCTGTGGTCTCAACTGCTCAGGAGGCTGAAGTGAGAGGACTGGTTGAAGCCACAAGTTTGAGGCTTCAGTGAGCTGTGATGGCAACACTGCCCTCCAGCCTGGGTGACACCCTGAGACCCTGTCTGAAAAAGAAAAAAATATGAAGCAACAATGAACCAGGGAGCCACAGCGTGGGGCCAGGGCTGCGGTGTGCTGTAACTGAGCACCAGGCTGGTCTTGGGCCCTGGAGCACCTCCCCATCTTGTGGGGCCTGTGGAACTGCATGTCTGCCATCATTTTTGGGTCCTCGCTAGGATTTCCGCTCCTCCGTTTTCTCCGTGTGGGTGTGGCCAGTCTGTTCTCTGCTCCCAGGGCACTGTTTCCCATCCACGTGTCTGTGTGTTAATTTCTGGTTCCCTCCAGCGTGGGAGTGTGGCCTTGCTGAGTGTCCCCCGCTGTCTCCAGAGGGCCTCATGGTGTTTGTGTCCCTCTAGCCCTGCCAGCCTGGTTTATAGAAAGTATGAGGCCTGAGGATGCCTCAGCAGGGGCCCCGCCACAATGCTAATGGGCTGGACAGTGGGAGCTGCAGCGCACAGCCTGTGCTCAGCATGCCCAGGAGCGGCCGCGTTCAGATGGGTTCCCTGTCTTCTCTCTTCAACCATGTCCTGTGTCTTCTGTGGGCTCAGAGGGTGTGACTGTGGTCCTCTCTTTCTGATCCCCAGCCCTGCCAGCCAGGTTCACAGGGGGTCTGAGGAATGAAGAGGCCGTGGAAGGGGCCACAGCCACGCTGCGGTGTGAACTGAGCAAGGCAGCCCCCGTGGAGTGGAGAAAGGGGCCTAAGAACCTCAGAGATGGGGACAGGCACATCCTGAGGCAGGAGGGGATGAGGTGTGAGCTGCAGATCTGTGACCTAGCCATGGCGGACGCTGGGGAGTACTCGTGCGTGTGTGGGCAGGAGAGGACGTCAGCCACGCTCATTGTCAGGGGTAAAGATTGTGTGTGGCCTTGTGGACCTGTGGCATGGTGCCTACATGTCACCATGCCATCCTCATCTTCCAAATGTGGGAGAGCCCCTGTGGCAAACCCGGAGTTGTCTCTTCTCCACCTGGGGTCCTCCGTTGTCTGCCACCTCCCCGGCTTCTTGTCCTGGAGGTGTCCTCCCGCTCATCCCTCTGTGTTCTCTGTTCCTGCCAGTCCAGTTGCTCCCTCCTGTGTGATGTTCCTTTGCTCCTTCACACGTGGTCCTCTGGTGGTTTGTGTGGTTCCTTGTGGGTGCCCATGTCCCATCCAGAGTCGTCTAGACAGTCTGATGATCCCAGCGACTGCTTGGTCCTTCTCAGCCCTGCCTGCCAGGTTCATAGAAGATGTGAGAAACCAAGAGGCCAGAGAAGGGGCCACGGCCACGCTGCGATGTGAGCTGAGCAAGGCAGCCCCCGTGGAGTGGAGGAAGGGGTCTGAGACCCTCAGAGATGGGAACAGATACAGCCTGAGGCGGGACGGGACCAGGTGTGAGCTGCAGATCCGTGGGCTGTCCGTGGCAGACACTGGGGAGTACTCGTGCGTGTGTGGACAGGAGAGGACCTCGGCCACTCTCACCGTCAGGGGTAAAGGCCACATGTGGCTAAGGAGAGCCATCTTCTGGGGTCCATGTGTTGTTGTCATGCTGTCCATCTGTGCTTTCCCCACGCTCTCTCCCTGCAGCTGCGGCACTCTCTTCCCATCACTCCAGAGTCCCCTCCAGCCTCCAGAGCTGTTGTAGGAACCAGGAGAAACTGGCCCTGCAGCCAGCTCCCACCCCATGTACCTGCACGGATGGGTTCTGTCATGTTGTCCTGTTGGCGTCTGTGCCTTGCCCTTCATGCTGCCTAACCCTCCCCCACAGAGTGCTCCCAAGGCTCTCATGGTCTTTGTGTGTGTCTGACATCTTCTGGCTCTGGCAGCCAGAGTTACATAAAGTATGAGGCCTCAGGAGGCCACAGAAGGAGCCACAGCAACAGTGCTGACAGGCTGGAGTGTGGGAAGCCCCTGTCCGCAGCCTGTTCTCAGCACACCTCCATGTGGCCTATGTCCAGTTGGGTTCTGTGTCTTCTCTGTGCCATCCGTGTTTTGTCTCTTCCACGTGCTCAGAGAGCATGAGTGTGTTCATATATTCTGACCCTCCCCCAGCTCTACCCATCAAGTTCACAGAGGGACTGAGGAACAAAGAGGCCACAGAAGGGGCCACAGTCACGCTGCAGTGTGAGCTGAGCAAGGTGGCCCCCGTGGAGTGGCAGAAGGGGCATGAAACCCTCAGAGATGGAGACAGACACAGCCTGAGACAGGACGGGGTCAGGTGTGAGCTGCAGATCCGTGGCCTGGTGGTGGAGGACACTGGGGAGTACCTGTGTGTGTGCGGGAAGGAGAGGACCTCAGCCACACTCACCGTCAGGGGTAAAGGCCACATGCGGCCAGGTGGTGCCGTGCTCGTGTCCACGTGTTCATTTGACACGTCTGTCTCTGCCCATGCTGCATTCTCTCCCTGTGTCTGTGCCGGCCTGTGTCCGTAACTGCGCAGGTGTCTTCCAGCCTTCGGCGCTGCTGTAGGAAGCAGGAGGAAGCAGGCTCTCCAGCTGGCCTTTACTGCGTGCCTCCAAGGGCTCTGTTGATATTGTCCCGTTGAATTCCATGTCTTCCATCCTGTCGTATTCTGTCCCCTGATGTTCTCCAGATGATCTGATGTTCTCATGTGTTTCTGGCCCCCTCTGGACCTGCATGCCAGAGACTCCTATAAAGGCTGAGGTGTGAGGAGGCCCCTGGAGGAGCCGTGGCCAGGTGCTGTGCAGCCAGTACTGAGGAAGCCCCAGTTCACAGCCTGTGCTCAGCACGCCTGTGTGGCCTGTGCCCAGTTGGGTTCTGTGTTTTGTCTGTGCCCTCCACGTCCTTCCTGTCTCTTTCGTGTGCTCAGAGAAGATGATCATATCTGTGTCTTCTGACCTCCCCAGCCCTGCCTTCCAAGTTCATAGAGGGTCTGAGGAATGAAGAGGCCACAGAAGGGGCCACGGCCATGCTGCGGTGTGAGCTGAGCAAGGCGGCCCCCGTGGAGTGGAGGAAGGGCTGTGAGAGCCTCAGAGATGGGGACAGATTCAGCCTGAGGCAGGACGGGACCAGGTGTGAGCTGCAGATCCGTGGGCTGTCCGTGGCAGACACTGGAGAATACTTGTGTGTGTGCGGGCAGGAGAGGACATCGGCCACACTCACCATCAGGGGTAATGACCACATGTGGCCACCTGAGTGGCTCCTGTGTCCTCCCACCTAACCCACGTGGTCTCTGCTCTCCCAGCGCTTCTTGATACCAGTGTCATCTCATTCAGTCACTCGCCTGTGTGACACATCCCTCAAATGCACGTGGAGCCCACCTGGATCACCTAATCTAAGGCCTGCGAATATGGACTCCAGGGGTGAATGAGGCAGGGACCCAAAGGAGAACCCCACAGACAGACATCAGGGTACAAGAGAGTTGCTGGGGCTGCTGGTGTCTTGCTGGTACCTGCACTTAGGCGTGGGCTCCGGGGCCTGAGGCCTAGGGGCTCCGCTGATGGACGTGCACAGTAGGGTTGGGGGCTCAGCAAGGAGGTGGTCAGGCCAGGTCCCCCTAAATCTGCCGAGAGTGTTTGTTCCCTGTGGTCACGCCAGGCTCCTGAAGGACGGCAGGCGCAGCAGAACACTGCATCTGAGTGGTTTCGCAGCGGATGATTCTTTTCTCAGACTTCCGGAGTCTGAAATTCCAAGATCAAGGAGTCACTCTGACATTGTGAAGTACTGAGGGTTAGGACTCAGTTCAGGCCATGACGTTTCACCCTCTGGCTTCCCACAATCAATGACCTTCTAACATGCAGAATGCATTTCCTCCTTCCTAACAGCCTGTAATCGTAGCCCATTCCAGCATCAACTCCAAGTGCAAATCTCATGTGAACGTTATCACCTAATTCAAATGTGCAGGAGGGGGAGTCTGACTTGTCCTGAGGCAGAATTCTTCAATTGTGAAGTGTGAAACCAGACAAGTCTTGTGCTTCCAAAATGCAGTGGTGCAGACATAGGATAGACATTCCTGGTTCAAGAGGGGGAAAGTTGGAGAGAAAAAAGGGTCATGGGTCTTATGCAGGCCTGAAACTAGCAGAGCAAATTTACTAGATTTTAAGGCCAGTGATTGGGGATGATGGCTCACGTCTGTAATGCTAGTACTTTGGGTGGCCGAGGCAGGAGGATTACTTGAGGCCAGGCATTCTAGACCAGCCTGGAAAGTATAGCAAGACCCCTTTTCTTAAAAAAAAAAAAAATTTTTTTTAAATTAGGTGTAGTGATGCATACCTGGGGTTCCAGCTACTAGGGAGGCTGAGGCAGGAGGACCACTTGAGCCTGAGAATTTGAGGCTGCAGTGAGCTATAATTGTGTCACTGCACTCCAGCCTGAGTGACAGTGAGACCCCCATCTCTATTTTTTTTTAAAGCCTGAAAAATAATTCTCTTTGACTTAATTCCCAGTCCTCCATGCCAACCAGAGATTGGTGGTCCCCAACCTCTCAGACCTGGGTGACATCTTACCCACTCATCTCTGGGCAACAGCCTCTCCCCCCGGTTCTGGACAGAGGAGGCCCTGACCCCTGCACCTCTAGTGGCAGTGGCAGCCCTGCTGAGGCCCTTGGGGCCATTCTTCCATTTTCTTGGAGGATAAGACATGTTTGCAGCCATATATTGATATTAGCTCATTCTGTAGAATCCCATAAGTCTGACAGCCTTCTTTCATTTTATGCCACCTCAATCCAGTTCACTCCAATTTGCTTGTATAAGATTATCAGAAACTGGCCGGGCGTGCTGGCTCAAGCCTGTAATCCCAGCATTTTGGGAGGCCGAGGTGGGTGGATCATGAGGTCAAGAGATCGAGACCATCCTGGTCAACATGGTGAAACCCCGTCTCTACTAAAAATACAAAAAAAAAAAATGTGCCTGTAATCCCAGCTACTCAGGAGGCTGGAGCAGGAGAATTGCCTGAACCCAGGAGGCGGAGGTTGCGGTGAGCCAAGATCGCGCCATTGCACTCCAGCCTGGGTAACAAGAGCGAAACTCCATCTCAAAAAAAAAAAAAAAAGATGATCAGAAATTGAATTGTCCTTCCATGCAATTCCTGGAGGTTCACACCATCAGATAAGAGGCTCTTCCAGATAACTGCCTCTCTATTCCTGGCTTCTGATGAGATGACTAAGTGGATCCATCCATCGCACACCTGGTGCTTCAGCGAATGGTTGTCTAGCCACACCCTCGACGTTCTCTTCGGAACACAGTGTCTCATTTTTTACCATGTGGATAGGCTGAAACATTTCCAAAGCTCCTTTTTTTTATTTACAGTTCCTCTTCAATTTATTTCCCTCCTCTTGCACTTTTCTCTAAGCAGCAAAGAAAACAGGCTGCACCTTCAACACTTCACTTAGAAATCTCAGCTAAATATGCAAAATTTAGCTGTTTATCAGTCCTGCCTTCCACACACAACAACACAATTTGGACACGTTCTTTGCCACTTAAGAATGAGGATGACCTTTCCAGTAACCTGTTCTTTATTTCCATCTGAGGTCTGACCAGAAGCACCTTGAATGTCCGTCTTTGCGTGGACAGGTTGTTGATAGCAATCTAGGTTTTTTTCCAACATGCGCTTCAAATATCCAGCCTCTACCCACTACCCAGTTCCAAAGCAACTTCCACATTTTTAGATAATTGTTACAATGGCACCCAACTCCAGGTATCAATATTCTGTTAGTTTTCTGACTAGAAGTCTGAGATAAAGTGTTAGGTTGACTCCCTCTGAGGCTTCTCTCCTTGGCTTGCTGATGCAGTCTTCTGTTTCTCATGGGGTCGCCCCTCCATGTGTGTCTGTGTCCTAATACCCTCTTTTTTTTTTTGAGACGGAGTTTCGCTCTTGCTACCCAGGCTGGAGTGCAATGGCGCGATCTCGGCTCACTGCAATCTCCGCCTCCTGGGTTCAGGCAATTCTCCTGCCTCAGCCTCCCGAGCAGCTGGGATTACAGGCACGCACCACCGTGCCCAGCTAATTTTTTGTAATTTTAGTAGAGACGGGGTTTCACCATGTTGACCAAGATGGTCTCGATCTGTTGACCTCGTGATCCACCCGCCTCGGCCTCCCAAAGTGCTGGGATTACAGGCTTGAGCCACCGCGCCCGGCCCTAATACCCTCTTTTTATGAGGACACCAGTCATATTGGATTAGGGCATGCCCTGATAACCTCATTTAATGTTAGTTACCACTTTAAAGGCCCCGTCTTTAATACAGTCACATTCTGAGGTTCTAGAGGTTAGATTTGAACATAGGAATTTGGGGGGGCGCAATCACATCATAACCGAGGGTAATCAGGATGGGCCTCGGTTTGTTGTAGCTTGTGAGCTCTCACTCTGCCTGGAGTCAGGAGGGAAGAGAGGACGGCAGGTTGAAGAGTCAGAGTTGTGGTGTAGAAGCCACATCTGGAGTCTGTTGTGGGTTTCGGTGATTGAGCCAAGGCGATGTGTATCGAGTAAGGTCAGGACAGGAGTGAGGTGGAGACCACAGGGCCTTGTGTGGGCTGGGATGGTGGGCAGTGAGCCCAGGAATGCCCATTCAGGAGCAGTGCCAGATGGACGCCCTGCTTGGGATGAGTATCTCCTGTATGAGAATGGGAGGCAGGCATCAGGGCAGGGAGGTGCCTCCTATGAGGCTGGCGGGGGTGGGGTGGAGGGAGAGGGAGAGAGGGAGGGAGGGAGGGAGGGAGGAGAGAGAAGAGAGATCTGCATCACATTACTGCATATGTGGGTTGCAAGTTGGAGTCTTTCTTCCTAGTAATGAATGGGATATGTGTAGGACAAGCTGCCTTTTGAGAAGAGATGCAGGATGGAGCCATCTCCCAGCTAGTCCGTACCTCAGAGGAGAACGCAGGAAGACCTCACTCTCATGCAGCTTTCGGTCCTCCTTATCCCATGTCCGAGGGATCTCCTATTTCCCTCTTGGATGTTGAGGTGTGTCCCTCAGATCCTCCAGAGGGTTTGATGACTTCTGTCCATGTGACCCTTCCTAGCCCTGCCTGCAAGATTCACTCAAGATCTGAAGTCCATGGAGGCCTCAGAAGGGGCCACGGCTGTGCTGCAGTGTGAGCTGAGCAAGGTGTCCCCTGTGGAGTGGAAGAAGGGGCCTGAGACCCTCAGAGATGGGAGCAGATACAGCCTGAAGCAGGACGGGACGAGGTGTGAGCTGCACATCCACAGCCTGGCTGTGGCTGATGCTGGGGAATACTCGTGCATGTGTGGACAAGAGAAGACCTCAGCCATGCTCACCGTCAGGGGTAAAGTCCACATGTCCAGAGCCACATTCTGGTGTCCCGTTGTTCACTTCCTGTTGTCAATCTCTGCTCACTGCACGGTCTCCCCCAGACTGCCACACTCTTTACATCATGCCCCGCTGTCCCTTCCAGCTTCTTGGGCTGCTGAAGGAACCAGAAGAAACACATGTACATCCAGATTCCCACCCCTGTGATACCGCGGGCCCTGTCCTATCGGATTGTGTCTGTCCTTCATTTTGTCATGTCCTGTCTACCAGCGCTTTCAAGGAGTCTAACATTCTTGTTTTATGACCCTCTCTGGCCCTATGTGACAGATTCATGGTATCTCTGAGGCCTGAGGAGCCCATGAAGGGGCCATGACTATGGTGTTACCAGGCTGCACTGTGAGAGAATCTACAGCCTGTGCTTGGCATGCCCTACGTGTGGCCTGTGTTCAGTTGGGTTTCTGTCTTCTCTGTGCCATCTGTGTCTTGTCTCTTTCATGTGCTCAGTGTAATTGTGTCCCTGTCTTTCTGATCCCTTCACCAGCCCTGCCTGCCAGGTTCACAGAGGGTCTGAGGAATGAAGAGGCTGTGGAAGGGGCCACAGCCACACTGCAGTGTGAGCTAAGCAAGGCAGCCCCTGTGGAGTGGAGGAAAGGCCTCAAGGCTCTCAGAGATGAGGACAGATACAGCCTGAGACAAGACGGGGCCATGTGTGAGCTGCAGATTCACAGCCTGGCTATGGCAGATACTGGGGTGTACTCATGTGTGTGTGGGCAGGAGAGGACCTCAGCTACACTCACTGTCAGGGGTAAAGACCACATGGGCTTGTGGCTTGGTGTATACGCCTCTCTCTGTCACCGCCTTCTGCCTCCAAATATGGCACAGTTCCTGTGGCAACCCTGTGATTATCTGTTCTTTACCTGGGGCCCTCTAGATATCTCCCACCCCCCACCCCTGTCTCATCAGGAGATGTCCTCCTGCTCATGCATATCCCTGTGTATTCTCTGTGCCTCCTGGGCCATTTGCCTTCTCACTGTTTGTTCATTGCTCATCTTGCTGTGGTCCTTTGGTGGTTTATGTGGCTCCTTATTAGTGTCCATGCCCTGTCCAAAGAATCCTCCAGACAGTCTGAAGATGTCAGTGACTGTTTGGTCCTTCTCAGCCCTGCCTGCCAGATTCGTAGAGGATATGAGAAGCCAGAAGGCCACAGAAGGTGCTACAGTCACCCTGCAATGTGAGCTGAGCAAGGCGGCCCCTGTGGAGTGGAGAAAGGGGCCCAACACCCTCACAGATGGGGACAGATACAGCCTGAGGCAGGATGGGACCAGGTGTGAGCTGCAGATTCGTGGCCTGGTCATAGCAGATGCCGGAGAATACTCGTGCATATGTGGGCAGGAGAGGACCTCAGCCACACTCACCATCAGGGGTAAAGACCACATGTGGCCACCTGAGTGACATGTCTTCCCCCACCTAACCCACATGGTCTGTGCTCTCCTAGTGTCTCTAAATGTCGTTGACATCTTATTCAGTCACTCATCTGTGTGGTCCATCCCAAAAATGCACACTGAGAACCCACTTGAATGGCCTAATCCAGGACCTGGACATACAGACCCCAGAGATGAATAGTGCAGGGTCCCCAGGAGGCACCAGCAGACAGGTGCCAAGATCCAGGAGAGCTATGTGGGGCCCCTGCCATTTTACAAGGGCCTGTGGATGTGCACCAGCTCTTGGGCCCCAGGCATGGAGGTCAGGAAATGTATGTTCTTAGACATAGCAATAGGTTCAGGCCAGGTGCCTCTTCAATCTGGCGAGTATTGTCATCAATCTTTGTGGTCATTCCAAGCTTCTAAAGGAGTGTTGTCTTCATCTGCTCAGGCTGACATAACAAAGCACTGCAGACAGCATGGCTCAAACAACAGATTTATTTTCTCAGAAGTATGGGGCTGAAATCACAAGATCGAGGTGTCAGTCCCTCTTGTAGACAGCTGTCTTCTCGTGTCTTCACATGGTTGTCCCTCTGGGTGCATATATGTGGCTTAACCTCTCTTTATAAGGGCACCAGTCACACTGGATTTGGGCCCATGTAACAACCTCATTTTACCTTTCAATGATCATCTTTAAACACAGTGACATTCTGAGGTGTACTAGGGGTTAGGACTTCAATATATGCATTTTTCTGAGGCACAATGCAGACCATAACACTCCACCCCCGGATTCTGAAAATTCATGGCTGCCTCACATGCAAAATATGTTTACTTCTTCCTGACAGTCCCAGCTCTTAACGAGTTTCAGCACCAACCAGTCCAAATGGCCTCTAAATACCATCTGAGTCAACTGAGGGAGACTCAACCTGAGGCAAAATTTTTCTTCATTTGTGAAATCAAGACAAGTTATTTGCTTTGAAGTCACAATGGTGGGACAGGCATAGGATGGACATTCTTAGGGAGAAACTGGAAAGGAAAAATGAGTCATGGGTCCCAAGCAAGGTGTAACCCAGCAGGACAAATATCGTTAGGTTTTAACACTTTGGCTTAATGCCCTGTCCTCTCGACCCAACAGGGTTGCAGTTCTACCCTCTCAGCCCTGAGTGGAGGTATCTGGCTCTCTAATTGAGGAGAAGACATCCTTACTCCCAGGCCTATGCCCTCTAGCCCCTGGTTATACTGCCATTCCTGTCAACCTCTGAACCAGCTTTTGGGTCATTATTCCTTTTTCTTGCAGAATATCATGCTTATATCCAGGTAGCTCTATTGGCCCATCCTGTAGATTCTTAGAAGTCTGACAGCCTTCCTTCATTTGTCCCATCTCTGTTCCAGTCAGTTCAAGCTAGCAGCATTTCCTCTGCTCTAAAGATCTCAGAAACCTTGTCCCATGTGATCCATATGGGTGAAACCCACCAGACAAGAGAGTTCTCCACAGACCTTTCCTTGATCATCTCATTTCTATTAATGGTTTCTGCTGAGAGGGCTGGATGGATCCATAAACCACATACCTGATTTGTGTAGCAAATGGTTGTCCAGCCTTGATACTCTCCCCAGAACATGCTTTCTCATTTTTTTGCAGTATGTATAGACTGCAAATTTGTCTATATCTTCAAGCTCTGGTTCCTTTTTGCTTAACAATTCCTTTTTGAATTTATCTTTCTCCACTCGCATTTTCATATTGGAGAGAAACCAGGCTAAGCTTTCAATTCTTTGCTTAGAATCTCCCCCAGCTTTGTTGTTTGCAAGTCCTGCCTTCCACAAAATGCTAGAATAAAATTTGACCAGGTTCTCGGTCACTTTATAACCATGATTGTCTTTCTCCAGTTCTTAAGAACATACCCCATTGTCATCTGAGGCTTGACCAGAATCACTTAAAACCCATGTCTTCACCAACAATTGCTGCCTGGCAAACACTGTTTTTTGCTATGCACCTAAAATATATTTCAACCACTTCCCATTACCCAATTGTAAAGCCACATTCACGTTTGTTACTTTGGCACCCCACTCCTGGTACCAAAGTTTGAATTTGTTTGCTTGGAATGCCATAAAGAAAGTATCATAGACTGGGAGGTATAAATAACAGAAATTTATTTCCTCACCATTCTAGAGGCTAGATGTTTGAGATCCAGGTGTCAGTAGGGTTGGCTCCTTCTGAGGCCTCTCTTCTTGGCTTGTAGACACTGTTTTCTCTGTGTCTTCACTGGTCCTTGTAAGGGAAGCATTTATATTGGATTAGATGCCACCCTTATGATCCCATTTAGCATTAATTACTCCTTTAAAGGCTCTATCTCAAAAATAGTTGTATTCTGAAATAGTGGAAGTTAGGACTTCAACATTTGACTTTTGTGGAAGCACAACCTATAGCAGGCTTTGGCTATGTAATTGGGTTGGGTTTTGCTCTGCTAACTTGTGAGCCCTCTGCCTAGAGTCAGGAGGGAGGAGAGAATGGTAGATTGGAGGTTCAGAGAGGTGTAGTTAGAGGCCACATCTGATATCTGCTGTGATCTAGGTGATATGAGCCAGGGTAGTATGTGGGAATGTGGATTCAGTAGGGTCAGACCAGGAGCATATCGGATGGAGGCAGCAGGACCTGTGTGGGCTGGGCTGTTGTATGGTGAGCCCCGGTATATCTGGGATGGAAGCTCTGTCTGCTCAGACTGTCTCGTGTGAGGGATGACAATGGGACAGTGGATGTTGGGACCTGAAGATGCCTCCTGTGTCATCATGGAGAGATGTCCATCACATTATTGCATATGTGGGTTGCAAGTTGGAGGAGCCTGTCTTGCTTCCCCATAATGAAAGTTCACAGGTAGGACAAGATGCCCTTTGAGAAGAGATCCAGGATGGAGCCCATCTCCAAGTCAGTCTGCACCTCACAGGCAGAATGTAGGAAGATCTCACTGTCAGATGCATTTTGGGCCACTTTCTCCAGCCTTCCTGCTTCTTTCTCCTTGGATGTTCAGGTGTGTCCCTCAGATCCTCCAGAGGGTTTGATGGCTTCTGTCCAGGTGACCCTTCCTAGCCCTGCCTGCCAGCTTCACTCAAGATCTGAAGACCAAGGAAGCCTCAGAAGGGGCCATGGCTGTGCTGCAGTGTGAGCTGAGCAAGGTGGCCCCTGTAGAGTGGAAGAAGGGACCTGAGACCCTCAGAGTTAGGGACTGTGTTCCCTGTTCCTCCTGTGCCATGTGCTTTCTCACACTCTGTACCTTTGCTCATTCTGCCGTGGTTCTTGGTGGTTTGTGTGGCTCCTTGTGTGTGTCTGTGTCCTGTCCACAGAGTCCTCCAGACAGTCTGATGATCTCAGTGACTGCTTGGTCCTTCCCAGCCCTGCCTGCCAGATTCATAGAAGATGTGAGAAACCAAGAGGCCGGAGAAGGGGCCACGGTTGTGCTGCAGTGTGAGCTGAGCAAAGCGGCCCCCGTGGAGTGGAGGAAGGGGTCTGAGACTTTCAGAGATGGGGACAGATACAGCCTGAGGCAGGAAGGGACGAGGTGTGAGCTGCAGATTCGTGGCCTGGCTATGGAGGATACTGGAGAGTATTTGTGTGTGTGTGGGCAGGAGAGGACCTCAGCGACACTCACTGTCAGGGGTAAAGATATGGTGTGGTCATGTGGACTTGTGGCTTGGGATCTACATGTCTCTGTCACCACTTTCTGCTTCCATATGTGGCACTTCTGTGGCAACCCTGAGGTTGTGCGCTAACTGGGGTCCTCTGGTTATTTCCTTCTCATCAGGAGACATCCTCCTATTCATGCCCATCCCTGTGTGTTCTCTGTTCCTTCTGGGCCACCTGCCTTCTCACCCTTGGTACATTCATTTGCTCATTCTGCTGTGGTCCTTTGGTGGTTTGTGTGGCTCCTTGTGTGTGTCTGTGACCTGTCCACAGAGCCAACCAGATAGTGTGATCTCAGTGACTGCTTGGTCCTTCCCAGCCCTGCCTACCAGATTCATAGACAACATGACAAGCCAGGAGGCCACAGAAGGGGCCATGGCCACGCTGCAGTGTGAACTGAGCAAGGCAGCACCCGTGGAGTGGAGGAAGGGACCTGAAATCCTCCGAGATGGGGACAGATACAGCCTGAGGCAAGACGGGACCAGGTGTGAGCTGCAGATTCGTGGTCTGGCTGTGGCAGATGCTGGGGAGTACTCATGCGTGTGTGGGCAGGAGAGGACCTCAGCCACACTCACCATCAGGGGTAAAGATCACATGTGGCCAAGTAAAGCCACATTGTGGTGTGCCAGTATTGACCTCATCCCATCTATCTCCACTCATTCCGTGTTGTCTCCCTGTGTGCATGTCACCCTGTTCCCATAATTGCACAGAATCCCTTCCAGCCTCCTGGGCTGTTGTGGAAACCAGGAGAAAGCAGCATCTCCAGCCTGCTCCCACCTGTGTACAAGCATGGGTTCAGTCACATTGTCCTATTGGCTTCTGTGTGTTGTTCTCCATTCCCTTGTATTCTGTCCACCAAAGTGCTCCAGAAGATCTGATTTCCACATGCATCTGGCCCTCTCTAGCTCTTTGTTTACCAGATTGATACAAAGACTGAGGTGTGAGGTGGCCACGGAGGGGCCATGGTTATGTGCTGTACAGCTTGGACTGAGGGAAGCCACAGTGCATAGCCCGTGGTCAGCACATCCTGACATGGCTCATGTCCATTTGGGTTCTGTGTCTTTTTTATGTTGTCCATGTTCTATCTCTTCTGTGGGCTCAGAGGCATGAATGTGTCCATATCTTCTGACCTCCCAGCCCTGCCTGCCAAGTTCACAAAAGGTCTGAGGAATGAAGAGGCCACAGAAGGGTCCATGGCCACGCTGCAGTGTGAGCTGAGCAAGGCGGCCCCTGTGGAGTGGAGGAAGGGACCTGAAATCCTCAGAGATGGGGACAGACACAGCCTGAGGCAGGACGGGTCCAGATGTGAGCTTCAGATCCGTGGCCTGGCTGTGGCAGATGCCGGGGAGTACTCATGCATGTGCGGGCAGGAGAGGACCTCAGCTCTGCTGACTGTTAGGGGTAAAGGTCCTGTGTGGCTGGGTGTTTATGTTATCTCTGCAGATAACTTGGTGTTTACATGTTATCTTCTACCTCTATCTCTCCATGTGCCACTTTCTGTGTCTCAGCGTGGCATGGTCCTGTGGCAACCCATGGTTGTCTGTCCTCTAACCAGGTCCTCTGGGCATCTCCTGCCTCCCCATCTTGTCCAGGAGGTGTCCTCATGCCCATGGCCTTCTCCACGTGTGCTCTCTGTTCCTCCTGGTTCATTTGCTTCCTCCTGTGTGAACGTTCATTTGCTCCTTCACGTGTGGTCCTTTGGTAGTTTGTGTGGTTCCTTGTGGATGCCCATGTCCTGTCCACAGAGTTCTGCAGACAGTCTGATGATCTCAGTGACTGCTTGGTCCTTCCCAGCCCTGCCTGCCAGGTTCATAGAAGACGTGAGAAGCCAGGAGGCCAGAGAAGGGGCCACGGCCACGCTGTGGTGTGAGCTGAACAAGGCAGCCCCCGTGGAGTGGAGGAAGGGGTCTGAAACCCTCAGAGATGGGGACAGATACAGCCTGAGGCGGGACGGGACCAAGTGTGAGCTGCAGATTCATGGCCTGTCTGTGGCAGACACTGGGGAGTACTCATGTGTGTGCGGGCAGGAGAGGACGTCGGCCACGCTCACTGTCAAGGGTAATGACCTCACATGGCTGCGTGGACTGATGCCGGTGTGTGGCCTCCTCCGTGTGCAGTCACGGGCACCGCACACCTCCTTGTGGGTGCTTATTTCCTCTGCCTTCTGCGGTTTCCTCTGTCCCCTCTGCCCATGGGTCCCAGTATTATCTTGTGCCCTGGTGTCTGTACTGAGCTCCAGCCACATGACCTTGGGTACCAGTCATGGTGGTAGGGAAGGAATTCCTGCCTTGTTGCCTTCCCCCTGCCTCCCATCACCCCCTAATCAATCAGCTTTCTGCCAGCCTTCATTTGAGCCCTGCAGTGTCAGCCACAGGGTCTCATGTCCTCGGAGAGAGGCCTCTGGTGCCTAGCAAGGGGAGGCAGGACCTAGAGCCCTGGGCCCTGCATGCTGGCCCTGGTTCTGTGCCTTGTGGGGCAAACAGTCCCCACGGCACCTGAGGGCCTAAGGGCACCTGGTCCCTGCCGTGGAGTCTGGGGGCCACAGCCCCACTCTGCGATCTGAATATATATCTGCACCCTGGGGTTTGGATGCCCAGGGAGGGAAGACAGAATCTATAGCCCCAGGCCCTGGCGTCGGCCTGGGATCTGGGGGACTCAGCTCTGCCCTCGAGTCTGGGCCACAGGGCCTCACCCAGTAGCTCTCCAGCCAGCTCCCACCTGTATACCAGGGAGTACATACCCCTGCCCTGGGCCCTGGGGGCTGTGGCCCTGTGGAGGTTGCGGCTGGGGTCCTGGGTGAGAGGACAGTCTCCTAAGCCCTGGGCAGATCTAGCCCCGCCCTGCTTTCCCACCGCTCTGCCTCCTCACTCCCAAATCGCAGACCAGCGGTCCCCACTGCCATCTAGGCAGCACTGCCTGTGAAGCCAGGCCAGGGAGCTGTGGGGAGCTGTGAGAAGCCCAGGCCCTCATCTGCTGGCCTGGAGGGCGATACCTGGTGCAGATCTGGAGCTGACCCTGCCCCCTGCCCCCTGCCTCCTGCCCGCTGCAGCCCCGCAGCCCGTGTTCCAGGAGCCGCTGCAGAGTCTGCAGGCAGAGGAGGGCTCCAGAGCCAGCCTGCGGTGTGAGCTGTCTGAGCCCGGTGCTGCAGTGGTCTGGAGCAAGGGTGGCCTGGAGCTGCGGGCTGATGGGCGCCGGGAGCCACGGCTTCAGGGCTGCACGGCGGAGCTGGTGTTACGGGACCTGCTGCGTGAAGACACTGGCGAGTACACCTGCACCTGCGGCTCCCAGAGCACCAGTGCCACTCTCACCGTCACAGGTGGGCTCCCAGGCTGGCCTGGCCCAGGACCTAGAGCAGTTCCAGTGCTCTGGGCTGACCCTTGGGGCTGCCTCCCCACCTGGGGGTCCCAATTGAGGAGACGGCTTCACAGGGTGGGGGTCGGACCTGGCCCAAGGCCCTGCTCCTTCCAGTAGCTGCTCTGATGCAGTTCCCCTCCCCACCCTGCCCTGTATCACGCCCGCTGTGCGTTCCCTCTTATAGCCCTTCAGGGACCTGCCCTCATACCCTGTTCCTCCCCTGCAGCGGCACCTGTGCGGTTCCTCCAGGAGCTGCAGCCCCAGGAGGTGGACGAGGGAGACACGGCGCACCTGCGCTGCGAGCTGAGCCGGGCGGGTGCCAGCGTAGAGTGGCGCAAGGGCTCCCTGCAGCTCTTCCCTTGTGCCAAGTACCAGATGGTGCAGGACGGGGCTGCTGTGGAGTTGCTGGTACGCGGTGTGGAGCAGGAGGACACGGGTGACTACACGTGTGACACAGGCCACACGCAGAGCACAGCCAGCCTCTCCGTCCGTGGTGAGCTGCTCGCCAGCCCTGCCTCCCACAGCCCTTCACCCTTGGTCAGTGGCCAGGGGCACTAAGTGTGCCTTCCTGCATCTCCCCCAGTCCCCAGGCCCAAGTTCAAGACCCGACTGCAGAGCCTGGAGCAGCAGACGGGTGCTATGGCCCGGCTGTGCTGTCAGCTGAGCGATGCAGAGCCAGGGGCCACGGTACAATGGCTCAAGGAGGGCGTGGAGCTGCATGCGGGCCCCAAGTATGAGATGAGGAGCCAGGGGGCCATGCGGGAGCTGCTGATCCACCAACTGGAGGCTAAGGACACGGGCGAGTATGCCTGTGTGACAGGTGGCCAGAAAACCACTGCCTCCCTCAGGGTCACAGGTGAGACTTGGGGCCTCCCGGAGGAGAGGGTGAGCTGCTCCCTGCCATCCACCCCTCATGGTGGCCCTCTGGGTGCACCTGAGCCCTGCTCTCACGCTGTCTTCCTCCTCACCCCTGCACATCCTGGTGTCCCTGTCAGGGCTCTCTGGGAAACAGGCTGTATCCCCTCAAGCCCACCCGTGGCCGGCGTGTGGGTGCCCTGCTGACTGCTCCTGTTTCTCCTGTAAGCCTTGTCTCCCTGCTGCGCTAGCAAGGGTGGGGCTGCAGTATGCGAGTGGACGGGCTCCCACAACCCCTTCCCAAGGATTCCTCAGACACAACTGCCTCTTGGCCTACACCCCTGGCCCAGATTCTGTCCCTGAAGAGCAGTCATGGTGGGATCTGTGCTTGTGAGCACATCAGGGGATGGAAACCATGTGGGACAGATGGGCCGTGGCAGAGGAGTGTGAGGATGCCCAGGAAGGCTTCCTGGAGAAGGGGGCGTGGGAGCTTGGCCTGGGCTCTTTTACTTGGCTGGTAAAGGGGACCCTCTCGCCTCACCCCTCAGAGCCTGAGGTGACCATTGTGCGGGGGCTGGTTGACGCAGAGGTGCCGGCCGACGAGGATGTTGAGTTCAGCTGCGAGGTGTCCCGGGCTGGAGCCACAGATGTGCAGTGGTGCCTGCAGGGCCTGCCACTGCAAAACAACGAGGTGACAGAGGTGGCCGTGCGGGATGGCCGCATCCACACCCTGCGGCTGAAGGGCGTGATGCCTGAGGACGCAGGCACTGTCTCCTTCCACGTAGGCAGCCACGCTTCCTCCGCCCAGCTCACTATCAGAGGTAGCTGCAGGCGGGCCCCACCAGTGACTACACTGGGGATGGAGACAGACAGCATAGGTCCCTGCCTTTGAAGCCTGGGGGCCTGGCAGGGAGGTGGACCTGTGAGCTGGCACTTCAGGATGGCCCTAGGATGTCAGGGGAGAGTGGGCTAAGTCAGGCTGGTGGGGTAGGTGGTTGTGGGCTTTCCATGGGTTGGCACAATGTTGGAGTTTGGGTCTTGGCCCTCATGGGGGCCACTGCAAACCATAGCCCACTCTCAGCCATCAGTCCTCTGCACCATCTCCTCCAGTTCTCACCCGGGTCCCATTTATCCACCTGTCATCCATCCTTTCATCCATGCATTTATCCACCCACCCATCCATCCACCCATTCACTGTCCGTCCTTCATCCCTCCACTCCATCGATCCATCCACAGTCCATCTATTTATCCATTGATCAGCCATCCATCCATCCACCCATTATCCATCCGTTCATTCCTCCATTTATCCATCCACCCATTCACCGTCCGTCAGAGCAGACTCTGCCTGCAGCTGGAGTGGGGAGCTGAGAACAGGCCCCCATGTGCTTATCTTTGTGCATTTTGGGAGGGTGCCCAGGGATGGACCCCCAGGACGATGAGACTCTGCTGATTGAGGGGGTACCTCAGATGCTGAGGCTGACAGCCATGCCTCCCCCATGTCCAGCTCCTGAGGTGACCATCCTGGAGCCCCTGCAGGATGTGCAACTCAGCGAGGGCCAGGATGCCAGCTTCCAGTGCCGGCTATCCAGAGCCTCAGGCCAGGAAGCCCGCTGGGCTCTAGGAGGCGTGCCCCTGCAGGCCAATGAGATGAATGACATCGCTGTGGAGCAGGGCACGCTCCACCTGCTCACCCTGCACAAGGTGCGGCCCCCGGGACCCACGTGTACCAGGATGGGGATGCTTCCCACTCCATTTGGGAAGCTCTTCCACCAGGGGGGTGTGCTGGGGAGGTGATGAGCCCCTGTCATTGAGGTCTGGCAAAATGGCTGGGCTCCTCCTGGTTAGAATGGGGCTCCCAGGATCAGGCATGTTTCTTTCTGGTTCTTCAGGTGACCCTTGAGGATGCTGGAACTGTCAGCTTCCATGTGGGCACATGTAGCTCCGAGGCCCAGCTGAAAGTCACAGGTGGGCAGCCCCCTTCCATACCGGTCACTCTGCCTGCGGATGCCCAGCTTCCTGGGCACCAGATTATCCTGCCCATTGGCGCTGTCCGCGGGTGGGGGACAGAAATCTAAGACTTCCAAAAATGATCTTGTCTTGGGGCTGGCAATGTTCCGACTCCTGGCCACTGAAACCATGGACCAGAGAGGTCACTGGGGTTAGGCTGGTGAAGATGGTCTTGAGAAATTCCAGGGCGTGTGGGGGGTCCCTCTCCGGGATTAATGCCACTTGCGGGAGGGAGATGGGGGGCCCAGCTGCCACAGGCTTGGGCCCTAAGGTAAGGCAGGCCTTCCTGACTTCCACCCTCCTGCTGCCTCCTCCGATGATACGGATGCACGCACACGCCAGCACTTTCATGTTTGCACACATCTGCCTGCCTCAGGCTCGAAGGCGCAGGTGCAAAAGCGGGCCTGTGACAAGCGTACAGGTTTGGGCAAGCATGCAAAGGGTTTTAGGAAGTTTCCACTTGGGTTATATATACCTTGCCCCCAGAGCTGGTCATCCCTGAGAGCTTGTCCTTGAGTGCTCTTCCCCGACTGTCCTACCCCTAGGCCTCAATCAGGTCCCATCTGTGTACTCATCATCCATCTATTCATTCATTCATTTATCCATTCACCTATCCACCTTCCATCCATCTGCTATGTGTTTTCAGTCCGTCATCTACCCATTCATCTATCACCCATCCTTTTACCATCTGTCCATCAATCCATTCGCAATCCATCCATGCATCCATTCACCTACCATCCGTCCATTCACCATCCCTCATCCATCCACCATTTACTATTCATCTGTCCATCCTGCTGTTCATCTGTTGATCCATCTGTATCCATCCATCCACACATCCATCCGCTATTCATCCATAATCTATCCCTCTATCCATCTACTACCCATTCACCCATCCTTCCATTCATCTACCATCCACCCATCCACGCATTTGCTCACCTGTCTACCCTTCATTACCCTTCCCCTTCCATTCATGTATTCATCATTCACTCATCCACCATCTATCCACCATCCATCATACATTCACAATCCACCTGCTATCCATTCACTCACAGTGGAACATACCCTCTAAGCTCCTAACCAAGTCCTGAGCCTCTCAATGGGCTGGATGCAGTGTGCCCTCAGGGAGGCCCCAGTCCGTTGGGGGAGTTGGACATGGAGATGGTGTGTCCTTCATCCTAGGTGTCACGTTCCACTCCCAAGTTGTTAAAAGGAGACAGATGCGCTCAGTTCTGTGGCCTGTGGCTTTGGTAAAGGTTCCAGATGCCAACGCCCTCCAGTTGAGTGATAAAGATGGGGAGTTTGCCAGGTGTCCTGAGCAGGGGCAGGATAGCAGGGGCCTGGTGTGGTCGTTGCAGTGGGCAACCGAATGGAGCTGCATGGAGCTGGGCTGTGCTTTGGCCCCTGTCTCAGTGAGGTGCTCTCAGCCTGGGTGAGCTGGCTTACATACAGACACCTGGCTGTGACCCTGTGGTAAGGGCCTGGGCACAGGTGTGTAAATGGGTGCCCATCCCAGGTAGGTTATGTGGTGGAAGAGCTGGGAAATTGCTGGAGACACGAATGGAAAGCTGGTGGAGCAAGATGAGGAGGTGGCCAGATGTGCATTTGGGGAAGACAGTGAGGGCAGACTGGGAGCTGGTGCTGGTCAGTGGTGCACACAAGGAAGAGCATGGAGAGGCTTCCAGTGGAAGGCCTGCTTGGGAGGGCACAGGGGCTGATCTGCCTGGTATGGTCCTGATGAGTGGCTGGTATCTCTGGAATTGCTCCCCACTCATGCTCCCTCAGTCCGTGGGATGGAAGTATCTGGACTTTGCCAACTGCCATTTCTCTCTCTTTGTGAGGAGGCTCACAGGATGGCCTCGGGAAATTTTTCAGGGGCAAGCAAGGATGGAGGGCGGCAGGTGGTGGAATAAGCCTTTGGTTCTGTCTTCCTCTCTTGCCTGTGGTGTGCGGGGTTCAGCTGTGTGGGCACAGTAGCCCGGGCACGTTCTCCTCTCTGCCGAGAGCACCCTGAGTTTCCGTCTGAGAGGTAGATGGGATGGAGGAGGAGAGTGAGGAAGGCACAGGGCAGGCAGTGACCACACATGTCTGGACAGCCCCTTGAGCTTGGGCCCTGCTGTGTGACCAGGAAGGGAGCAGTTGCCACTCAACATTAGGGCCCTGGAATTCTGGACTGAAGGGACCTTGGAGGACATCTGGACAAACTGCCCTCTTAGGATGGGAGAAGTGTCTGCTTCCACACCCCTGGGGACAGGGAGCTCATTTCTGAGGCGAACTCCCATCCTCTCACAGTAGCAGGCCCTGTGGCTGCTCCTTCCCAACCCACACTGGGTCAGACAAGGCACCAAATGCCAGAAAGAACCCCAGCTATGGGGCTTAGAGCTTGTGCTTCTGAGAAGGGCACGCGTGCCTGTCGTCAGCCTCCTGTGGGTGAGACCAGGCATGTTCTGAAGGGGTGTGTGGGGTGTGGGTCTGTGAGCTTGGGCTGAGCTACTCTCCACAGGCTCACTGTGGGTGGCCTCTGTGTCTCCCTCTGTGATCAGGGTGGGCCAGCTGGCCGGGTTGGGGTTCCAGACCCTAACCCTAGGTCACCCTCCTGGCCAGGTGGTACCCACTCTGGCAGACCCCAGGGTGGCCCTGTACCAGCTGCTAGCCCCAGGCTATTCTAGCAAGTCCCACTTTTGGCAAGGGTGAGAGGGTGAGCTATGATGTGATCACAGCTCAGTGTAGCCTCAGCCTCCTGGGCTCAAGCCGTCCTCCCACCTCAGCGTCACGAGGAGCTGGGATTACAGGCACAGGATGCCTCCACAGGGTCTTACCCTGTTGCCCAGGCTGGTCTTGAACTCCTGGGCTCAAACAGTCCTCCTACCTTGACCTCCCAAAGTACTGGGATTATAGGTGTGAGCCACTGTGCCGGGCCAGTTCCCACTTCTGACACCAATTCTAGAGAACAACACACCCACTGTTTTTCTCCTGTTACTCTCGCAGCACAGAACACTCTGTGACCAGATGTCTGGGGCCACACATCAAGTGATTCTCTAGCAACAGCAACTGGCTGTCTACAATTCAGTTTAATTCTGATACTTTTTTTTTTTTTTTTGAGACGGAGTTTCGCTCTTGTTACCCAGGCTGGAGTGCAATGGTGTGATCTCGGCTCACTGCAACCTCCGCCTCCTGGGTTCAGACAATTCTCCTGCCTCAGCCTCCTGAGTAGCTGGGATTACAGGAATGTGCCACCATGCCCAGCTAATTTTTTGTATATTTAGTAGAGACGGGGTTTCACCATGTTGACCAGGATGGTCTCGATCTCTTGACCTCGTGATCCACCTGCCTCGGCCTCCCAAAGTGCTGGGATTACAGGCTTGAGCCACCGCGCCCAGCCCCAATTCTGATGCTTTCTACTTGGAGTTAGAGTCAGAGTTCACAGATTAAGGGCTCTGTCCCACAAGACTGCCCCCACTCAGATGCCAGTGGGAAGTCCCCGGCCACCCACATTTTTGACGGAACAGTTGTGAAATGGGGTTCCCACTGCCCCTCCTTGAGTTTGATTAACTTGCTAAGACAGCTCCCAGAATTCATAGAAACACTTGTACTGAGCAACTATTATAAAGGATACAGCTCAGGAACAGCCGTGTAGAAAAGATTCAAAGGGCAAAGACCTTCTGTGTCCCCCGTGGGTGTGCCATGCTCCCAACGCTCCACGCCTTCACCGACCTGGGAACTCACCAAATCCCATTCAGGAGTTTTCATAGAGCATCATCTCTGACCCCCTCTCCGCATCCTAGAGGTGGGACAGTGGGAAACTTCTAACCCACTAAACACTTGGCCTTTCTAGAGGCCCATTCTGATGCTGTCCAGGACCCCTACCTGAGCCACCTCATTAGCATAAGCTCAGGTGTAGTCACAGGAGCACATCGTGAACACTCAGGGACTTCTGAGGGCTTTAGGGCCTCTGTGCCAGGAACCAAGGACAGAGACCCAATCTATTCCTGTGCCATACCCCCACACCAGTGAACCCTGAAGTGGCCCAGTCCTGTGGACTCCAGGATGCCCTAGCCTGGCCCTCCTTCTTATCCTCTTGTGCAGAGGCAGCACCGTGCCTGGTACGTGGCTTGCAGAATGTGGATGTCTTCGCTGGGGAGGTGGCCACGTTCTCCTGTGAGGTGTCTCACGCGGGTGGGCCGGAGGCCCGCTGGTGGCTGGATGGGACCCTGCTGCAGGATGGCCCCCAGAGCGCCATTGCTGTGTGTGAAGGGACTTTTCACTCCCTGACACTCTCAGGCCTGGGGGTGGCCGATTCCGGCACCATCACCTTCCGCGCAGGGCCCCTGGTCTCCATGGCCAAGTTGTTGATCAAAGGTATTGGCCAGTGGGAACCCCCGCCATGCTGGCACTTTTGTGTGCTTCCTGCAGTGTCCTGGGATCAGGGATTCGCCCCCAGGGCCACAGGCTGGGCACCACTGCATGCTCTCTGCCTGCAGCGGCACAAGTGGGCATGCAGGATGGGTGAGAAGCCTGGGTTTAGGGAATGGTGTAGCTGGACACCAGTCTGTGCCCTGCGGGCCACCACCTTGCTGGCTGTACGTGCCCAGCCATGAAACCCAGTCCCTTGTGGAGGCAAGAGCAGCCCCTGCACAGCCTGCCCCTGCTCGCACCTGCTTCCCCTGCTGTGAGCTCAGGCTGGGTTTTTGCCCTTCTGGGAAAGAGCAGGCCATACAGGAGCCCCTCCCAGTGACTCACATGGTGCCTTTGCCCCTGTACACCCTCATAGAAAATGTGGAAGGTTCACTGGGGTCCCAGGGGCAAACAGCCATTTGTGGAGTAGGATTTGGACAGGTGGAGATGGGACGGAGACCCCAAGAGAGATGGCAGAAGGAGTGAGCTGGGCTGGGGCTCTGGCTCCTGAGCCAGGGTCAGAGGGCATTTGGAGAGGGGGACTTTAGGGGCTGTGTGTCCCTTGGGGTAGTGTACCCAGGGCCAGAGGGAGGTAGGGTCAAAAGGGATCAGGAGGGGCCCACCTGGAAAGAGAGCAAGGCTGACAGTGCTATCTGCCATGGGTGGGGGTGAGGCGTGTATGCAGTGGATGGGTGGGCCCCCTTCCCTGGACCACGTGCCTGGCAGTCACCGCCCAGCCATTGCCTGCCACAGCTCTGCGCTTGCTGCCACTGAAGCTGCTAACGCTGACGGCAGAGGGTGGGGAGGCTGTGGAGGCTCAGCCGTGGGGCTGACGTGTGTCTGGCATGTTGGCCGACAGATCCTGTGGTGGAGGTGGTCAGTGCCATGCAGGACTTGGCCGTGGAGGAGGGCGGTTCGGCCGAGCTCCTCTGCCAGTACTCACGGCCTGTGCAGGCCACGTGGAAGATGGACGAGCGGGAGGTGCGCGCAGATGGGCGCCGTGTCATCATAGAGCAGGACTGGAACGTGGCCAGGCTGACCTTCAGGCCAGCCCTGCCCTGTGACAGTGGCATCTATTCTTGTGAGGCTGCGGGCACCCGCGTAGTGGCCCTGCTGCAAGTGCAAGGTGAGGCCGCCTGGGGGCAGCCCCGGCCTGGGGTAGCTTTGCCACAGCTTGGGCTGCGCAGTGATAGTGGAACGGCAGGCAGCGTTGGTAGCGCTGGGACATAGGTGGCTTGGACAGGTGGCAACAGGCCCTGGAGGTGGCAAGCTCACTGCACCAGGAACTAAGCTGTGGGTAGGCAGGGTGTGCACAGCTGCTGGGCTTGTGGCTTCCATGAGGAGTGTGTGGCCAAATTTGAGACTCCTAGGTGTGAACCCACAGGAGAATTAGGGAGGGGGAGCGGAGGGCCGTGGACTCGGGAGGTCTCTGGTTGCTGTGAGTCTGAGCAAGGCATCCCAGTGGCCAGGCAGTAGATCTGCTAGCTCTGTTTGGGGCGTGGAGAAAGGGCTGTTCCCAGACCTTGAAGCTGCGGCAGGGCCCTGGTGGGTAAAGCCCAGCTCGAGCCTCATGTCTGCGTTTGAGCCTGGCTGTGTGGTTGGCGAGTTTCTAGTCTCGTAAACACCTGTGAGGTTTCTCACCTGCGAGGTCAGGATCCCAGTGCCAAAGTGAGCAGGGCATGGCATGGAGGTGGTCAGTGCCATGCCCTGGATGCTGAGTGCTCCCCTCTACGTAGCCTCTGGGGAGGGGCATTTTATTTGGTTTTTTGTAGTTTTCAGGGCTCTCCCTGGGGATGTGGGGACCCTGGAAGTGCAGACTGGTCTGAGACTCCCTCTCCCCTCAGCCAAGAACACGGTGGTGCAGGGGCTGGAGAATGTGGAGGCACTGGAGGGCGGCGAGGCGCTGTTTGAGTGCCGGCTGTCCCAGCCCGAGGTGGCCGCCCACACCTGGCTGCTGGATGACGAACCTGTACGCACCTCGGAGAATGCTGAGGTGGTCTACTTCGAGAACGGCCTGCGCCACCTGCTGCTTCTCAAAAACTTGCGGCCCCAGGACAGCTGCCGGGTGACCTTCCTGGCTGGGGACATGGTGACCTCTGCGTTCCTCACGGTCCGAGGTGACTGCACTGTGCCTGTGCGGGGCAGGCGGGATCCCTCCCACTAGAGGCTGCGGAGGGGCGTCAGGGACGGAGGCCCTGGGGCTGCGGGGAGGGCGGGAGAAGGGAGTGACATGAGGGGCGGGGGTCACCAGGCGCTGGCTCCTTCCACCTGAGGCCCGGAGCCACCTGCTCCTCAGTGGGTAGGAGCCCCGGGCCCGGGGCCCAGGAGGGGTGGCACGGTGCGTGTGTCCTGTGCCGAGACCGGAGGCGCCCCGGAGCTGGGAGGGGATGTGTTGGTCTCTGGGACCCACGGGAGGCTGGGTTGAAGGCAGGCAGGACGGGGCAGGGCTGCAGGCCAAGCAGGGGTGTCCCCGTGGGAGGCTGGGCTGCCCTTGCCAGAGGGGGGCTCGTGGGGCCACAGGTAGGGAGCCTCTGTCTCCCGGACCCCTCCCACCCATGCAGGTGTGATGAAGCAGGGGTCTGAAGCCCAGGCACCGGCCCCCTGCTCAGGCCCTCGCCCTCACACCCCTTCTCCTGCATGGCTGCAGGCTGGCGCCTGGAGATCCTGGAGCCCCTGAAGGATGCGGCAGTCCTGGCTGGCGCACAGGCCCGCTTCACCTGCACACTCAGTGAGGCGGTGCCAGTGGGAGAGGCGTCCTGGTACATCAACGGCACGGCGGTGCAGCCAGACGATGCCGACTGGACGGTCACCGCCGATGGCAGTCACCACGCCCTGCTGCTGCGTGACGCCCAGCCCCACCACGCCGGGGAGGTCACCTTCGCTTGCCGCGATGCGGTGGCCTCTGCGCGGCTCACTGTGCAGGGTGAGTGGTGGGCGAGCTCCCTGCTCCCTCCCTGGTCGGTCTGGGGGAGTCCCAGGCTGGGTTCTGCAGCATCTGTCCACTCCTCACCCTCCGGTTGGCTGCCTGCCGATAAGGGTCTGACCGTGGGAGTTTGGGAGGCTGCCCTTGGCCGGGCATAACCATGCATGAGCCGACTGCCCTGTGGGTTCCTGAGGCCAAGGTCCCCTCATCCATCCTGCCCCATCTCCTCACCTCCCCCCACCCCCAGTTCACATCTAAGTCCATCTCTGGGCAGACCATATATAGGAGGGGCTCTGGCCCCAGAGACTGCTCTGGGCACAGTCTCCATGTGATATGCAGGTGTGCTGCCACGGGGCCTGGGCAGCAGCCCGCACTCCCTGAGACAGGTGGGCCACTGGCACAGCAGCACGGAGCCTCAAGGTGCAGCCACCTGCAGGCAGTGCAGAGCCCAATGGCCTCCAGAGGGGCTGTCCAGAGGCTTTGGGTTGGGGCCTGCACTCTGGAGCCGCCCCCTGACCGGTCCCTCTTTCCCCCAGGCCTCCCTGAGCCCCCAGAGGATGCTGAGGTGGTGGCTCGCAGTACCCACGCTGTGACACTGTCTTGGGCGGCCCCCGCGAGTGATGGAGGCGGTGGTCTCTGTGGCTACCGTGTGGAGGTGAAGGAGGGTGCCACAGGCCAGTGGCGGCTTTGCCACGATCTGGTGCCTGGACCCGAGTGTGTGGTGGATGGCCTGGCCCCCGGGGAGACCTACCGCTTCCGTGTGGCAGCCGTAGGCCCTGCGGGCGCTGGGGAGCCAGTGCACCTGCCCCAGACTGTGCAGCTTGGTGAGTTCCTGATCTGGGACCTGGGGAGTGCCTCCACAAGCTGGAGGAGGGAGGGAGGCTTCAGGGTGGGGCCTGCACTCTGGGTGCATCTTTGCTGATGGGGCCTGTCCTCCTCCATGGACACTGTTCCCAGCAGAGCCACCAAAGCCTGTGCCTCCCCAGCCCTCAGCTCTTGAGAGCCGGCAGGTGGCAGCTGGTGAGGATGTCTGTCTGGAGCTTGAGGTGGCCACTGAGGCTTGCGAGGTCGTCTGGCACAAAGGGACGGAGCGCATCCAACCCAGCGGGCGCTTCGAGGTGGTCTCCCAGGGGCGGCGACAGATGCTGGTGATCAGGGGCTTCACGGCAGAAGACGAGGGCGAGTACCACTGTGGTCTGGCCCAGGGCTCCGCCTGCCCCAAGGCTGCCATCTTCCAGGGTGCGTCGGCCCTGTCCTCCCAGTTCCAGGGTGGGGAGCGCTGGGTGGGGGTGCAGCTTGCCCGCCTGCTCACAGGCTGTCTCAGGGAAGGGCTGAGGGTCCTCTTGAGGACCCCGCCACATGGGAGAGACCAAGGCTCAGTAGGGAGATGCGGCACACCCCACGTGCAGAGCCTTGACGGCTGAGGACAGCCTGCCTGTCCCTGAGCAGGTCCTGGCTGCTGCAACGCTTGCTTCTCCTAGTCTGGTCCCTTCAAGCTTCTGGGCCCCTGGATACAAACATCCCCTGTATTCTGAACTCCCTGCAACTCCCAGTGCTCCAAGCCACCCCACACTCTGAGCCTGAGCCCCACTGCCTGGCAGCCAGCACTCCCATGAGTCTAGGTGCTCTGTCCCAGAAGCAGGGTCAGAAGGGCTCAAATCAGCCCAATTTGCCTTTGCAGAGTCCTTTTCTGTCCCGGCATCACATGTCCTGTGCAGGGAGATAGACTGAGGCCCCACTCCAAGTGGGAGAGCCGAGGCTCAGGGGCTCTGAGACTTGCAAAGATTGTGCCATCTCAAGTAGCCAGGGCCAGGCAGGGAGAGAGGCCTAGCAAGGCCACAGCCCAGCCACATACTGATTAGCAGCCAAGGTGGGTCTGGGGTGTTAGCTGTGTCCTAGCCCACTGACCTGTCTCCTGCCTTCCTCAGTGGCACTGAGCCCAGCCTCTGTGGACGAGGCCCCCCCGCAGCCCAGCCTGCCCCCTGAGGCAGCTCAGGAGGGTGACCTGCACCTGCTGTGGGAGGCCCTGGCTCGAAAACGTCGTATGAGCCGTGAGCCCACGCTGGACTCCATCAGCGAGCTGCCTGAGGAGGATGGCCGCTCGCAGCGCCTGCCACAGGAGGCAGAGGAGGTGGCACCTGACTTCTCCGAAGGCTACTCCACGGCCGATGAGCTGGCACGCACCGGAGAGGCTGACCTCTCACACACCAGCTCTGATGATGAGTCCCGGGCAGGCACCCCTTCCCTGGTCACCTACCTCAAGAAGGCTGGGAGGCCAGGAACGTCACCACTGGTCAGCAAGGTGAGCACCCAACTTGGCCTGCAAGGAGTGGTCTGAGACCTTCGCCATCCTTCCATCCCTCCATCCCTCCATCCATCCATGCATGCACTATTGATCCATCCACCCTTCGTCCACCCATATATGCATCTATTCATCTATCATTTTTTCTTCTATTCATCTACTCATCTACCATTCATCCATCCATCCGTGCATCCATTCATCCATCTTTACTTCCTTCCTTCCATGTACCCATTCATGCATCTCTCTGTCCACCATCCATCCATCCATCCATCCATTCATTCATTCATTCATGCATCTGACCACCATCCATCCATTCATTCATGCATCCGTCCACCATCCATCCATCCATTCATGTGTCCGTTCACCATCCATCCATCAATCCATTCATTCATGCTCCGTCCACCATCCATCCATCCATCCATTCATCCATCTATCCATCCATCCATCCATTCATGCATCCATCTTTCCATCCTTTCCTCCTGCCATCCATCCATTCATACATCTGTTCTTCTTTCCTTTCATCTGTTTATTCGTCATCCATCTACCATCCATCCATTCATCCATCCTTCCTCCACCCGTCCACCACCAATCCATTCATGCTTCTGTCTTTCCTTCCTTTCATCTATTCGTCATCCATCCATCCACCCACCATTCATCCACTTATCTCTGCATCCATCCATCCATCCTTCCTTCCACCCATCCACTATTCATTCATCTGTGCATCCATCCATCCATTCATGCATTCATCTTTCCATCCTTCCATCCTTCTACCATCCATCCGTCCATTCATCCGCCACCAATCCATTCATGCTTGTGTCTTTTCTTCCTTTCATCTGTTCATCCATCCACCCTTCCATCCACCCATACATGAGCCATCCATCAATGCATGCATTTATTCTCTTCTGTTCATCAACCATCCATCCTTCAATCCATGCATCTATTTTTCCTTCCATTTATCCATTTGTTTCCATTCTTCCTTTTATTCATTCATACATTCATTCTTTTTTCCTTTCATCCACCCATCTATTTATGTGTCCATCTTCCTTTACTTTGTTTTTTTTCCATATTCGACACCAACTTGAACCAGACCTTTACTTTCATCTATTCATTCACCTGCCATCTGTTCATCCGTATGTTCATCTTTCTTTCCTTTCTTCCATCTATCCATCCACCATCTATCCGTCCATGCACACATTCTTCCTTCCATCTAGCCATCCATCCACTCATCTGCCATCTATGTACTCATCCATCCATCATCTATTCATCGTCCTACCGTCTATCCATTCATCATCTATCCATCATCCTTCCATCTGTCCATCCATGCATGTGCCCATTCATCATCCATCGACCGTCCTTCCATTTGTCCATCCATGTATGCGTCCATCCATCCTTCCTTCTTTTCATCTATTCATCCATCGTTCTCTCTGACTTGCATCTATCTACCCATTGTCCATTTGTGTATCCACCCAGCATACTTCCATCCATCCATCCATCCATCTGCTATCCATGCGCCACTCCTGTGCCTGTTCACCTGTTTGATTAATCTGTCAGCCTGTTTACCCACCCATACAACCATACAGCTCCATTCATCTGCTGTTTATTATCCATCCACTCTTCGTCCATGATCTATTCCTGTACTTGTTTATCTGCCAGCCTGTTCACCCACTCACCCACTCATACCACTGTCCGTCTAACCGTTCACTCACCCGCCAGCCACCTACCCACCCACCCATGCATGCACCTGTTCTCCCATTCAACCCTCCATTCATCGGTGTGTCTCTCCATCTGCCCTGCACCCACCCAGCCATATACCCACCTGAGTGGTAAAACTTTTGCCTGAAGAGTTGGAACTGACTTCTTCATGGTGATCTTCGCAACCCCGTTCATCCCCGTCTGGGTGACTGTATAAAGCAAATTCCAGGAAGTGGGTTTGCCTTTTGGGAGGTGCCGTCGGACATCTAGGTCAGTTGAAGCTAGTGTGGGTCCAGTTGGTAGGAGGAAAAAGGGCATACTGGAGCGAGGCCTGGAGCTGTCCCCGCCATGCATCCCGCGCTATTCCTGCCCTGTTTCTGGCCTCAGTTTCCCTATCTCACATGACATCAGGCTCTGTGCCCACAGGTCGGGGCCCCAGCAGCCCCCTCTGTGAAGCCACAGGAACAGCAGGAGCCGCTGGCTGCTGTGCGCCCACCACTGGGAGACCTGAGCACCACAGACCTGTGTGATCCGTCAATGGACAAGGCAGCTGTGAGGATACAGGCCGCATTTAAGGGCTACAAGGTTCGGAAAGAGATGAAGCAGCAGGAAGGGCCGGTGTTCTCCCACACATTTGGGGACTCTGAGGCACAGGTGGGGGATGCCCTGCGGCTGGAGTGTGTCGTGGCCAGCAAGACAGATGTGCGAGCCCGCTGGCTGAAGGACGGCGTGGAGCTGACTGATGGGCGGCACCATCACATTGACCAGCTTGGGGATGGCACCTGCTCTCTGCTGATTCCTGGCCTAGGCCGTGCTGATGCTGGCCGCTACACCTGCCAGGTGAGCAACAAGTTTGGCCAGGTAGCTCACAGTGCCTGCGTGGTGGTCAGTGGGACAGAGAGTGAGGCCGAGAGCTCCTCTGGGGGTGAGCTGGACGATACCTTCCGCCGGGCTGCGCGGCGGCTGCACCGGCTCTTCCGCACCAAGAGCCCAGCCGAGGTTTCAGATGAGGAGCTCTTCCTGAGTGCGGACGAGGGCCCTGCAGAGCCAGAGGAGCCTGCAGACTGGCAGACGTACCACGAAGACGAGCATTTCATCTGCATACGTTTTGAGGCACTCACCGAGGCCCGCCAGGCGGTAACCCGCTTCCAGGAGATGTTTGCCACGCTGGGCATCGGAGTGGAGATCAACCTTGTGGAGCAGGGGCCCCGGAGGGTGGAGATGCACATCAGCAAAGAGGCCCCTGCACCTGGGGTACCTCCAGAGCCATTGCCCAGTCTGCTGACTTCTGATGCCGGTGAGTCTGCATGAGCCTCGGTCTGGGGTCCAGAGCCAGGGTGGAGAAGCAGGGGGAGGCAGGGGAGAAGGAGCCAGGCTAGTTGTGGCCAGAGTCAGCTGCAAGCTCAAGGGGTTACCTGTGCCCACCATTGGGCTCTTCGCAGGTGCAGCCCACTGGGGTGTGAACAGCTCTGACTCTGAGGTTAAATAGAGGTTAACACCTATTTGAACAGCCGTGTGCTGTGTTTGAACCCCAGCCCTGTCTCTCACTAGCCGTGTGCTGTATTTGAACCCCAGCCCTGTCTCTCACTAGCTGTGTGCTGTATTTGAACCCCAGCCCTGTCTCTCACTAGCCGTGTGCTCTGTTTGAACTCCAGCCCTGTCTCTCACTAGCTGTGTGCTCTGATTGAACCCCAGCCCTGTCTCTCACTAGCCATGTGCTCTGTTTGAACCCCAGCCCTGTCTCTCACTAGCCGTGTGCTGTATTTGAACCCCAGCCCTGTCTCTCACTAGCCGTGTGCTGTATTTGACCAGCCCTGTCTCTCACTAGCCGTGTGCTGTATTTGAACCCCAGCCCTGTCTCTCACTAGCCGTGTGCTATATTTGAACCCCAGCCCTGTCTCTCACTAGCCGTGTGCTGTATTTGAACCCCAGCCCTGTCTCTCACTAGCTGTGTGCTGTATTTGAACCCCAGCCCTGTCTCTCACTAGCCGTGTGCTCTGTTTGAACTCCAGCCCTGTCTCTCACTAGCTGTGTGCTCTGATTGAACCCCAGCCCTGTCTCTCACTAGCCATGTGCTCTGTTTGAACTCCAGCCCTGTCTCTCACTAGCTGTGTGCTCTGATTGAACCCCAGCCCTGTCTCTCACTAGCCATGTGCTCTGTTTGAACCCCAGCCCTGTCTCTCACTAGCCGTGTGCTGTATTTGAACCCCAGCCCTGTCTCTCACTAGCCGTGTGCTCTGTTTGAACTCCAGCCCTGTCTCTCACTAGCTGTGTGCTCTGATTGAACCCCAGCCCTGTCTCTCACTAGCCATGTGCTCTGTTTGAACCCCAGCCCTGTCTCTCACTAGCCGTGTGCTGTATTTGAACCCCAGCCCTGTCTCTCACTAGCCGTGTGTTGTATTTGAACCCCAGCCCTGTCTCTAACTAGCCGTGTGCTCTGTTTGAACTCCAGCCCTGTCTCTCACTAGCCGTGTGCTGTATTTGAACCCCAGCACTGTCTCTCACTAGCTGTGTGCTGTATTTGAACCCCAGCCCTGTCTCTCACTAGCTGTGTGCTCTGATTGAACCCCAGCCCTGTCTCTCACTAGCCGTGTGCTCTGTTTGAACCCCAGCCCTGTCTCTCACTAGCCGTGTGCTGTATTTGAACCCTAGCACTGTCTCTCACTAGCTGTGTGCTGTATTTGAACCCCAGCCCTGTCTCTCACTAGCTGTGTGCTGTATTTGAACCCCAGCCCTGTCTCTCACTAGCTGTGTGCTCTGTTTGAACCCCAGCCCTGTCTCTCACTAGCCGTGTGCTGTATTTGAACCCTAGCACTGTCTCTCACTAGCTGTGTGCTGTATTTGAACCCTAGCACTGTCTCTCACTAGCTGTGTGCTGTATTTGAACCCCAGCCCTGTCTCTCACTAGCCGTGTGCTGTATTTGAACCCCAGCCCTGTCTCTCACTAGCTGTGTGCTGTATTTGAACCCCAGCCCTGTCTCTCACCGGCCGTGTGCTCTGTTTGAACCCCAGCCCTGTCTCTCACTAGCTGTGTGCTGTATTTGAACCCCAGCCCTGTCTCTCACTAGCTGTGTGCTGTATTTGAACCCCAGCCCTGTCTCTCACTAGCCGTGTGCTGTATTTGAACCCCAGCCCTGTCTCTCACTAGCTGTGTGCTGTATTTGAACTCCAGCCCTGTCTCTCACTAGCTGTGTGCTTCGGGAGAAGCTGCTTACCGTCTCTGTATCTCAGCTTTCACATGTGTGAAATGACGTGAAATCCAGTTGTTTCTTGGTGTACATAGAGATGGATTTCAGAACCCTCCTGTGTACCCAAATCCACACACACTCAAGTCCCCAAATGAGCCCTGCAGAACCTGTGCACCTGAAAAGTCAGCCCTCCCTATACAGATTTTTGCATCCCGCAAGTGCTCTGTTTTTTGATCCACGTTTGGTTGAAAGAAATCTATACGTAAGTGGACCCAGGCAGTTCAAGTGCCTGGCGTTCAAAGGTCGTGTGTACTCACTCTCTAGAATTTTGTTTTTTAAATGAGACTGAAACGTAACCTGTATAAAATGCTGCATTCCTCCTGGTCCAGTCTGCATGCCGTTTCCCATTCAAGCATCTAGGAGTCATTGCAAAGCCATCTCCCTGTTCACTCGTATCTCTCTAGGAATGTTCCAGGGTGTGATGAATGACCCGCAGTGTTATTTCTGGAAACTTCTCTCCAAGTTTGAGCCTTTCCCTGGCTTTGAATCCCTCCCCTGCTCCTGCTGGACTTACAGACCACACAGTCTTTACCTTTGCTTTAGCTCCCTCTTCCTCCCTCTTTCCAGCCCCTTCTCCCTTTTGCCTCAAAGTAACTTGGGAAGCAAGCTGGCAAACAGAATTCTCAGAGAACAAGGAAGAGACAGGCTTAGCAGGCAAAGACACCATCCTGTGTAGCTGTCAGGGTCTTCGAGTGCTCCCCTGTGAATGACTGCTCTGTATGTCGCGTGTGTCAAGCCGTTCGTCTGGTGGTGACTTGCTTGTATGTGGCTGCTGGACATGATCGTTGTTCCCGGGGCTAACTCAGCCATCTTTCCCAGCCCCGCTGTTCCTGACCGAGTTGCAGAACCAAGAAGTGCAGGATGGGTATCCTGTGAGCTTTGACTGCGTGGTGACAGGTCAGCCCATGCCCAGTGTGCGCTGGTTCAAGGATGGGAAGTTGTTGGAGGAGAATGATCGCTACATGATTAATGAAGACCAACAGGGTGGCCATCAGCTCATCATCACAGCCGTGGTGCCAGCAGACATGGGCGTCTACCGCTGCCTAGCTGAGAACAGCATGGGGGTCTCCTCCACCAAGGCCGAGCTCCGTGTGGACTGTGAGTACTGCTGTCTGATTTGGTGCCTCCAGGCTGCTGGCGTAGGGGCTCCTGAGTTCAGCTTGAGGATGGTTGAGAGAGCATTCGTCTCAGGCCAGGCAGGATTTGGGGCTGATTCAGTGTCTTGTGGCTGCTGGAAAGCTCTCTGGGAGCTCAGGCCAAGACAGTGCCCCGTCTGCAGCCCCTTGGGGTAGGGGGTTGAGGGATCTCATCTCTGTGAGAGGCATCCTGGCTGGGACAGAGGCCCAGGATGGTGTGGAAGTGAGTGGGTCAAGAAGGGTGAGTCCAGCCTACCCCCGGGTCCCTTTTGAAGGCTGTGAGATGGCTCGATCAGGAAGCCTCTCAGGAGAAGCTTGGGGCGTGGCGGATGGTTCTGGCACTGCGGAGTTGTGAGAAGCATTTAGCCGACCTTTGTCCTCAGTTCCTTATGCATAGCTTCTAAATCCCCTGGGATTTCCTGGGGGATAGGAGCATGTTTTGTTCTAATAAGGTGACTCTTGGTGGCCCCCAGGTAGCTTCAGGATGAGGGCTGCTTCCCAGAAAGATTAAGCCTTTATTAGAAGCCCCAAACTTTCAGCCCTACCTCCATTCTCTGGGGAGGGTGGAGACGCTGGAGACTAAGGAATCTATCATGCCTGTGTGCTGCAGCCTCCACACCAACCCATAAACTAAGAGGTTTGGGTAGCTTTCAGGTTGGAGAACACATGGAGGTGCCAGGACAGTGGTGCCAAGTGCCGCTCTGCTCCCTCACACCTTGCCCTTGTATGTCTTTTCCCTGAGGCTGTTCCTGAGTTGCATCCTTCATAGTAAAGCACTTTTCTGAGTTCTGCAAGCCATTGTGGCAGATTATCAAACACAAGGAGGAGGTTTGTGGGAACCTCCAATCCGTAGCCATTCGGTCAGACGTGTGGGTGGCAGTGTGAGACTTAAACTGGCATCGACGGTGGGGACAGACAGCCTTGTGAGACCGATCCGGTTAATGTTTGGGGTGTGTGCTAACTTTGGGCAGTTCGTGTCAGAACTGAATGGATGTGTTGTACGTCCAGCTGCCTCAGACACGTTGTGAGTAAAGGCAGCTTAGGCACAGAGAGGAAATGCGAGAAGAAAATAAGCACATGAAAGACGAGCAACGTCATCAGCCCTTAGGGGTATTCAGGTTAACACCCTGGTGAGCTCTCACTGCACACCTACCAGAATGGCTAAAATTAAAAATGGGGATAGCACCAAATGCAAGTGAGGAGACGGAGAAACTGGGTCACTCATACATTGCTGGTGGGAAAGTAAAATGGGCCAGCCACTCTGAAAACAGTGTGGCAGCCTCTTGCAAAACTAGCCATGTGCTCACCATATAACCCAGCAATTTCTTTTTTTTTTTTTTTTTTTGGCGTTTATACCAGAGAAGTGAAAAGATTTCATTCAAACTAAAACCTGCACTCAAATGTTCATGGGACTTACATTCCCAACAGAGCCAAGTGCCGTAACACCCCAAATGTCCTTCAGTGGGTGAGTGGTTAAACCATTCACTTATGTACATCTATTCCACGGAATGCTACCAATCAGCCATGAAAAGGAACTATTGATGAATAATAACTACAATAAAATTGCATCTTATTACATGAAATTAGATATATAAACATACACTCAATTATGTTCTCTTAAAACTTTTGAAATCTCGACAAAAGCACTGGGTTCCATCAGTGTCCGTGTCCTGGTTGCAATGCTGTAGTATAGGTGGGCGGGAGGCTGACATTGCGAAAGGTGGATGGAGAATAAAAGGGATCTCTGCATCATTTTGTAGAACCATGTGTGAATTTACAACTATTCCAAAAGAAAAAGAAAAAAATTGTTAAAGACAAGTCAATGATCTTATATAAGAAAAGGACTTACCATAGTTCCATCTCGGAGCGCTTCATTCTGCTGCGTAGATCTAGATTTCCCTCTGATACCATTTTCCTTCTCCCTGAGGGCGTCCTTTACCATTTCTTGTATTGTGGGTATGCTGAAATTCCTTCAGATTTGCTGTGTCAGAAAATGTCTTTGCTTCCGTTTTGTTTCTGAAAGACGTTTTTCCTAGGACGGTTTTTTTCTTTCCATGTTTTAAAGATGGTGGTCTGCTGTTTCTAGCTTGCATTCTTTCCAGGGAGAATCAGGATGTCATCCTTACACTGATTCTCTCTGTACATAACTTGTGTTTGTATAAGGACTTAAAACTTTTTACGTATTTGCACACCATAACATCGCTAACTTGACAGTGTACAATTCTGTGGGTTTTAGTGACGTTGTGCGACCATCACTTCTGTCTAATATGTTCTGGAATATCTGATTCCAGAGCATTTTCATCATGCCTGAAAAGAAAGCATTAGCACTTACTCCCAGTTCTCCCATTCCCCCAGCCCCTGGAAATAACTGATCTACTTTCTGTCCCTATGGGTCATCCTATTCTGGACATTTCCTATGAGTAGAAGCCTACAATACATGGCCATTTGTGCCTGCCTTCCTTCCCTGAGCATCCTGTTTACAAGGTCCATCCGTGTAGTGGCGGGTACCATTATCGTATACGTTTTTATGGCTGAAAAGTATTCCATGGCATGTGGAGCATTTATGCATTTATTGGGTGGCATTTATCTGTCGGTTGTTTTGGCTTTATGAACAATGCTGCAGTGAACATTTGTGTAGTTTGTGTATGAGTGTTTGTGTGAGCATGTTTTTACCTCTCTCTCGTGTACACCTAGGAGTGGGATTGCTTGGTCATGTGGCAACTTGGCTGAACTCCTAGAGGGACTACCAGCCTTCCCACAGTAGCCACGTCATTTTACAGTCCCATCAGCAACGTACAAGCGTCTCAGCTTCTCCACATCCTCGGCGGGACTTGCTATAGTTCACCTTTTGTATTATGGCCGTCCTAACGGACGTGAAGTGCTGTCTCATTGCAGATTTGCTTCATTTCCCTAATGACTGACTGATGGTACCGAACGAGTTTTCATATGCTTTTTGGCCATTTCTATGTCTCTGGAGAAATGTCTGTTCAAATCCTTTGGACATGGTAAGATTGGGTAATTTGTCTTTTATTTTGGAGCTGTAGGAGTTCTTCATATATTCTTGATACTAGAGTCTTACCAGATAAAGGGTTTTCAAATATTTTCTCATTCCGTGGGTGTCTTTTTCCTTTCGTGAGAGTGTTCCTTGAGGCACAAAAGTTTTAATTATTATTAGATATATATTTCGAGATAAGATCTTCCCCCGTCGCCCAGGCTAAAGTGCAATGGCATGATCCTATTTCACTGCAGGCTTGAACTCCTGGGCTCGAGTGGTCCCCCTGCCTCACCCTCCCGAGTAGCTGGGACCAGAGGTGTATGCCATTATGCCCAGCTAATTTTTAAATGTTTCTGGTAGAGGCAGGGCCTCGCTGTGTTTCCCAGGCTGGAGGGCAGTGGCATGATCACAGCTCACTGTAACCTCAAACTCCTGGGCTCCAGTGAAAGGCTTTACAGTTTGATGAAGTACAATTTGTCTGCTTGTTCTTTGGTTGCTGGTGCTTTTCTCTTGCCTAATCTAAGGTTATAAAGAGTTGTGCCTGTGCTTATAGTAATTCATATATGTAGGTCTTTGAACCATTTTGAGTTTTTTTTAATATACAATATGAGATAAGGACTTAAGTTTGTTCTTTTCATGTGGATTCCCAGTTGTCTCGGCACCATTTGTTGAAATGACGATTTCCCCCATTGAATTGTCTTGGAATTCTTGTCAAAATTTGATTTTCCATAAATGTGTGGGTTTATGGACTCTAAGTTCTGTCTCATTGAACTAAATGTCTGTCACTAGGCCAGCACCACAGCGTCCTGATGACAGTGGCTCTGCAGTGGCTTTTGAAATTGGGAGGGTAAGTCCTCCAAACTCCTTTCTTGTGATTGATTTGCCTGTTCTGGGTACCTTGCATTTTCATATGAAGTTTAGGATCAGCTTATCACTTTCTTCACAAAACTTCTCTAGGTATTTTTGAAGGTTTTTAAAAACAGCTAGTTCTGGCTGGGTGCGGTGGCTCACGCCTGTAATCCCAGCACTTTGGGAGGCCGAGGCGGGTGGATCACGAGGTCAAGAGATTGAGACCATCCTGGTCAACATGGTGAAACCCCGTCTCTACTAAAAATACAAAAATTAGCTGGGCATGGTGGTGTGTGCCTGTAATCCCAGGTACTCAGGAGGCTGAGGCAGGAGAATTGCCTGAACACAGGAGGCGGAGGTTGTGGTGAGCCGAGATCGCGTCATTGCACTCCAGCCTGGGTAACAAGAGTGAAACTCCGTCTCAAAAAAAAAAAAATGGAAAACAAAAACCAACAGCTAGTTCTGAGTGATTTGATGACTGTTCTCTGGTTTCTTTTCTTCATGTTTGTTGAGGCTGGACTTCGCAGACCCTCTTAGAACTGCGGGTTTAGAGTTTTCAAGTTTGGAATTTCTGTGGCCATTACTGCTTCAAATATTCTTAAATTACATGTATATTAAGCCATATTATTATCGCTTCAAATATTCTTTTCTTCCATTTCTAACAGCAAATGCTATTAATTCATTCCTTTGCAACTGAATATATTCTTCACTTACGTTCTTCAATTACAAGTATATTAAGTCACGTGGAGTGTACACAGCTTGCCAATATACTAATACTCTTTTCACTTTTAACAATTACTGTGTCTTTCATTTTTCCTGGTTTTTATTCATGTCTTTTTGTCCACTATCTTTTCTTCTGCAATATCTATCCTGTAAATTTCATTCACTGTATTTTTTGTCTCTATAAGTTCTACTCGAGTCTTTTAAAAATATATTCTACATCTCTACCTAACGTTTTGAATGCAGAGAATGCACTTCTGATACCTGTTTTCATGTCTCCTGTGCCAGTTCCGACATCTGCATCGGTTCTGGGTTGGTTTCTGTGGATTATTTTCTGCCTCATGGTAATGTTTTCCGGTCTCTTGGCATGTCTGCTGATTGTTAATTGAGTGTCTGACGTTGTAAGCTCTACCCTGTTGGGATATTTTGCGTTTCCACAGATCTTCTTGACCTTTGTTGTGGGATATGGTGAAGAAACTTGAATGGGATTTCGTTGTTGGGGCCTGGCTTTTGTGATTTCTCTGGTTGCTCCCGAGCAGTGCTCAGTCTAGGGCTAATTGCCACACAGTACCGAGGCAAGAACTTTCCCAAGTACTCAGTGCCCTCTGACTTAGGAATCTTTCCAGTCTGACTGGTGGAACCAGGAGCTCTTCCTGGTACTGTTTCCCCTAATCATTTCAGGTGGGTCTTTCCTCACCTGCAAATGCTAATCAGTATTCTGCTGAGTCCTTGAGGCAGGTCCTTTCTCTGTACAACTTCCTTTGCCCCAGTACTTTGTCTGTGAACTCTAGCTGCCTTAGTCTTTCAGGTCTCCGAGCTCCATCTTCTCAACTCGAGGAGTCTGCTTCTGCCTCAGTTTCTCTTCCCTGGTCCTCCAGGAAATGGGGGCAAGCATAGGGCTCACCTTTGTTTCCTGTCTTTAAGAAATCACTGCCCTGGCCAGGTGCGCAGTGGCTGGTGACTGTAATCCCAGCATTTTGGGAGGTTGAGGCAGGAGGATCACTTGAGCCTCGGAGTTCAAGACTGGCCTGGGAAACCCAGTGAGACCTTGTGTCTACCAAAAAATTACAAAAAATTAGCCAGGCACGGTGGTGTACATCTGTAGTCCCGGCTGCTCGGAAAGCTGAGTCAAGAGGATCGCTTGAGCCTGGGAGGTGCAGGTTGCAGTGAGCTCTGATTGTACCACTGCACTCAGCCTGGGTGACAGAGTGAGACGCTGTCTCAAAAAAAAGAAAAGAAGAGAAGAGACATAGAATATATTTTATTTTAGTCTTTTGTATCTCTCAAGATTTTTCAGTTTTTTTTCATAAGTTATTGAGGTACAGGTGGTATTTGGTTACATGAGTAAGTTCTTCAGTGGTGATTTGTGAGAGTTTGGTGCCCCGTCACCCGACCTGTGTACACTGCACCGTTCTCATCATCCTTTGTCTCTTGCCTCCCTCCCTCCCCCTCTTCCCCCGCAAGTCTCTAAAGTCCACTGCATCTTTTTTTTTTTTTTTGAGACGGAGTTTCGCTCTTGTTACCCAGGCTGGAGTGCAATGGCGCGATCTCGGCTCACCGCAACCTCCGCCTCCTGTGTTCAGGCAATTCTCCTGCCTCAGCCTCCTGAGTAGCTGGGATTACAGGCACACGCCACCATGCCCAGCTAATTTTTTGTATTTTTAGTAGAGACGGGGGTTTCACCATGTTGACCGGGATGGTCTCGATCTCTTGACCTCATGATCCACCCGCCTCGGCCTCCCAAAGTGCTGGGATTACAGGCGTGAGCCACTGTGTCTCTTTTATTATAAGTTCTGGGATGCATGTGCAGAACATGCAGGTTTGTGACATAGGTATGCACGTGCCGTGGTGGTTTGCTGCACCTATCAACCCGTCACCTACATTAGGTATTTCTCCTAATGCTCTCCCTCCTCTTGCCCCCCACCCCCGACAGGCCCCGGTGTGTGACATTCCCCTCCCTGTGTCCATGTGTTCTCATTGTTCAACTCCCACTTATGAGTGAGGACATGTGGCGTTTGGTTTTCTCTTCCTGTGTTAGTTTGCTGAGAATGGTTTGAGGCCTGTATCTCTTCATCCCCTGTTCCCTAGTAGGATGGAACTGGAAGGTTCTGAGGCCTCTGGATCATCCAGTATTGAGTTTGAGTGTCAAAGAGGCTTGTAGTGGTTAGAGGCCTTGAGGAATGGGGCTGGTGACAGCCCAGGGTGGAGAGGCAGCAATGCCTCTGCCCCGCCCCTGTGACTTCCTAGCTCCCAAGTCTAAGTGGCTCCCAGGCAGGGCTGTGTAGTCAGGACCTCTGAGGGCTGATGCCATCCTGGTGCAGGAGCTCGTGCTGCAGAAGGTGGGGTGGCAGGCGTTGCTCTAGCTCCTTTTCCTTCCCCAGTGACAAGCACAGACTACGAAACTGCAGCAGATGCCACAGAGACCTCGTCCTACTTCAGTGCCCAAGGCTACCTGTCCAGGTAGGGGCCGCAGAGGTGGGCTGTGCCCCAGACTGACCTTGCAGGGCCTCTCAGGGAGTGACGGTGCTGGGTGAGGGCCGGGCTTGGGCTGACAGCATGCCCTCTGGGAGCCTTCCTGCATGCCCCGGTGGTCTCTGTCCGCTGAGTCAGCAAACGGGCTGCCAATGTCGTCCATGCCCGAGCCCCTCAGCACCCCTCACGCCGTGCTTCATGGCTGCCGCCTTTTCTGTTCTCCTGCCAGCCGGGAGCAGGAGGGGACAGAGTCCACTAGTGACGAAGGCCAGCTGCCCCAGGTGGTAGAGGAGCTGAGAGACCTTCGGGTGGCCCCTGGCACACACCTGGCCAAGTTCCAGCTCAAGGTGAAAGGTGAGAGGGAAAGGGAGTGGGGACATGGCCATGGTGGGAGGGAGGTCAAGGAGCTGTCCCCGTCAGCCACAAGTGAAAGGAGACCCAGGCAGTGGGGTCAGGCGGTCACTCATCCCTGCTATACAGGGCTCAGCCCTGGAGGGTTCTGTGAGCCCCTCCCTGTTGGTGCAGGGAAATAAAAGTCACAGACACAGAGATAAAGGGAGTTTGGGCTCGGGGTCCACCGCCAACCAAAGTGTGGAGACCTGCAGTGGCCCCGAGTGCCGGGACACTCTTATTAAGTACAAAGTGGGGGGTGGGTAGGCGGTGTGAGGCAGTGTGGTCAGTGATAGGGTCGGGTAAGTCACGTGTCCTGGAGACGGGGCCCAGGACTTGCAAGTAGCCAACGTGAGAAAACCTAATGCGTCAGCGCTCTTCGCGTTTGTCAGAAATGTCAAGGACACCAATTCTTATCTTCTGAGAAAAAGAGAAACCAGGTGCAGAAGCAGAGCGTGAGAGTGGACACGGAACATGACCGCTGAGGCACAGCCTCACATAGGGACAGTTGAGCCCGGGATGTCGGCGGGCTCCTGACAGCCTCCAGCCCTTGCCACAGGAGCGTGGAGGAGCAGAGTTTTCTCCTGACTCCCCCAGGAAGGAGACGTCTCGGCCATTTGGACATCTCCTCCCCTAGCTGGCTGAACAGTGGGGCTTTCCCAGCACTGGCGCTGCCACACAGCCGAGGCGCCCTCCAGCAGCCCTCATGCGGGCGTCACAGAGGGCTTAGGGCACCTTGCCTTAGGGTCACTTTGTTCACAGTGTCACCTCAGCTCCATGCTTCATAACCTGATAGTCATTAATAAAATTAAAGGCTATATTGAGTATACATCTTTATAAGTAACCATAAAATTATATATGACTTTGTAAAGGAATAACTATGTGCCTACATTTCTAAATTAATATTTATATGGGAACAGGCTGAGGCTTCAGACCCTTACGATGGTACTTGCAGGGATCCCCACAACATGCTGCCTGGGTGTGGGAGGCCAACACTGTCACTGGTGTTGTGGGGTCTCCCATCTGGAGGGCACAGTGCCCATGGGTGGTAGCCCAGGCTGACCACTTCCCCTCCGGTGGCCCAGGCTACCCAGCTCCCAGGTTATACTGGTTCAAAGACGGCCAGCCCCTGACTGCATCTGCCCACATCCGAATGACTGACAAGAAGACCCTGCACACCCTGGAGGTCATCTCGGTCACCCGGGAGGATGCTGGCCAGTATGCAGCCTACATCAGCAATGCCACGGGCGCCGCCTACTCGTCTGCACGGCTGATGGTTCGAGGTGGGTGCTCTCGGGGCCCAGGCAGAGCCTTGGGCTGGGCAGCATCCTGGCCAGGGCTGACACTTTGCAACCTTGCCACCTCAGGCCCTCAGTGGGCCGACACCCCTCAACCCTGCCACCTCAGGCCCTCAGTGGGTGTCAGTGGCCCTCACCCCTTCGCACAGAGTGGCACAGGCAGCCAGAAGTGGGCCCTGCAGGGAGGGGGTGTGCAGCCCTCTGTCCTGACCGATGGGCAGGCTGGAGGTTGAAATTGACCCAGGAAAGTGAGTCAGCCCTGTGGCTCTACGTGGACCCACACACAGCCAGAGCCAGTGGTAGCATGGGACTAGAGAGCCCTACTTCCTTATTATTCAAAAAGTTCTAAGCACTGAGAGTTCATTCCAAAGTTCACCCAAACCCGTCCCGCCACTGCTGCAGCTTTCCCCCACAGCCCCAGGTGGGAGTATCCTGCTGCTCTGAGCAGTGGCAGTCTGTCGTGTGCTGGGTTCAGCGTGGGGCCAGAGTCCGTGGCAGGGTGGGTGGTGGGGCATTGGGTCTGGTCCACACAGCCTATTGCCCCTGTCACCCGAGCGTGGGGTTCCAGAGCTCCATAGCCTGGGGATCCGGCAGGGGTTAGGATGTTTGCCTGAGGGCAGCGCTGCCCTCGGCTTCCCTCATCACAGTGGGTGGAATTGCCGGGCATCCACACAGTGCTGGGTAGGAGCCACGGCGGGGCCCCTGAGTGCTGTGTGTCTGACTCCATTGCCTCTTTCAGGCCCTGATGAACCAGAAGAGAAGCCTGCATCAGGTGAGGCAGCCCCAGGCGGGCAGGGAGAGGCCAGGTGGCCATGGGTGCTGAGGGCCTGAGCCCAGGGCTGGCTGCAATGGAGATGTGAGTGGCCACGGGCTGGCTCAGGGAGGGCGCAGCCGACAGACAGCCTGGCCGAGGGAGCAGCATGGTGCTGTCTAGGTGCTGGCCGTGGAGAGCCACCTGGGGGCCTGCAGGCACTGTGGGGGGCTGTGCCAAGTCTCCAGCAGCTGCCCTATGCCCTCTAGATGTGCGTGAGCAGCTGGTGCCACCCCGAATCCTGGAGAGGTTCACCCCCAAGAAAGTGAAGAAAGGCTCCAGCATCACCTTCTCTGTGAAGGTGGAAGGTGGGGCATTGCCCAAACTCGGCCGTGGAAAGATCACCCCTGGGACGGGACAGGGTGCCCCTTCCACTCACATCTCCCCCAGGGGGCCACAGGAAGGGTTCCACCTCCAGAGGCCCCACTCCTGATGGGGTGCACCTCCCGCCCTTTTGCCCGCCCTCAGGATGCCCGGCACCCACCGTGCACTGGCTCAGGGAGGCGGCTGAGAGGGGTGTGCTGTGGATTGGTCCCGACACACCGGGCTACACCGTGGCCAGCTCAGCACAGCAGCACAGTCTGGTCCTGTTGGATGTGGGCCGGGAGCACCAGGGCACCTACACATGCATTGCCAGCAACACCGCCGGCCAGGCCGTCTGCTCCGCCAGCCTGCACATCTCTGGTTGTGAGTGGGGGGTTGGGGGTGGGGGGTGGAGGGGTGAGGCATGGGAGGTAGGCCCTGGGTGGCTTTGGGGTCTCCTCAGGGCACATGGCCCATCACCACCATCTGGGCCAGGACCCTGTGGGACCCCTCTTTTTCCTCTTCTCCTTCTCCTACAGCACCACAGAGACCCCAAGATGGGTCAAGCCCTGGTAGTGTTGGTGGGTTTGCGTCCTCTCTGGGCCCAGGGCCCTGTGGGTTCTGCACCACCAGGTCCAGGGACCTATCCCGAAGCCCCCGTGTCCTGGACCTTGCTCAGCCCCTCGGAGGACAGGAGAACCCATTCTCCTCCCATCACTGTCGGGGTGACCACAGGCCAAGAGTGGGTTGGGGAGGTGGGCTCAGGCACAGCCCCTGCTCAGGGCTTTGGAGGGACCCAGTCCAAACCCAGAATCAGACGTGCCGGTGTCGGAAGCCCCATCCCAATGGCTCACCCTGTCCTCCTTACAGTGCCTAAGGTGGAGGAGCAGGAGAAAGTGAAGGAAGCACTGATTTCCACTTTCCTGCAGGGGTAAGGGCTGTCCCTGGAGGCTGGTCCAGTCTGGGTCAGGGAGGGTGCTCTAGGAGTGGGGGACAGGACAGCGCTGCCCCTGGGGAGACCACCTGTCCCCGAGTGTGTCCTGGCTCTGCCCCATGCAGGCCATGTGGCTTGGCTAGTCCTCTTCCTTCTCTGTGCCTCAGTTTCCCCTTGCAAAATAAGGGCTTCCCTGGGGCCTCTCTGGCATGTAGCCCCCAGACCCTCTTTTTGTCAGGAGCTCAAAGGACAGAGGGTGGTAGGGTCCAGCCCAGGCCTCTCAGGACACTCCCTTCACCCATTTAGGACCCCACAAGCCGTCCCAGCACCGCGGTTGGAACCTGCGGGTTTGGCTGACCTTGCAGGGCAGAGGAAAGGTACTGTCAGGGTGGGTGCATGCCTGCGAGGGGCCAGGGTGGCTGAGCCTCTGATGCCAGGGACGGGGAGGAGGCTGCCTGGGGGTGGCTGAGCCCCTAATGCTGAGGAGCAGGGAGGAGGCTGCCTGGGGGTGGCTCCAGGCCTCAGAGGCCCGTCCTGGGCAGCATAGCCCCAGGACACCTGCTCATTTAGCCAGGACCGACCCATGTTCTCGTGGCCTAGACTTAGGGCTTGGTTAGTGTTGGAGCCACGTCTGACCCCTGTGGATCCAGGAGCCTGTGGGGTCCCTGGGCCAGCCCTGGACACAAGCTCTCATCCAGAGGGCTGTCTAGACACCTGGGCACCAGGCACTGAGACAGAGCAGCACAGCCCCACTTTGGCCCCGCAGCTCCTCCTGCAGCCTCATGCGCGGGTCTAGCCTCTGCCAACTCTGTCCCCAGCACCCCTCATCCACTGTCCCCTGGACATTGTCAGCCCCTTGGTCACGCCTTGGCTTGATGCTCATGAGCCAGAGCGACTCCTCATCCTGGTGGGTTCCCACTGGCCCCCACCCTGCCAGCCAGCACCTGCAGCGTGGGGTGCTTGTTCCATATCCAAGGGCCATGCAGCTGCCTGAGCAGAGCATTTGTATGCCTAGGAGAGCCTCTGGCTGCCAAGGAGGGCCTGGGACACTTATCCCTTGCCGAGGTGGGCACAGAGGAGTTCCTGCAGAAGCTGACCTCCCAGATCACCGAGATGGTATCGGCCAAGATCACGCAGGGTGAGGGGCAGCAGCCCGTGTGCCAGGGTCTCTGGGGTGTGTCCATGGTGGGTGTTTGGCTTGCCCTTGAGCCCTGGAGAGCCAGAGGCAGGCCAGGGTGACGTAATCCTTGCACCCCCAGCCAAGCTGCAGGTGCCCGGAGGTGACAGTGATGAGGAGTCCAAGACGCCATCTGCGTCCCCCCGGCATGGCCGGTCACGGCCATCCTCCAGTGTCCAGGAGTCTTCCTCGGAGTCAGAGGACGGGGATGCCCGAGGCGAGGTAGGTGGCTGGAACCCTCTGGGAGCAGGGCAAGGAGAGGCCCTAACGGTCCAGAAGAGAGGTGCAGGGCAGAGGGGGCTCAGGAGGCAGGACTCCATCAGACTCCAGGGAGGGGCACCCACAGGGTACACAGGAGGCAGGAACTGCTGAGAACAGGGCCTGCTCAACACGGGCCCCAGCAGAGACTTGCCTTCTGGGAGGGCGTTTGGTTCATTCATTCTCTCCTTCATTCCTTCAGCGGAGAATGTGTGTCAGGCCTCCAGTGTCCCAGACACTCTGTTAGGGCTTGGGATGGGCTGGGGGTGGGGAGACAGTGAACAGGTAACAGTATAGGCAGCCCAGACCTGGAGCCCCGGGGTTGTGGTGACCTGTGGGGTCGGGGGAGGCCTCCCATACCCCAGCTGTTTTGCATGTGCACGGTGACTCTGGGGAGCCTGTCCCTGGGGCTGGGGATCTCGGCAGGCCTGGCTGGCACTTCCTGGGTTCCATCACTTCAGCACCCCTACTCCCTCAGATCTTTGATATCTACGTGGTCACCGCCGACTACCTGCCCCTGGGGGCTGAGCAAGACGCCATTGCGCTGCGGGAAGGCCAGTATGTGGAGGTCCTGGACGCCGCCCACCCGCTGCGCTGGCTGGTCCGCACCAAGCCCACCAAGTCCAGCCCCTCACGGCAGGGCTGGGTATCACCAGCCTACCTGGACAAGAGGCTCAAGGTACTGGATGCCCAGGCAGGAGGGTCCTCGGGGGTCTCGGGGGTCCTGGGAGGGTCATCCAAAAGCCCAGGCAGGAGGGTCCTTGGGGGTCCCAGGGACCCTGGGAGGGTCATCCAAATGCCCAGGCAGGAGGGTCCTCGGGGGTCCCAGAGGCCCTGGGAGGGTCATCCTAATTTGAGTGGTGAGAGCCAGTCCCCACAAGGCAAGGCCAGAGCTCGCTACCTCAACCACAAAGTCCTCTCCCTTACCAGCTGTCGCCTGAGTGGGGGGCCGCCGAGGCTCCTGAGTTCCCCGGGGAGGCAGTGTCTGAAGGCGAGTACAAGACGAGGCTGAGGTGAGTGGCTGCCAGGCCCAAGGCGGCGGCGCTGGGGTCCCACCAGCTGGACCATCTCCCAAAGCAGCTCTGGGTGCAGGCCCCAACACTGGAGGTCTTGGGGTCATGGTCACGCTGATTCCTCTGCAGGGGCCTCTGAAACACTGCTCCTGGGTGAGCCTGCTGGGGAGGGGTAGGGGCCGAGGACAGCGGAACAGGCCCAGAGCTGCCTGGCTTCCCACAGCTGCCCTCCCGGCCTCTCGCTGGTGGGACCCAGCTGGGTGGCTTCCTGGTGTTGGGGCCCACCTCGTTAGAGAGGGAGCCTCTCTGCACCTGCTCTCCTGCTTCCTATGAGCAGGCGAGACTGCAGGTGGCAGGGGGCGCTCCAGTCTAGCAGCTGAGGGAGCGTGGCCTCGTGGCCTGCAGTCCCTGTGCGGGAGGCAGGAGCTCCAGGGTCCCTCAGAGCAGCCCCTTCCTGCCCAGCTCTGTGATCCAGGAGCTGCTGAGCTCCGAGCAGGCCTTCGTGGAGGAGCTGCAGTTCCTGCAGAGTCACCACCTGCAGCACCTGGAGCGCTGCCCCCACGTGCCCATGGCTGTGGCCAGCCAGAAAGCAGTAATCTTCCGCAACGTACAGGACATCAGCCGCTTCCACAGCAGGTGGGTGGGTAGGTGGGTGGGGACACACACACACCTGTCCACGCGCAGATGCCCTGTAGGGCCAGGCCTCCTGCAGGTGGGTTGGAGCGAAAGAGGGAGAGAACCTGTGCTGACTTGATCTACCCCTTGGCGCACATTCCCTCGAAACCCAGACGTGTGTACCCGGCTTACTCATGGGAAGGCCTGTGGCACACCCTCACATGTGTACACACATGAACACATACATGTGTCTAGGTACCATCTTTAATGTGCATGGCACGTGCACATCTGTAAATGCACACACATGCACATCACCTATGTGCACACAGGCATGCCTGTGTACATGTCTCCATGCTTTATGCACACCCTTTCATCTGCACACTTGTGTATACATGCAGAGCACGTGCCTCCTTCCCCCGCCACCTGTGTACAGCCACATGCATGTTCATACACATGTGCATGCCTCCACAAATGCGTGCTTTTGTACACGACACACAAGTACTTCCTTGCATGCCCACACCTGTCTGCACGGGCCAGCTTCCTCCCAGAGGTGAGGGCTCAGGGCCAAGCCATGGGGCCCGGGCTGAGTCCTGACGCTGTCCCCCTCCACGGCAGCTTCCTGCAGGAGCTGCGGCAGTGTGACACGGACGACGACGTGGCCATGTGCTTCATTAAGAACCAGGCGGCCTTTGAGCAGTACCTGGAGTTCCTGGTGGGGCGTGTGCAGGCTGAGTCGGTGGTCGTCAGCACAGCTGTCCAGGAGTTCTACAAGGTGCCCTACCCGAGCTCATGGGCTCCCTCTGGAGGCTCAGTGAGCCCAGACATCCTCCAAGGCTCATCCTGGCCTACCTGCATCAGAGCCTCTGCCCACAGCCTCCCCAGCGCCCCCTTGGGCCTCTGTTCTGAAATGGGGGCAGAGCCGCATCTGCAGCCCTGTGCTCCTGGGCAGGCTGCTTCAGCCTGTGCTTGTCACTGACTGTCAAGAGGTGTGACAGCTGTCACTCGGTGCAGGGCTATGACCCACTCTCCAGCTCTCAGGGACTCAGCCATCAGGGAGCCTCACATTCCTGCCCTAAAACTCCCATTCCTGGTTCCCACAGAAATACACAGAGGAGACCCTGTCGGCAGGAGACCCCTCTCGGCCCCCACCACCACCCCTGCAGCACTACCTGGAGCAGCCGGTGGAACGCGTGCAGCGTTACCAGGCCTTGCTGAAGGTGGGCCCCACCTCCCCTGCCCACGCTGGGTCTCTTGGGGTCCAGCTGTGGGGCAGCCTGAGCCCTGATCTCCGTCCCGGCCACAGGAGCTGATCCGTAACAAGGCGCGGAACAGACAGAATTGTGCGCTGCTAGAGCAGGCCTACGCTGTGGTGTCTGCCCTGCCTCAGCGCGCTGAGGACAAGCTGCACGTGTCCCTCATGGAGAACTACCCTGGCACCCTAGAGGCCCTGGGCGAGCCCGTCCGCCAGGTTGGGGAGGGGCCGGGGCACAGGTGATGTGGGTGGGTGTGGGGGGCTGCCAGGAGGGGGGGCGTGTTCATGAGTCAGGCAGGGCACTGTGGGGTCTGCATGCTGGGCGTCCTGGCTGACCGCAGCCCACACCCTCCCCAGGGCCACTTCATCGTGTGGGAGGGTGCGCCGGGGGCCCGCATGCCCTGGAAGGGCCACAACCGCCACGTGTTCCTCTTCCGCAACCACCTGGTGATCTGCAAGCCCAGGCGGGACTCCCGCACCGACACCTTCAGCTACGTGTTCCGCAACATGATGAAGGTCTGCAGGAGCCGGGTGGGGTCCCCGTCCCTCAGCTCCGGTGATGCCGCTGGTCCGGGGTGGCCTGAGTGTTTCCTGGTCGGGGCCCACATCTGTTGGGGACGGTCCAGCCGTGTCCTCTCCCTATGCTGACGCCCTCCCCAACCCACAGCTGAGCAGCATCGACCTGAATGATCAGGTGGAGGGGGATGACCGCGCCTTCGAGGTGTGGCAGGAGCGGGAGGACTCGGTACGGAAGTACCTGCTGCAGGCACGGACGGCCATCATCAAGAACTCGTGGGTGAAGGAGATATGTGGCATCCAGCAGCGTCTGGCCCTGCCTGTGTGGCGTGAGCATCCACCTCCCCGTGGGGTTGGGGGGCTTAGCCGGGATGAGGCACCCGAGCCTGTTCCTGCAGGGTCCTTGACCAGGTGGGTGGGTGGGAGGGGTGGGCTCGTTCCTGGGACTGACAGCTCAGCCAGCTTGCGGCCTGTGACGGCTACAGCCTCACGGGGAGCCCTGGGGCTGGGTAGAGTTGGCCCTGACCTGAGGTGGGGGACACCGTGGGAGCCTCAAGCACAGGGCACCCACCCAGATTGTGTCAGGGGCTGTGAAGGGTTTGGCAGCCAGGGGTGAACAGAATCTTCCCCCAAGCCCGCCGTGGTCTCTGTTAAACACCCACCTCCTTCATGCATCTGACTCCAGATGGGGACTTTGGATGAGGGATGACAAGGGACAGTCCCCACAGTGGCCACACTGTCAGATGTGGGGCTTGTGGCCCAGGGCAGGTGACCTGCCAGGTGAACCTGGGGGTGCCGCAGCCCGACATGCCCCCACAGAGCACTGAGGGCTGCGTGTGCCCTCAGGGCCCCCGGACTTTGAAGAGGAGCTGGCTGACTGCACGGCCGAGCTGGGCGAGACGGTCAAGCTGGCCTGTCGCGTCACAGGAACACCTAAGCCCATCGTCAGCTGGTACAAAGGTAAACCCAGAGCCGGGGGCCACAGCCTTCTAGTCCCGGATGCTGGCCCTGCCAGCCGAGAGAAATGGGCTGTGAGGGCTGGGGGCCCAGTGTGGGGTTTGGCCAGGTGTCTGGGGCATGAAGGACAGGCCTCATACATCCATTTGCCACCCACTTGCCACCCACTTTCCAGCATGGCAGGGACACGGAGATGCAGAGGCTTGGAGAGGAGAGAGTCAGGATCTCGAGGAAGACGGCTCTGCAGAGCTGTCAGTTGCACGGTCAGGGCTGACTGCGGCCAGAGGGCCCAGTTAAAGTAGCGGCTGGGAGAGCCGCCTAGGGAAAGATCCGGGTGTCCCTCCCAGGGGCGTCATCTCTCCCAGCGACAGCACATGACACGCACAGGGTGGAGCCAACCAGTGATTTCCCCAGCCCTGGTGTCCAGGGTTTTACAGGCTCAGCCGTGGAATCGTGGCTCACTGCTCTGTAGCAGGCCTCGGGCTCCAGCCCTTCGGGAGGCCAAGCTGATGCTGCATGGGCCAGGGAACCCGGGAATCTCAGAAGTCCACAGTCAGCATAGATGGTCCCGTGTGGGCACTCTTACCAGCCAGGACATCCCAAGAGCCCGAGGTTACCTCCCAGGAGTGGGGGCCTCTCTCTGGGCAGCATCCGTCCTCCCCTGGGCTGGAGCTGTGTTGGGTTTGAGCAGCGGAGGTACAGTTTGGCTCTGTCATCTGTCACCTTGGCTGTAATGCCAGGAACCTGCTGGGGAGGGCCGACAGGGGACCTGGGATGCCAGCCTGGGAGCCGCCCCAGGAGCTGGGGGACTGGGCTCAGGGGTGGCTGTGGACCCCAGGGGCGTGTTGAAGGCGAGCTGGCCCATTTGTCCAGGGGGTCGCTGGCCCTGTGGAGACAGCTTGGCATCCAGATGTGCACACAGTTGGAGCTGGACATCTGCCGGTGGGGGGGGGGTCCACTGACAAAGGGTGGTATGCAGATGGGCTGGGTGGGAGGAGGAAGCACCAGGCCTGGGAGGACCCTGCCGAGCCAATGCCTGTGGGGATGCAGGTGGGGGGCCGAAGGGCGCTTGGAGAAGTGCAGGTAAGGCTCAGGAGAGGGTGTGGCTGGAGACTCACAGAGCATCTGACCTGCCAGCTGACGCAGAGTGTGTGTGGAGAGGTGAGGTCTGAGCACCCAGGCTTGAGAGCTCCCACTTCCAGAGTCTGCAGAGGACAGAAGAGGCGAGCCCAGGGGAAGGAGCGGCCAGGGAGGTGGGGGCCCAGGAAGCCAGCCAGGGAGTGGGCAGGGTGCCCAGGGCTGCCGGGGTGCCTGGAACTGTGGAATCTCCCATTTTACCCCTCATGCATGTGCAGGTTGGCCTGTCAGGATTAACACACACATTACACACGCACTTAGAGACACACAGAGACACATGGTACATCTCATGCTTATATACATACATGGCACACATACACGTTACACATGCATGTATATTAACACTATACATGCTACACATACATGCAAGGTATACAGTAGATATATGCAAATAGCACACACATGAATATGTAGGTACACATGTATACACCACATACACATGCATCATGCACAGTGCACACTACCTGTGCCTACGCAATGACAGCTATATACATCGATACATGCAAACATCACTGCACACACATGGCTACAGGCACACGACGCAAAGTACATTACGTATGTACACTTCACAGCTACACATGTATAAGTATACATATTAGAGACCACATATGTGCACACATGGATACTGCACATATACATATGTACACAGCCACATAACACACATGCACACATCCATGCAACACATGGACATGCTAAACAGACATCACACGTGTATGTTCATAAACACTATATACTTGGCCCACCCCAAAATGGTCACCAGCCCTTGCAGAGTCAGGTGTGTGGTTAGGCCTCCACACTGAGAGGCCTTGCCTTCCCGTCCCCCGCCGTGAAGGAAGCATGCATTGGCCAGAGAGGTGTGGTCAGTGTGTGTTCACAGCAGGGTGATTTACTTCACATTCTTCAGATATTTGTATTAGAAGGCCATGCACTTGGAGGCATGAGGATGTGGCTAGAGGAGTGGGGGTGAGGCTTAGGCCCCTGCTGCCCCGGGGAAGACTTTGGGCTACTGTGTTCCCTGCAGGGGCAGGTGCACGGAGAGGAAGTGTGGAGGGGATGTGGGCAGTGATTCTGAGAAGGGGCTGGAGCCCCTAGGTTGGGCAGGAAGAGGTGAAGAGGGGTCAAGTGCCTGAGCTGGGTGACCAAAGGCTCAGCTGCCCTAGGGGATGGCCTCTGTGGGGCTCAGTTCCCTCAGCCTGGCCCCTGCCTCAAGCTGGTGGCCAAGATGGACAGAGAGAGAGACAGGAAGAGACAGAGACAGAAAATAGAAACAGAGACAGGGGCAAAGAAAGGTTGAGTCTGAGACGAAGGCACAAAAACTGAGACAGAAACGTAGCGCTAAGGGGAGCTCGAGTCAGCCTCTCCATTCAGGGTTGCAGGTCAGCCTGGAGGCTGGACCAGTGGGAGCCTGACCCTGAGCCACAGCTGTGGGCCCACCATCCCCTCCCCAACCATGATTGCAGCCGCCAGGCCAGGCCCAGCATCTCGGCCCTGATGGGGTGAGCCCTTGGGGTCCCCACCTGGGTGATGGCCCCTGCTCATCCTTTCCAGATGGGAAGCCAGTGGAGGTGGACCCCCACCACATCCTCATCGAGGACCCCGACGGCTCGTGTGCCCTCATCCTGGACAGACTGACCGGTGTGGACTCCGGCCAGTACATGTGCTTCGCGGCCAGTGCCGCTGGCACCTGCAGTACCCTGGGCAAGATCCTGGTGCAGGGTGAGCCCGGAGGCCTGCCTGGGGGAGGAGTCACCCTGACCGCCCACCATGGCAGGCCCGGCTGTGGTGGGGATTGCTGGGGGCTCATAGAGGGTACCTGGGAGGCAGGGACCTGCAGCCCTTCCCTGGCATCACCCTTAGCTTCATCAGGGCAGCTCTCTGTGTGTGACTCTGTGCATGTCTCTCCCTGTCCGTGCGTCTCCCTTCATCCTTTGATCTCTGTGTCTGTCATTTTCTGTTTCTCCATCTCTGTTCATCTGTCTCTATCTCCCTCAATTTCTCTGTCCCTCTCTCTATCTCTGTATTTCTCTCTGTCTCTCCATCTCTGTCTCTGTGTCTCTCTGTCTCTGCCTTTATCTCTGTCTCTCCCCTCCACAACCCCACAGTCCCACCACGGTTCGTGAACAAGGTCCGGGCCTCGCCCTTTGTGGAGGGAGAGGATGCCCAGTTCACCTGCACCATTGAAGGCGGGCCACACCCACAGATCAGGTGGGGCCCAGGCCTGCCCGGGGATGGGTTTGGGGGCCGGCTCCCACCTGGGGCACGGGGCATGGACAGCATGTTCCCAGGTCGGTGGGGGCTGGACATGGCCACCAGTCTTCAGCTGAGAATGGGCTTCGGGGACTGTGGATCATTCTGGATGTAGGCCCCTCAGCCAGGAGGACACCGCCAGGCTGGTTCTTGGCTTCTAGAAGGGTGGGCTAAGGACCCTGGGGGTCTGGGGGCAGCGCAGTGTGGTCCTGAGCACAGGGAGCACAGCTGGGGGCGGCCCTCAGACAGGACATGGGCAGAGGGTGGCCGGAGCCTCACATGCCCCCTGGGCGGATTCCAGGTGGTACAAGGATGGGGCCCAACTCACCCCTGGCAGCAAGATCCAGATACTGAGTGATCCCCGCAGCGGCCTGCTGGTGCTGGTGATCCGGGCAGCCAGCAAGGAGGACTTGGGGCTCTATGAGTGTGAGGTGAGCAGTGCGGTAACGGGCCCTGCCCTGGGGCCCAGGCTCTCCTTGCCGGCCATCCTCTGGGGTCTCATCATGGAGGGCTGAAGAGCCCAGGAACTGACCTTAAGGTGCTCTCAGCAGAGGCCAGGGAAAACCATATCCACTGCTACATGCTTCCCCGATGGCAGGCCAGAGGCCACCAGGCCACTGTCACCGCCATCACAGGCTGGGGGCCACCAGGCCACTGTCATCCCCCAGTCATAGGCCAGAGACCACCAGACCCCTGTCACTCCACATCACTGGCCAGAGGCCACCAGGCCACTATCATCCTCCATCACAGGCAGAGAGCCACCAGGTGACTGTCACCCATCACAGGTAGAAGGCCACCAGACCACTGGCACCTATCACAGGCCAGAGGCCACCAGGCCACTGTCACCCCTCATCACAGGCCAGAGGCCACCAGGCCACTGTCACCCCTCATCACAGGCCAGAGGCCACCAGGCCACTGTCACCCCTCATCACAGGCCAGAGGCCACCAGGCCACTGTCACCCTCCGTCACAGGCCACAGGCCATCAGACCACTGTCACCTATCACAGGCCAGAGGCCACCAGGCCACTGTCACCCCCCATCACAGGCCAGAGGCCACCAGGCCACTGTCACTCCCCATCATAGGCCAGAGGTCACCAGGCCACTGTCACCCCACAGTCTGGGGGCCATCAGGCCACTGTCACTGTCATCCCCAGCCACACCGCTGCTCCATGCCCTGGCCTTATCCCTCCTCTGCCCTCAAGCCTCTCCTCCGCTCCCATGTCAATCTGGATGCCTTGTTCTCTGCTTCCCTGGCCCTTTCAAGGATGCCACTTGGTTTTTGCCTTTAGGGGCCTGGTGTGGCCCCATGAACTTTGTCGTTCATGTCAAATGGAGTGTCAGTAATCCTGTGCAGCCTGGCCCTGCTCAGGTGCCTTTTCCCTGTGGAGACGTCCAGCCTGTGGATGGACAGAGCTGCCTTCTGCTCCAGCCCCCGTGTCTGCAGGGCCCAGTCCTCTGGTCCATCAAGGCCTGCAGTGGTCAGGGTGGCTGTGTGCCAACTGCGGGTGCCCCAGGCTCCAGACTCTTCCCGGGACACTTGTCTGGCCACTGCCCTCCCATGTGGCGCTCTTGCTCCTGAAGCAGAGACCTGGCTCTTGACTTGCACCGTCTAGTACCATCACTACTGGCCATACATGGGGATTTACATTTAAATTTAAATCAGCTCAAGTTAAATCCAAAGCTGGGTGCTGTGGCTCACGCCAGCAATCCCAACGATCTGGGAGGCCAAGGCAGGAAAATCGCTTGAACCCAGGAGTTTGAGACCAGCCTGAGCAACATATTGAAACCCTGTCATTTAAAAAAAAAAAAAAAGCCAGTAAAAAATGAGCCAGGCACAGTGGTGCATACCTGTGGTCCCAGTTACTCGGAAGTTGAGGTGGGAGGATCCCTTGAGCCCAGGAGATGAAGGCTGCAGGGAGCTGAGATCGTGCCACTGCACTCCAGCCTGGGCCACAGAACTAGACCCATCTCTAAAAACCACATAGAATTAAGTTAAAGTCTGTGCCCCGGCCAAATGTCCCATGCTCAGAGCTGCATGTGGAAGGGGCAGACGGAGAGCATCGTCCTCACTGCAGAGGCCCTGGGACCGTGTGGGTCCCCCAGGGATGCTGTGGCTGGCCGGGGCCCTTCCCCTTGGGGGAGACATACCAGGGTGGGGGCTGCCCATGCTCCCAGTGTGGCCCCAGGGAGAGGGCCCTGCCTGATGGGAGCCCTGGGCTCTGAGCCGGCCCTCCATCCTTGCAGCTGGTGAACCGGCTGGGCTCCGCAAGGGCCAGTGCGGAGCTGTGCGTTCAGAGCCCCACGCTGCAGGCCCGGGAGCAGCACCACAGGGAGCAGCTCGTGGCTGCTGTGGAAGGTAAGTCCCACCCCACCCTCACCACCTAGGCAACTCACATGGCTCAGACCCAGGCTGGACCCTCACGGGCCTGGCCGTGTCCTGGAGCAGATCCTTCCCAGTCAGGATCTGCTACCTGGAGGACTCTGGAGGAGGAGCTAGGCTGGCATCTGGGGGCAGGGAGAGCCACAGATGGGAGACGAGGCGGCTGCTGTAGGCCAGGTGTAGGTCCCAGGTCCCAGCCCCTGGCTGGAGGCAGTACCTGTGTGGGCTGGTGGAGGTGGAGAGGCCACTCTGGGTGGGCGTCATTCCCAAAGCCCTGCTGTCATCCTGGGGAGGGAAGTGTGCGCGTGGAGGCCAGGCTTACACCCAGGGCAGCTCGCCGGCAGCAGGCAGATTACAGTAGGAAGGACGTCTCTGTGGAGTCCAGGCGGCTGGGCCCCAGCTTGGCACCCAGGAGAAGGGGCAGGTATCAGGGGCCTGGCCCCTCCACTCAGGGTAGGGCTGGCTGTGGAGGCACCTGGCCTGGTCTGGGGCTGCTCCAGGGTCCTGGGAGGGCCTTAGGCTGCAGAATGACCTCACCAGGGATGGAAGGTGAGGGATGGAGGCTTGGGGGGATCAGCAGGGATGGAGGGAGAGGGACAGGCGGGGCGCATCACCTCCCTCCTCCCGGATGCTTTGTTCAGGGCAGGGGCAGCCAGGGTGGGAAGGGGGTCATCGGGCATCCGTCGTGGGCTCCCAGTTGGAGCTGCCCCTCTAGACAGGTGATAAGCCTCCCATCCCTGGGGAGATGCAAGTGGAGGGACACCTGGCGGAGCCACAGCTCCCACTGTGGATGGGTTGAAACTCGTGTCCTGCAAATCAAAAACACTGGCTACTGCATCCCAGCTCAACTGTCTCTCAGGGCAGTGTGTGAAAGCCAGGTGCCTGTCTGGGTCCCACAGAGTTTGGCCACTTCGACGCCCTCCATGACCCTCAGGGAGCCCCCTCCCTTGCCGGGCAGGGGGCCCTTGTTCCTCAGTCCCCACTGCAAGTGCCCCATGTCTGACGTGTCTCTGGGGCCCCGTGACCTCTGTCAGCCCCACAGCCTGGTGGCCACAGCACCTCACAGAACCATTTCTGCAGCCACCGCGCCCCAGCCTGTCACGAGTTCCGTGTCTTGCGGCCACAAAGTGCCAGCAGGGACACGAGGGGCTGCCTCTCGCTGGTGACAGGAGTGTCCTCTGCGGTCGACACAAGTCTCTCTCTGGGTCTGGAGGAGGGATGGCAGGGAGAGAGGCCACCCGTGCTGGACAGGGCAGCAGCACCTCAGCGCGAAGAACCTGGAGCTGGAGCCAACGCCTCCCCGCTTCTAACCCCTGCCTGCTGCTTCCTCTTTAACCTGGCAGCTCTGCAGCCAGAACGGGCCCTGCCAGGCCTGTGGGGCGGGCGCTGCCCCCTCGCTCGCAGACCACGCTGCGCACAGCTGCACCCCTCCCATGGTTGCAAATACTCAGGTCCACAGCCGATCAGGTGGCAGTTTAGGCCCATGAGTGAAGGTGCCAGGAGTATATGGGCCCAGAGGCTCCAGGCTTCAACCCCAAGTGCAGGGAGGATGATGGGGGCGGCCCTGGGTTTTCCATCACTCTGTGCAGTTCCCATCACTGGTCAGCAGGTGGCGGACACACCAGCTTTCTGTGGGGTCGGGTTAGTCCAAGCACACAGAGCTCTGGCTGAGCGCAGTGGCTCACGCCTGTAATCCCAGCACTTTGGGAGGCCAGGGAGAGCAGATCACAAGGTCAGGAGTTTGAGACCAGCCTGACGACATGGTGAAACCCCATCTCTAAAAATACAAAAATTATCAAGGCATGGTGGCACACACCTGTAATCCCACCTACTCAGGAGGCTGAGGCAGCAGAATCACTTGAACTCGGGAGGCAGAGGTTACAGTGAGCCGAGATCATATCATTACACTCTTGGGCAACAAGAGTGAGACTCCATCTCAAAAAAATAATAAAACCACACACAGCCTTTTGGTTGGATCGAATTCTCTCCTCCCATGAGCTCTCTCCCTCCCTGTGAAATACACACCTACACATACATATACACGTGCACACACACACAGAAATGCACAGTACCAGATGTGGGTAGTCCCTGGCATACATGTGCCGCTCCTCTGAGATGGGCATAAATTCTTTCTCCACATGGCAGTCTAGCAAAGCACACAGTGCCCCACCCCAACCCAACCCAGAGCTGCGAGGCTGTCTGCCCCCGGCCATGTCACTTGACTTTTCTGGACCTCCTGCTAGGGGTAGTGAGGAGGGCCACGGAGATGCGAGGCTGGTGGTGGCTTGTGGCCTACCCACTAGCCAGCTGGCCAGGGCTGGGAGGGGTCATCTTTGTGCCCAGATGATTCTGCCCGGGAGCTGCAGGGAAGGAGTTCTTGAGGTGACTGGGAGAAGGAGCTGCCTGATCCCAGATGCATCCCATCCCGTCACTGGAACCATAGGCCCCAGCCTGCTGGCTCTGGGGAGGGAAGCAGCCAGGAAAAGCAGGAGAGACCATGGGGTGTGTGGACCAAGGTTGCTCCTACAGGGAGATTGGGCTGCCCGCCCACTTGGAGCTCAGGACCCTGCACAGCATCCCCTGGGGCTGTTCTTGGACTTGTGTGGCCTCGTGCCACAGAGCTCAGATGTGCCACTTTCAGGACTCCAGAGTCCCTCCCCCTGAGGATTTTTTGTAACAGAGGCCCTGGCTGTCTCAGCCTCAGTGTGGCTGCTGGCTCCCTGTGCAGCCACAGGCCATTGCTTTCCCTTCCAGGACTCGGCTTCTATGTCTGAGAAGTGGGATTGTAGGTCTGACAATTTCACAGGGCTCCCTTGGCACATGGGTCGAAGGAGAAGCTGGGGTGTCTGTGCAGGGAGCGTAGGTAGGGCCCTCATTCTCCCCATAGCCCCTGCAAAACCCTCGTGAGGGACAGAGAGTCCTGCCTTCACGAGGGGACGCACTGTCCTCAGTCCTCATTCTGCAGCCACTCAGAGCAGGCATCGTCACCTCCACATCAGAGACCAGGGAACTGGGGCTCTGAGCAGACAGCCTGGCTGGGGACAGCTTAGCCGGCGACTCCAATGCTGTGCCACTCAGAATAGCTCAGCCCCCGGCCCTGGCTGGTCTGTAACGCTCGCTATTCCGACTGTTCTCTTTGTAGTCACTGAGCAAGAGACTAAAGTCCCCAAGAAAACCGTCATCATGTAAGTGCAGGCGTGTTTCTAGCCTTCCTCTGACTGCTGTGCCACCTGCATGCCACTGACCTGCTTGCGTCATGCCCGTGTGGCCCAGCCACCTGCTTGCTGCCTGCCTGCTCACATAACATTCATCCTCTGACTGCCAGCACTGCCTAGGTACCCGCAGACACTCCACACTTCACCGCCCTGTCCCCAGGCCCTCAGCACCCTCTGTGGTCCTCACCCTCTGACTGCCAGCACCGCCCAGGTACCCACAGACACTCCACACTTCACTGCCTTCCCCAGGCCCTCAGTGCCCTCCGTGGTCCTCACCCTCTGACTGCCAGCACCGCCCAGATACCCGCAGACACTCTACACTTCACCGCCCTGTCCCCAGGCCCTCAGCACCCTCCGTGGTCCTCACCCTCTGACTGCCAGCACTGCCAGCACTGCCCAGGTACCCACAGACACTCCACACTTCACCACCCTGTCCCCAGGCCCTCAGCGCCTTCCGTGGTCCTGCCGCCTCTGCAGAGTAGACTTACTCCGACACTTCACAGGGGTTCATCCAGGGTTTCCTCAGGAGCTAGGCCTGAGCTGCTTTCCTCAGTGGGCTGGAGACAGTTCTAAATCTCAGCACCTGGGGACTTGTGACAGTGCTGTCCAGCAGCTTCCTGTGATGGACACGTTCTAGATCTACGCTGTCCACTGCAATAGCCCCCAGCCATGTGCGTCTGTGGAAGCATCTGGAATGTGTCTAGTGTGATTGAAGAACAGATTAAGTGTTCATTTTTGTTCATTCGACATTAATGTACACAGTGCAGTCATAGTGGATGGCACCGCTTTAGGGCCCTTAGAGGTCCCCGAGCCCCACGTTCCCCTTTGGAAGATGGGGAAACTGAAGTCCAGGGGAGAAAGGAGATTAGCTCCAGGTGGCTAATGACAAAGCCAGCAGAGACCCCACTTCCCCAGGGCCACACCCACCGTCCCTTTCTTCATCCTTCGGTGCCTCCAGGGTTTAGGAAAATCACACGTTCCTCCTGCAGTAACGCAAGAGGATGGCAGCTGGGCGAACCCACACAGCGCGGGGTTGATTTTGACCTGCATCATCTGAGAAGACTTCAGTAGGAGGGGGTGCAGGTGGGAGTGAAGGAAGAGCTTGCAAAAGCCAGGAGGCAGGAAAGACTGTGGCTTCCTAAGGCCAGATGGCTAAGGAGCTTCAGGATGTCCCCAGGGCCTACAACCTCCTAAAGGGGCCTTCAGTTGGCCCTATTACAGGAAAATCCCATTGCAGACATTTGCTGAGACCCTGGGTTCACCCCTCCTTGGCTTTCTCCCTCCCCCACTCTAGCAAGTTGCTCCACTAATGGCACCCCACAACAGATGGGGCTGCCTGGGTGCTGCTGGGTACCCCGTTCCTGGAGGCGTGCAGCCATGCCAAGGCCTGGCATCGGTCACTTCTAACATTTTGTCCCCTTGAGAACACTACCATCTACATTTTATGGATAAGAAAGCGGAGGAGCAGAGATGAAGCCAGAATGCCCCAGTGGCAAAGCTTCAGAGGCGACTCATGCCTCGGACCAGGGAGGACCAGCATACAGGCTTAGGAAGGTGGCAACGCTCACCCCACAAAGAATAATCTGCCCTCAGCTGGAGGAATGGAGCGAGGCAGTGGCATAAGCCCTGCATGGAACCCAAGGGCAGACCCACAGGGAGAGGGGCCGGGATGGGCAGTGGACCTAAGAGGGAACAGGGCTTGGAGAGACCCCCTGCCGTGTTTGCGGTCACAGCACAGGATGCCCTGTGTCCTTGTGGGGGTGGCAGTGAGCCCAGCATTTGGGGGGGTATTCAGGGGTCACCCCCCACCTGCTGGGCTGCACTCAGCTCACCACCCACATCTGCAGATCAGGCAACATGAGGTGAGCAGATGGCGCCTGGCCTGGGCTGTCAGCAGCAGACCGACTGCCCCAAAGCCTGGGTGAGACGGGAAGCAGGCCTGTGAGTGCGAGGTGGCCACATCGCTGAGCCTCGGCTTCCCTGTCAGTTGGGTGGAAGCTCTCGCTCCGTCTGTAGTAGCGGAGGGCTGGAGGGTGCAGAGCCTGTCATTGCCGGCACCCTGAGGGCTGCTCACACATCTCCAGCTCGTCCCAGGGAGCAGCTGCTTCCAGACGGAGCCCCGAGTTAGGCAAAAGCGCAGCTGAACAAGAGCGAGACACTACCTCGGAAAGACAGCTGGCAGCGGCACCCTTGGTGACCACTGTCACCTCACACATGCCACACCCCTTGTGCCGAGTCTGAGGGAGGTGCAGGGCTGAGGGCAAAAGGAGAAACAGGCAGGGAACCGGGAGGCGGCTGTGCCACTGGGCACTTTCTGCTTCCCTGCGTGTTATGCCCTCATGGCCCAGCAAGGTCAGGGCACCGAGTGCCAGAGGAGGACCTGGGCTGGCTGCTGTGCGTCTCCCTCTTGACCCCAGGCAGATTTTTTGAACCTCTTTGACCCTCTCTGTCCCTCATGAAGTAGGATCAGACCCTCTCCCACGTTACTGCAGCCTCAGACACGAGAGCTTTCAGAGCTCCCGCCAGTGCCAATGCTCAGCCGCCCCTGCATTCTGCCTCCGCCACTCCTCCCCAGCCCCATTTTGGGAGATGGAGCCAGGCACAGGGAGGGGCTTGTCTGAAGTCACATGCTCATTGTGGCCCAGCCAAGTCTGGAGCCAGGGATCCACCCTCGGCCTGCCTGAGGCCTTTCCCGGCCTCAGACTCTTGGGCCCGAAAGGCCAGGAGAGCAGGTCACAGGCCAGGGTGCTCTGACAGTCTCCCAAACGTTAGCCCTTGGGGCCTGAGCTCACCCTGCATGCCCCTGCTTCCCGTGCCCCTGTGGCATGGGCCATCCAGCCCATTTCTGGCCAAGAATTTTCAGGGCGGGCAGGCCCTGCCCTCTGAGAGTTGGCTGTGCTCCATCCCCCACCATACAAAGCACAAAGCCTACTGGTGGGATGGACCTGGAGGGGAGACTGGCACTGGGGCCACTGCAGTCAGGATGTGACCTGGTTTTTGGAGGCACTTGCCTGCGCAATGCGGCACAGGCCTCCCCACGTACCCGCGTTTTTTGTGGATCTGCACAGCAGAGCCTGAGGTCAGCCACATGGGACCTTGTGCTGTTCCTTTGGTTCTGTGGTGGGGGTGGGGCTCCGCAGGCTGGGCTCACATGCATGTGTAAGAGTTCTTTGTGCACTCTCACCGCTTGCTTGCTGGTTCAATAACCTGAGCTCTCACGCTGCCCTGGCAACCCTGGGTGCTGTGCCCATCTTCTCTTGGGCCCTCTCCTCCCTCCCCCAGAGAAGAGACCATCACCACTGTGGTGAAGAGCCCTCATGGCCGAAGACGATCCCCGAGCAAGTCCCCTTCCCGCTCGCCTTCTCGCTGCTCTGCCAGCCCACTGAGGCCGGGCGTCCTGGCCCCCGACCTGCTGTACCTGCCAGGGGCTGGCCAGCCCCGCAGGCCAGAGGCAGAGCCGGGCCGGAAGCCCATGGTGCCCACGCTGTACGTCACGGAGGCCGAGGCCCTCTCTCCAGCTCCACCCGGGCTCTCGGGGTCCCAGCCGCAGTGGGTGGAGGTGGAGGAGACCATTGAGGTCCAGGTGAAGAAGACGGGCCTGCAGGCTGCGTCTCCCACCAGAGAGGTGCCCAGGAGCTCGTCGGGGCATCTCTTCACGCTACCCGGTGCGACCCCAGGAGGGGACCCCAATTCCAACAACTCCAACAACAAGCGGCTGGCCCGGGAGGCCCGGGGCACAGCCACTGCCGGCACCAGGGAGCCCCTCGCCTTCCGCGTGGATGCCGGGGGCAGTGTGGACTGCGCCGCTTCTGGCACGAGCAGCCTGGAGCCGGGGGAGGCCGGCATCACCCCAGAGGAGGAGCGCGAAGAGGAAGAGGGAGAAGACGCAGACACTTTTGTGATGGAGGAGCGCCGGGACCCCAAGATCCTCACGCACAACGGCCGCGTGCTGACGCTGGCTGACTTGGAGGACTACGTGCCTGGGGAAGGGGAGACCTTCCGCTGCGGCAGCCCTGGGGCCGGCACCCCTGACGACCCGCCCTGCGAGGTCTCGGTGATCCAGAGAGAGATCAGGGAGCCCACAGTGGGGCGGCCGGTGCTGCTCAGCGTGGGGCGTGCACCCCGCCTCCGAGGCCCTCTCGGCTTCTTTAGACCTGTGCCTGGTGGGGCATCGCCCCCGGGACCCCAGGTCCGTGGCCCCGAGCGCGCCTCCTTCCTCCTCCTGCGGGAGGCCCCAGCCGGGCCTGTGGGCAGCGCTCCCCGGACGCAGTCTTTCTGCACCTGCATCCAGCGCTCTGCAGGCAGTGGCCCCAGCAGCTTCACCACCGAGCTTTCCACCCAGACCGTCAACTTCGGGACAGTCGGGGAGACGGTCACCCTGCACATCTGCCCAGACAGGGACGGGGATGAGGCGGCGCGTCCCTGAGGCTGTGCCCCGGCAGCAGGCCCCAGGAGCCTGAAGGCCTCCCTTTCCCAGCCAGGGCCCTTCCTACCTCACGCACCTCCAGTCAGGAGGACTGAGTAGCGCCTGCAACATCAGAGTGACCAGCTCAGAACCTCCGCTCTGGGCTGTTTCTTGTCAGCCTGGCGGGAGCGCAGGGCTGTGACAGATGTGGCCTTGGGCACCTGCCCTGTTCCCACGAGGCCTCGTCTACTCTCCTACCCTGGCCCCAGCTGCCAGGCCTGGCCTGGCCTTGCCTCTCCTGCAGTCTTGGCGACCACCTTCCAGCCCTGTGGGCCTCGTGGCCTTCTCTGCAGGGTGGACACAGGGTCTGTGTGTGGGCAGCAGCCCCTGTCTCTCAGCAAAAATAAAACAGCTTCCTGCATATCTCTCCGACTCTCTTTGCCTCTCCACTGGGCGGACCTGGGTCCCCTCCACTTGCAGCCCTCGAGGGAGCCCCTACCCTCACCAGCCCTCGACTGTAAGGTCCCTGGCTGGCCACTGCCTGTGGTGTCCCCGCCCATTCTGGGGTCCCTGACTGGACCTGCAGCAGCTGCTTCCCATCAGGGGCTGTGCAGCCACCCACAGGGACACGAGGCGTGGTCAGAACAGCCAATCACGGTCCTTCCTGGCATGCTGGGCACCAGGCAGGCCTTCCCCAGGCCTGGGCAGCCAGAGCGGTTGTCATGGCAGACGTGGGGATGCAGTGACCCCATGGGATTCAGGCTCTCAGCATCAGGGGTCAACTTCGTTGTCTCTGGCTGGACAATTCCAGCACCAACAGAGGACGACCCCAAGCCCTCCAGCCCTGAGGCTGGCCGAGGGGTCCTGCCGACCACCTTGGAGTGGGAAGGAGGGTGCCCTGGCCCTGTAGAAAGCAGCCGGCGTCTCTCCAGGCTGTCGACCGGGGGTGCAGCAAGGGCTTGAGGACACAAACGAGAAGGGAGGGTTGGGGCAGGTGACCTGCTGGACCCGCGTGCGAGGTGCCTGGGAGCTGGTGGCCAGGTCAGGTTGTGGGGAGGCTGCTGAGGGGGAGCTGCCGGGGGGCTGTGCTCAGCAGGGCTCCAGAGGACTCTCTGGCCGCCAGGAAGGGGCCAGGTGGGATGGCGGGGGCAGGGCGGTACGCAAAGAGGAGGAGAGATTTGGGTGACAGGTGGAGGACAGAAAGCTGCCGGACAGGTGGGTGCAGGCAGAGGCTGCCCTGGGAGGGAGGGACCGTCCCCAGAGAGAGACCCATGCCATGGCTGCCAGGACACCCACTGAACCCAAGCTTCCTCTGGGTCTCGCCTTGGCATCAGACTGTGCCCAGGTTCAAGGAGAGGCCAGCTCTGGTCAGGGGGTTGTGATCAGTGGCAGAGCCAAGGCCAGGGGCAGGTGTCCAGTCCCGGCGGCTTCCTGGAGGTGGTGACACTCTCCCAAAGGCACCTGGGGAGGACGAGCCTGAGCTTGCAGAGGCTCTAGGAAGAAGAAGCGCCTGCTGCAGGGTCTGCAGTTCCTTCCCCTCTGTCCCAGGCCTCTACCTCCAGGCAGCCTCCTGAGGGGGTGTGGGTCGGTGGGGGGGAGTCCAGTGTCGGCCCAGCTGGGCAGTCTCGAGGATGGGGACGAGGCTCCCGGAGCCCCCTCTGCAGGCTGCAGCCATCCCGGACCCCTGGGCCTCAGCCCTTCTGCACTCATCTGTCTCTTCTACAGACACCACCCTGGAGAAAGTGGACCAGGAGGTCACATCCATCCTGGAGAGACTGCTGGGCTCCAAGGTGCCAGGGCCCTCCACAGGGGACCTCACTGACACTGGCACTGGCCCCGGCCCCGGCCCCAGCCCCTGCCCCGGGATCGCACCTGCACTCCAGGAAGCCGGCTCCCAGCCCCCAGTCACCGGAACTTCAGAAGCACCCGGTGAGGCCCAGACGATGCCAAGCGCAAAGACCCCCAGGGGCTGACCCCACCCTGACTACAGCACGAGGGCTGCCCATCCCATGGGCAAGAGACGCCAGGCCCATGACCCTGACTTGGAACCCCAGGGGCTCCTGGGCAAAGCTTGTCCTCTTGCTTGTCCTCAGTTTCCCCATCTGAATCAAGGCACAGAATCTGTTCTGGAAGGTTCCTCCTGCTCTGAGTCTGTTTCAGAAGCCAGAGGCTTCCCATGGTTGGCCTGTGGTGGCCAATTTAGGTGCCCTGCTCTTTAGGGGACAGGAGGAGGGGGAGGGGTGTGAGAAAGGAGAGGAGGAGGAGAGGAGAGAAGTAAGAGGGACAGGAGGAGGGAACAGAGGGTAAAAGGAGCAATGCCCCAAACAGACCAGACCAGAGCAGACCAAACCAGACTGGCTGCTAGAGAGCCTGCTCCGTGTGTCACCCACACCCCTTCCCCCAGCTGTCTGGGGTCTCTGTTATCACCCCTCCCCTTCCCCCAGGTGTCTGGGGTCTCTGTTAACACCCACGCCCCTTCCCCCAGGTGTCTGGGGTTTCTATTATCACCCATCCCCTTCTCCCAGGTGTCTGGGGTCTCTGTTATCACCCACGCCCCTTCCCCCAGGTGTCTGGGGTCTCTGTTATCACCCCTCCCCTTCCCCCAGGTGTCTGGGGTCTCTGTTATCACCCCTCCCCTTCCCCCAGGTGTCTGGGGTCTCTGTTACCACCCCGCCCCTTCCTCCAGGTGTTGGGGGTCTCTGTTGTGATCATCCCAGCCCCTTCCCCCAAGTGTCGGGGTCTCTGTTATGGAGCACTTTCACGGCTGCTGCTTTTTTTGTCTTTGGGACGGAGTCTCGTTCTGTCACCCAGGCTGGAGTGCAGCGTACAAGGGCGCGACCACAGCCCACTGCAGCCTCAACCTCCTGGGTTTAAGTGATTCTATCACCTCAGCCTCCCAAGTAGCTGGGACTACAGGTGTGTGCCCCCATGCCCAGCTAGTTTTATTTTGGGGTAGAGATGGGGTCTTGCTGTGTTGCCCAGGCTGCTCTCAAACTCCTGGGCTCAAGCCATTCTTCTGCCTCAGCTTCCCAAAGTGCTGGGATTACAGGTGTGAGCCTGGTCCTCAGGTTCCCGATCAAGGACCTTTTCTTAAAGGGACAGATGGTTCATCTGGGGAAACTGAGGCCTGGGTTGTGGGGAGCTCATCCCAGACCCTGCTGCTCACTGCAGGTGGAGCCAGGTGGTCAGACCCTCCTACAGGAGCACCCAGCTCTCCCAGCTGGAGGTCAGCGCCAGCATGGGCACAACCAGGCAGGGAAGCATGAGGCGGGGGGCAGGATGGCAGCCAGGCTCCTCCCCGCCCCATCCAGCGTCCTCTGCATCCTGTGTGTGCTTCTCGGTCCATGCCCTTCTCCTCCCCGTCTGGTCCAGTCCCTGCCTTGGTCATCTTCACATAAAGGACCGTCCCAGCCCTGTGTACCATGTTCCACCCGCTCTGGTCACCCCACCCATCTTGCAGGGCCTTACCTCATGCACCCTCCCCAGCCACCCCTACCTGGTCTCATCACCTTGGAGAAAGGCCGTCTGGCTAGAGCCAAGCAGGGTGACACCTCCAGGGCACAGTGCCCTCCCCAAGGACTGCACGGGGCACCCCTGCCATGGTCTCATGCTTTATGCCCTGGGCTTACTCCACTCCGATCCCAACAGTCTCACAGTCCACACGCTGCCACCGTGACCTCCCCAGGGCCAGGGGGCATAGGGTTCGGGGCAAGCAGGCCACCTTCCTCCAGTGAGATGAGAGGGCCGGCCCCTTGGGTCTGCTTCCCCTCAGCAGGCACAGAAGCCCCCAGGCCTTTGGCAAGTGCAGGCTCCTCCCTCCAGCTGCCTGGGCACTGCGGGGTGTACTGCTCAGTCCCACCTTGGTGAACATTCGCTCAGTGTGCCCATCATGGGGTTGGCTGGACGCAGGGCCTGGCCCAGGAGAAGGGGCATGCCATCCCTCCCACCCTGGGAAGTGGTCACTTCTCATTCTCCTGGCCTGTCATCCTTCCCCCCACAGAGACTGAGGGCTGGTGCCCACAGGGGAGGGACAGGCAGGCCGAGGCTAGGGCAGGGGTCTGGGAGGACCGGCTCTGGTCCTCAATCTCCCTCTGCCACTTGGGTGCCAGGGGCACAGGGGCTGAGCAGACAGCCCCGCCCGGGTGCTGCTTGGCCTGTTCCGGCAGATTGCGGGCTCCCTCCCAGGCCTGACACTCGTTCACTCTTCCTGATGCCACTGAAGAGTGGGCATGAGTTGGCCTGCCCTGCCCATGGTGGGCACCCTTCCCATTTGCCTGCCTGCCCGAAGCTTACATGTACCTGACTCCTATAGCCTCCTGCTCTGCCTGCACCACCACCCGGGGCTGTCCACCCTGGGGGCCTCCTGTCCTCTCCCTGGCAGCTGGGTGGAGCAGCTTTGAGGGCCCTACCTGTGGCCTTTGGGCAGCCCCATGGGGTGACACCCTGACTCCCTGGGTCCTGCCCACCATCTGTTGTGTGCTAGGAACTGCTGAATGCCCCTGTACCCACGGTGCTCAGACACAGCCACCTGCCCTGCCTGGCCATCAGGGAGTGTTCTGGAGGACAGAGACCACAGCATCCCGATGTCAGCCTGGCGGGTGGGCAGTAGGGCCTCAGGGCTCATGGTGCCAGCCCATAAGTGGAGGGTGCCTGGCACATGGGCTCTGCAGGGTGGCAACTGTACGTGCTTGAGCTGTGGGCTGGGGACTGGCGTTGGGGCTCAGGGCCCCTGGAGCCCAACGCTCTGCCTGGGCTCGCCGGGCTTGGGGTCGTGAGGACCTGCTACAGGCCCCACCACGGCTCCCTCTCATGAGGCCATATCTCCCAGCAGCCAGGCCCCCGAGGATGCCACAGCCCCTCCTCCACGAAGCCCCAGAGCAGGAGTCGGAGGCTCGAGCCAGAGCCCAGGAGCGGACTGTGCCCATTCGGTAACCTCCCCAGATTGCTGGTCCTGCAGCAGGGGCCGACCCCCAGGGGACATCCCAGGGCAAGCAGGGAGGGCACGTGAGCATGAGGTACTGGGGTGGCCTCAGGCCCTCACTACACTCCCTACCAGCAGCCACCCCACGCAGGGCAGGGCAGGGAGGAGAGGCCATCCTAGGAACAAGAGGTGAGAGTGGGGCTGGGTCCCCGTCTGTACATCTCATCCCAGAGAGGCTCTGCTGCAGCCCCTCCAAGTGTTGGTGGTGAGCAGGGACCCCCCATCTCATCGGAAGGCCTGGCTGCTCAGAACAGGTGAGGGCCTGGCAGAGCCTCACTCTGCTTCCTAACCCCAGGATGGAGGGCGCGGCCTGGCCCGGGGCAGGCACAGGGGAGCTGCTCTGGGACGTCCACAGCCACGTGGTCACGGAGACCACGCAGAGGACCTACACGTACCGGGCCGTGGACGCGCGCACCGCACGTACGGGGTTGGGCCCAGAGGGTTATGAGTGTGATTCCCATGCCCCTGCCCAGTGCTGGGGGCATTTGCACATCTACAGAGGCCACCCAGCATGTCCCGGTCCACCCCTGCCTGGGAGCCCCACATTCCACCTCACTGTGTTCCCTCAGAGGGGCCGGGACCCTCTTCCGGGGAGAGGCAAGTGGCGGTGAACTTGGTGTCCGTAGGACCCTGTCCCTGAGTGCACAGCAGAGTCAGTGAGCCCTGCCGGCCCCGCCAGCTCCTCCTGATCACCTGGCCTGCTGAGGTCAGAGTGGGAGATGCAGTGGTTCCATGGAAGCAGCACCCCTGACAGTCAGAAGCCTGGGCGGTCAGAATGGGGTGCTGCTGCCCACGGTGTATCTCAGGGCCACTGACCACCCAGGCATGGTGAGCTGTGGCTGGCACCCAGGGGTCCCCACGGTTCCCTCCCTGCCCTTCCAGGGCCCCCATCCATGCAGGTGACCATCGAGGATGTGCAGGTACAGACAGGCAGCACGGCCCAATTCCAGGCTGTCATTGAGGGCGACCCACAGCCCACAGTGACCTGGTACAAGGTAGGAGCAGCTCCAGGTGGGTGAGATTCGGGATGGCCCTGGGAGCTGGGGAGCCCATGGGAGGGAGTGCAGTCCACACCATACACTTCCCCGACATCCCCTCCAGACTGGACGTGCATCAGAAGCACTCAGTGAAGAGTGGGGGATGGGGTCCCCCAGGGTGGGCTGATGGCAGCCCTGCCGGTCCTGTGCCTCCAGGACAGCGTCCAGCTGGTGGACAGCACCCGGCTTAGCCAGCAGCAGGAAGGCACCACGTACTCCCTGGTGCTGCAGGATGTGGCCTCGAAGGATGCGGGCGTCTACACCTGCCTGGCCCAAAACGCCGGCGGCCAGGTGCTCTGCAAGGCAGAGCTGTTGGTGCTTGGGGGTGAGTGGGCCGACCCCTCCCGCTTTGTAGCTGGGCTGGCCGGGTACAGGTCTCGGCTCCACAGGGCAACCTCTCTTCCCACGGGTGGTTCCTGGATGAGTGTGGTCCCACAGTCTTGGGTCCAGGGAGCCCCTCCCATCAACACCACAGCACTGGGCTCCATGGGGATTGGGGTGGTCACCTTTGCCCATCCCAGCCACTTCCCACTCCTTAGGGGACAGTGAGCCGGACTCAGAGAAGCAAAGCCCGCGGAGGAGGCTGCACTCCTTCTATGAAGTCAAGGAGGAGATCGGAAGGTAGCGCCTGGCCCCCTTTCCCCTGGGCTGCTGATGGCCTGGGCTGCTGGGGCTCCTCACTCCCTCCTTCCTAGGGGCGTGTTTGGCTTCGTGAAGAGAGTGCAGCACAAAGGAAACAAGATCTCCTGTGCTGCCAAGTTCATCCCCCTGCGGAGCAGAACCCGGGCCCAGGCGTACAGAGAGCGAGACATCCTGGCCATGCTGAGCCACCCGCTGGTCACAGGGCTGCTGGACCAGTTTGAGACCCGCAAGACCCTCATCCTCGTTCTGGAGCTGTATCCTGCCCTCAGCCCCTGGGAGGACTTGAGTAGGGGCAGGCCGGGGCTCGGAGGAGCCATGTGCACGGCATCCCCTGCCCGGCTGGGAATTTGGGGGGAGTCTTCTGTTCCATGGGGCAGTGACTGGAGTCCCTGGGGGTGCTGGTGGCCAGCTGGCCTGGATGACCTGACACCCTCAGCAGGGATGGCCGGGGTTCTCGCCCACTCTGCAGATGGCCTCTTACAGAGAAAGGAGCTGCCTGGTCAGGCTACTCTGGGGTTCACCCTGCCACCCATGGAGCCTGGTCTTGGGGTCACCTCTGGTGCTCTTGACAGAGCTGGACACATCCCCCCTGTCCCGAGTCGGCATCCTCTTTACGGGGAGAGGGTGCTGGATGGGCTCTGTGCAGAGCGGACAGGATGTCCCCTCCCACCATGCCACTGCACTGAGGGCCTCGGTCCCCAGGGTCAGCCTGCAGCCCCTCCCTCTCCTCAGGACTGGGTGTCATCTGGTGCTCAGAGGGGTCCTGCCCCACCCTCCTCAACCCTGAGTATCACCCCACTGCCCCCTGAGATCAGACGTGCCTGCAGTCCTGGCCTCCTCATTGAGTGTGGGTGTCCAGGGGCAGGCAGGTTTCAGCCCCACAAGCCTGCTTTTCCTTGACGGGGTCCCAGGTGCTCGTCCGAGGAGCTGCTGGACCGCCTGTTCAGGAAGGGCGTGGTGACAGAGGCCGAGGTGACTGGGCAGCCACCCACCACTGCCCCAGTCACACACCCTGCCCCAGCCCCCGCTCAGACAGCAGTCCCTGCAGACACAGCCCCAGCCCCAGCCCTCCCCGGCTCAGAGGCCTCTGGAGCTCCCTAGGGCCTCTGGGGCCCTTGACCCCTCGGTTGGACTCGACAGGCCCCGCCACCCCACCTCACCTGGCCAGCTGACCAGCCCAGCCCTCCCCTCCCCTGCTGAGGGTCACGAGTCCACGGTATCCTCCCTGCCTTTAAGGGATACCCTGGCTTAGGGGCACACCGGGTCCAGGACGGCTTTGCGCATCAGCCGCCAAAGCCAGGGGCAGCTGGGCGTGAAGTGGAGAGGGAGGCTGGGGCAGGGCTGCCGCCTGCACAGCAGCCCCACATGAAGACATTGAAATCTGTCGCAGGTCAAGGTCTACATCCAGCAGCTGGCAGAGGGGCTGCACTACCTGCACAGCCACGGTGTCCTCCACCTGGACATAAAGGTTCGTGTGTCCCCGCCCCTGCACTCCCAGCCTCACCGAGGGCTTGCTTGTCTCCACAGGCAGGAAGCTCACCACCTCTGGGCAGCCCTTTCAAGTGGGGCGTGACTCTAGTGGAGCAGAGGCTGTCCTCAAATGGCTGCGCTGGGTGTGCCCCACCCTGCCCCCCAGGCCTCCGAGTGTCCCCCAGGAGCCACCCCCTTGGGGCATGGCCCTCACCCACGCCCAACTCTCCCACAGCCCCCTAACATCCTGATGCTGCATCCTGCCCGGGAAGACATTAAAATCTGTGACTTTGGCTTCGCGAAGACCATCACCCCGGCAGAGCCGCAGTTCAGCCAGTACGGCTCCCCTGAGTTCGTCTCCCCCGAGATCATCCAGCAGACCCCCGTGAGCGAGGCCTCCGACATCTGGTGAGTCGGGGGCGTGGCTGCAGCTTCTCCGGGAAGCCAGTTCCCATGGCCAGCTGGGCCCTGCCCTCCACTCCAGGAGGCAGCAGGCCGTCTACTGGCCAGCCGGGGGGTCCTCCCCGAACCCGCCTCCTCCTCCAGCCCTGGGCTCTTCCCTTCCCTGTGTGTGTGCCTCTTACCTGCGGGTCTGGGGTGACAGTGTGTGGTTCTGTCTTGCAGGGCCATGGGTGTCATCTCCTACCTCAGGTGAGCAGAGTCCCCATCAGCAGCCTCCTTCGAAGCTGACTCGAGGCCCCTCCCTTGTAGGCCCACTGAAGGCATGCGCACCGCTGGCTGCTCCCCAGATCAGAGACCGAGACCCAAGGGACAGCTATCTTGGGAACAGGCAGTCAGCCAACCCTGATAAGAGGTTTCTGCCCAGAGTGTCTCAAACACCCTGTCATCAGAGGGCTGTGCCAGGTCACAAGGCAGCCAGGTGATGGCCGCTGCTGCCCTGAGAATGATGGTGGAATAGACTGAGCCTGGACCTCCTCAGCAGACTGATCTTGATCCCTGCCCCAGACTGAGCCTGGATCCCCATTTCAGACTGAGGCTGGTGCTACCCACACTGACCCTAGATCCCTGCCCCAGCCTGAACCTGGATCCCTACCTCAAAGGCTGGTGTCTACCCAAGCTGACTCTAGATCCCTTCTGCAGCCTGAGCCCAGATACTCCAGGCTCGGCCTGGGTCCTTGGTCCAAGCTGAGGCTGGATCTCTCTGGGCAGATCAGAGAAACTTGCTGTGACTCTCAGAGCTAGACGGGAGTGGGGCTAAGAGCCCCTCCATAGTCAGGGCTGCATCTGAGAGCCAGGCCTTCCCTCTGTCTTCAGCCTGACCTGCTCGTCCCCGTTTGCCGGCGAGAGTGACCGCGCCACCCTCCTGAATGTCCTGGAGGGGCGTGTGTCATGGAGCAGCCCCATGGCTGCCCACCTCAGCGAAGACGCCAAGGACTTCATCAAGGCTGCGCTGCAGAGGGCCCCGCAGTGAGTGCAAGCCCGGCTTCTCCCGCCCCGGGGCAGCTGACCACCTGGCCCTTCCTGAGCCTTCCTCTCCCCGCAGGGCCCGGCCCAGTGCGGCCCAGTGCCTCTCCCACCCCTGGTTCCTGGTGAGTACTGGGCTCAGCCCTACACCATGCAGGGGGCGCCTGAGGCCAGCGGGGGCAGGGCCTCTGGGCCACAGGGCGAGTGAGCACAGAACTGTAGCGTAGCCCAGCCTCTGCCCAGCCCAGAGGACCTTTGTCCCTGTGCATCAGTGAGAGACCCTCAGCCTGGGACCATGTTTCAGTGCCCCAACCCCCAGCAGGAAGCAGGGAGAACTTCGAGGAGCTCTGGGACAGGGGGTCACCTCTGGCCTTTGCCACCTGCCCCACCTGGACATGTGGGGTGAGGGCTATGCTGTCCTGGATCCAGGGGATCCCAGGGCTGAGGCTGTGCCAGCCACCCAACCCCTCCCCGGCAGGGCTTCCACCATGGAAGGGACCCATCAGAGCACCAGGGTCTCCCTGCCATGTGGCTAGCCGCCCACTTCCGTCCCCTAGAAATCCATGCCTGCCGAGGAGGCCCACTTCATCAACACCAAGCAGCTCAAGTTCCTCCTGGCCAGAAGCCGCTGGCAGGTGAGCCCTGCCCGCCCAAGTAGGGACCAGTGAAGGGAAACCGAGACCCCGCAGGGCTGGCCATGCAGCCGGGAGTGCGGGAAGCAGGGAACTGGGGCTGGGCCCCTCTGAGCGCACTGAAAGGAGGAAGGAATCATTGGCTGGGTACAGCGGGGTGGGCAGAGGACCCCGGAGCTTCTGGGTCTCCCCAGCTCATGCCCGCTACCCCCATGCGGTCCCAGCGTTCCTTGATGAACTACAAGTCCATCCTGGTCATGCGCTCCATCCCTGAGCTGCTGCAGGGCTCGCCCGACAGCCCCTCACTCGGCGTGGCCCGGCACCTCCGCACAGACGCTGGTGGCTCCTCCAGTTCCTCCTCCTCCTCCGACAATGAGCTGACCCCGTTTCCCCGGGCCAAGTCGCTGCCACCCTCCCCGGTGACACACTCGCCACTGCTGCACCCCCGGGGCTTCCTGAGGCCCTCGGCCAGCCTGCCTGAGGAGGCCGAGGCCCCAGGTCCGCCTGCGTCACCCGAGGGTGCTGGGCCCCCGGCAGCCCAGGGCTCCGTGCCCCGGCACAGCGTCATCCGCAGCCTGTTCTACCAGCAGGCAGGTGAGGGCCCCGAGCACGGGGCCCTGGCCCCAGGGAGCAGGCGGCACCCAGCCCGGCGGCGGCACCTGCTGAAGGGTGGGTACATCGCGGGGGCACTGCCAGGCCTGCGAGAGCCGCTGATGGAGTACCGTGCGCTGGAGGAGGAGGCCACCAGGGAGGAGGAGGCCACCCTCCTGGCCAAAGCTCCCTCCTTCGAGACCGCCCTCCAGCTGCCTGCCTCTGGCACCCACTCAGCCCCTGGCCACAGCCGCTCCCTGGAACATGACCCTCCGAGCACCGCTCGCCCCTCCCTGGGGGCCTGTGGTGAGGCACAGCAACTGCCTCCAGCCCCCTCCGGTGGGGCCCCTGCCAGGGACATGCAGCACCCGCAAGGCTCTGAGCAGCTTCCATCCACTGGAGGCCACCCAGGCACTGCTCAGCCAGAGGGGCCATCCCCAGACAGCCCTTTGGGGCAGCGGGCCCCTTACTGTCACCCCAAGCAGGTTTCTGGCCCCCAGGAGGGCTGCAGCCCCCACTGGGCACTTGCCCCACACCCTCCCAGCTCCTTCCCTCCAGGATCTTGTGAAGAGGCCGCCTCAGTAATCTCGAGCTGCCTCCTGGGACAGCCTGAGGCACCCCCTGTCCCAGCCCAAGCAAGTCCCCCGCTAGACTCTAAGATGGGGCCGAAACCCAGCCCCTGCAGTTCCCCAGGGCCAGCCCGCCAGGCGAGCTCTTCCCAAGTGAGCTCCCACAGGATGGGCTCCCCGCAGGTGGGTGCAGAGCCTGGCCCCTCCCTGGATGCTGAGGGCTGGTCCCAGGAGGCTGAGGATCTCTCGCCCACCCTGCAGCAGCCTCAGGAGCAGGCCACCACGCGGAAGTTCTCCCTGGGGCGTCACGGGGGCTATGCCGGCGTGGCTGGCTATGGCACCTTTGCCTTTGGTGGGGATGCGGGAGGCATGCTGGGGCAAGGACCCATGTGGGCCAGGATGGCCTGGGCTGTGTCCCAGTCCTCGGAGGAGCAGGAGGCGGCCAGGGCTGAGAGCCCGCTGCCCCAGGTCAGTCCAAGGCCAGTGCCTGAGGCCGGCAGGACTCCCTCCAGGACCTCTCCAGAGCCTACCCCATGGGAGGACGCCGGGCAGGTCTCCCTGGTACAGATCCGGGACCTGTCAGGTGACGCAGAGGCGGCCGACACAGTATCCCTGGACATTTCGGAGGTAGACCCCGCCTACCTCAACCTCTCGGACCTGTACGACATCAAGTACCTCCCGTTCGAGTTTATGATCTTCAGGAAAGTCCCCAAGCCGGCTCAGCCAGAGCCACCCTCCCCCGGGGCTGAGGAGGAGCTGGCCGAGATCCCAGAGCCTGAGTGGCCCTGGCCAGGCCAATTGGGCCCCCAGGCGGGCCTGGAGATCACAGAGGGGCCAGAGGACATGGAGGCGCTGCTGGCAGAGGCTGCTGCAGGCAGGAAGCGCAAGTGGATCTCACCGTCTCGCGGTCTCTTCCGCCTCCCTGGGAGGCACCTGCCGCTGGACGAGCCGTCGGAGCTGGGGCTGCGTGAGAGAGTGAAGGCCTCTGTGGAGCACATCTCCCGGATCCTGAAAGGCAGGCCAGAAGGTGACCCGTCACCCCAACCACCCCACCCCAGGCGTCCTGCATGTCCAGGGCCCCCATTCTGCACCTGGGGTTACCGCATTCCAGGTGATGGCAGGAGGCCCTCGTGGCAGCCGCCAGGGTCCAGGAACCTCCCACACCTCCTGTCCCTGCCTCAGGGCTCTTAATCTTGGGGTCACCTCTGCAGCCCTGACACCCCTCCCCATGGGGCAGCTGAGACCCAGCCCTGGAACCTAACATAGCTGCAGAGGCCTGGGGAGGCTGTACGTGGGGTACCTCTGGGGAGAGAATCGAAGGGGCCAGAGTCTTCCTGAACCAGATCCTCCCTAACCCCAGACCCTCCCTGCCCCAGACACCCCAACACTGGACCCTCGTGACCCCATATCCTCCTGAATCCTCCTTGACTCCACAGTCCTCTCTGACCCCAGACCCTCCCCCTGACCCCAGAGCACTTCTTGATCCATAGGGTCTGCCCGAGACCCCACCTTACCCCAGGCCCTCCCTAACTCCATACCCTATCTAACCCCAGATCCTCCTGACCTCAGGCCTCCCCGACCCCAAAACCCTTCCCAACCCCATTGTTCTCCCAAACCCCAAAGTCCTCCCTGGCTCTGGACCTTTCAGACCCTGTGCCTGGAGGTGGGGAGGGTGCCTGCTCCTCGTGTTTCCTTTGTCCTCAATGGCCTAGAAGTCTGGAGAGCGGGCAGCAGGCTGGCCGACCCCGACTTCTTCCTGTCCCAGCTGCTCCAGGTCCTTGCAGCAAGAGGCTGCTGGTGCTGCCAGGGGGTTGGACTCCTGGCCATGACCTCCACGGCCCCCTTTCTCCTGCAGGTCTGGAGAAGGAGGGGCCCCCCAGGAAGAAGCCAGGCCTTGCTTCTTTCCGGCTCTCAGGTCTGAAGAGCTGGGACCGAGGTGAGCAGGCCCAACACAGAGACCTGGCCCTGTTGCCTCTCAGGGTCCGACCAGGGTGTCCAGACCAGTGGGGAGCAAGCTTGTACTCACAGGGGTTTGGGAATGGAGGGGGGGCCCTGGTGGGTGTGGTGAGCTGAGCAGTCTTGGAGGACTTCCTGGAGGAGTTGGTGGTGGTGCAGCTGGGCCAGGCTGGGGGATGGAGGGTGGGGGGAGCAGGGCTCCTCCTGGTATCCCCACTGCAGGGTCTAGCCCACGCTCTGGGACCTGGACATTATCCCCGAAGGCTCACCTCACCCTCCCTCTTCAGCGCCAACATTCTTAAGGGAGCTCTCAGATGAGACTGTGGTCCTGGGCCAGTCAGTGACTCTGGCCTGCCAGGTGTCAGCCCAGCCAGCTGCCCAGGCCACCTGGAGCAAAGGTAAGAAGCTGTCTGAGGGGCTGGGGGCCAGGCAAAATCGGGTGAGTGGCCATTGCTGGCCCCACAGGATGCCTTGCTATCTGGAGGGAAACTGAGACCAGGGAGAGGCGTGGGGCCTGGCCGTGGCATGAGGCTCACTGTGTCCTGTTGCAGACGGAGTCCCCTTGGAGAGCAGCAGCCGCATCCTCATCTCGGCCACCCACAAGAACTTCCAGCTTCTGACCATCCTGGTGGTGGCAGCTGAGGACCTCGGTGTGTACACCTGCAGCGTGAGCAATGCACTGGGGATGGCAGCCACCACGGGCGTCCTCCGGAAGGCAGGTGCGTGAGCTGCACTGGGCGTCCTGCCGGGCCAGGCCAGCGGGGCTGGGCTGGGGCTGCTGGGAAGCTGGTCCTGCATGGAATGCTTCCAGGGCTGTGCATTGGTCACTGCCGTGCCCCTCCCCCACCCTGAGCTGCCCGAGTCTCAATGGGGCCAGGTACCACACATGGCCAGGGCCCCAGGAGGCCTGAGAAGGTCAACACAGAGGTCTGAACGCACGGGCTGCCCTGGGCTGGTAGCCGGCCCCGGGAAAAACAGCCGGACGCAGCTGCTGGCCATACAGGGCTTGGAGGGAAGCTGCTGGGCCACACTCCCCACCAGGGAGAACGCCCGCTGACCGCTCACTGGGAGAACTGAGTTTCTCTGGCACAAGATTCCTCGCTCCACCTTCCCACGTTCCTTCCACGCCCATCCCTCCAGCCCAGGCTGGATGGGCTGCTTCCCGTTCTCTCTCAGTCAAAGCACAGTTCCCTGGGGTGTTTCTGAGGTGCTCAGGACGGGGGGCTACAGGCCTAGCTCTGGGATGCCCAGCCCAATGCCCGGGGTGGGGGCACCTGCCTGAACCTGTGCTGGGCTGACCTGGGAAAGCCGAGCAGTTGCACCAGGGCCCCTCTGACCACAGCCTGGGCCCGTGCACAGTGTTCTGGTCACACCCAGGTGAATGGGCAGGCCTGGCAGGGCAGCCCCTCGCCAGGAGAGGCCCCTCCTACCAGTACCTCACTGTGACTGGATCCTGAATGAACAGGACCAGGGAGGGTGGGCTCCAGAGGCCTGGTAGCTGCCAGGATGAGGCAGGGGCCAGCCAGGGAATTGCCCCTGGAGGCCTGGTGCACACTCGGGAGTCACTGATGGTGGGCAGCACCTTACAGAGCGCCCCTCGTCCTCGCCATGCCCGGACATTGGGAAGGTGTATGCGGATAGGGTGCTGCTGGTTTGGAAGCCCGTGGAGTCCTATGGCCCTGTCACCTACATTGTGCAGTGCAGCCTAGAAGGTAAGGGACGGTCCCTGCGACTGGGCCTCCCAGGGCCCAGAGGCTCCAGCCGCCCATCCCGAGGGCCATGACTAGGGGCCCTTGGGGAGGTGCCTGGCCGCCTCTGCTCTGTGGGTGGCTTCAGGGAAGGGTTTTTCCACCTGCCCTGACATGGTGTGTGGAGGCCTCAGCAGCCCCTCACATGCTCCTGTGTGGCCAGGTGGCAGCTGGACCACACTGGCCTCTGACATCTTCGACTGCTGCTACCTGACCAGCAAGCTCTCCCGGGGCGGCGTGTACACCTTCCGCACGGCCTGCGTCAGCAAGGCAGGCATGGGCCCCTACAGCAGCCCCTCGGAGCAAGTCCTCCTGGGAGGGCCCAGCCACCTGGGTGAGCCACACCACACTCGGGGCTTTCGAAGTGGGAACAGCAGCTGAAGAGCCAGCACATGTTCCTGCCTGCTCAGGGTCTCCATAGCCGTCCACTTCCTTCCGGGAGAGAGCTGCTCCTGGGCTTAGCATTCGAGGCCTACACACTCCAGGGACCACCTCGCCCCCTAGGCCCCCCTTCACTCACCTGCAGTCCTGCACACTTGCTGGCGAGCACACAAGTCCATTCTGCTTCATGCTGAGTATCGGTAGTGACGGCCCATGCTGCCTCTAGCTTTGGTGGAGGAGCGCTGGGGTTGATTAGTAATGTCTGCCCTGGGCTTAGGACCGGGAGAGAGGGCATGATTGCCATAGGCGGTCCATTCTCAAACCCCCCTGCAGCCCTCACACCCACCCTCACTCAGGTTGGCTCTCACTACTTGCGGTACCCCCTCTCCCTCTCCCTGTACCCACACCCCCAGAACCTCAGGACAAGAAATGTGTAGGAGCTCGAACAAGCCCCACTTGGCGGGACACAGTGGCTCACCCAGTTTGGGAGGCTGAAACAGGCAGATCACCTGAGGTCAGGAGTTCGAGACCAGCCTGACCAACATGGAGAAAACCCGTTTCTACTAAAAATATAAAATTAACCCGGTGTGGTAGCGAATGCCTGTAATCCCAGCTACTCAGGGAGCCCTGGCAGGAGAATTACTTGAACCTGGGAGGTGGAGGTTTCAGTGAGCCGAAATCACACCATTGAACTCCAGCCTGGGCAACAAGAGTGAAACTCTGTCTCAAAAAAAAAGAAGCCCCACTTGTCAGGGTGCCTGGGAAGGGGTCACTGGAGAGGTGGTGAGAGCTGGGGCTATGGAGACACCCCTCCACCCCCTCTAATCACCCGTCCCTCCTCCCGCAGCCTCTGAGGAGGAGAGTCAGGGGCGGCCAGCCCAACCCCTGCCCAGCACACAGACCTTCGCATTCCAGACACAGATCCGGAGGTGCACGGGCCTTGGGGGCTACAGGCGGGTGGAGCAAGGGCTTGGACTCCCCTTGCTGGGTACACCTACCTTCTCACTGAGCTGGGTTTCTGCTGTTCTGAGTGTTGGGGATGGTGGGGGGGTAGGGGACCACCCACCAGCCCAACCTCTGTTCCCTTGAGCAGGGGCCGATTCAGTGTGGTTCGGCAGTGCTGGGAGAAGGCCAGTGGGCGGGCACTGGCTGCCAAGATCATCCCCTACCAGCCCAAGGACAAGACAGCCGTGCTGCGTGAATACGAGGCCCTCAAGGGCCTGCGCCACCCGCACCTGGCCCAGCTGCACGCAGCCTACCTCAGCCCCCGGCACCTGGTGCTCATCTTGGAGCTGTGCTCTGGGCCCGAGCTGCTCCCCTGCCTGGCCGAGAGGTGAGGACAGCCTGGGCTGGTGTGGCTGAGCCGATGCATGGTCTGATGGACTGTTGGATGCAGGCCTCTGGGGTGGGGCAAGGGGACCAGGCCCCTCTGCACAGCCAGCACCCCTTATAGCCCACGGGGTGTGGCCTCCACCCCGAAGTCTGGGCTGAGCAGTGTCTGCCCCACCAGGGCCTCCTACTCAGAATCCGAGGTGAAGGACTACCTGTGGCAGATGCTGAGCGCCACCCAGTACCTGCACTCCCAGTGCATCCTGCACCTGGACCTGAGGTCCGAGAACTTTATCATCACCGAATACAACCTGCTCAAGGTCGTGGACCTGGGCAATGCACAGAGCCTCAGCCAGGAGAAGGTGCTGCCCTCGGAGAAGTTCAAGGACTACCTAGAGACCATGGGTGCGTGTGTGGGCAATTAGGGGACCTCACCTGGGGGGCAGCAAGAAGCACCCTCCCCTCCAGTGCGGTCCACCCCTCCCAGGTCCAGCACCACCCACCCAGCTTTGCACCTGGCCCACACACCTGTGCCCCCACCTGAGCCCAATCACATGTGCTCCTCCCAGCTCCAGAGCTCCTGGAGGGTCAGGGGGCTGTTCCGCAGACAGACATCTGGGCCATTGGTGTGACAGCCTTCATCATGTGAGTCCTCCAACTTGGCTGGGGCTTGTTATGTGGGCGGGGCAGGCTCCCCCATCCACCAGAGGATGGGGTCCACCTCTGGACCCCTGCACCCCGTCCACCCGAGGGTGACCTCATGGCCCCTGCACCCCCATCCACCGGAGGATGACCTCAGTGCACCTGCATCCCCTCCACCTCCGCCCTGGTCTGCCCGAGGGTGACCTCAGGGCCCAAGCACCGCCACCACCCACACAGGCTGAGCGCTGAGTACCCGGTGAGCAGCGAGGGTGCACGCGACCTACAGAGAAGCCTGCGCAAGGGGCTGCTCCGCTTGAGCCGCTGCTACGCTGGGCTGTCCGGGGGCGCCGTGGCCTTCCTGCGCAGCACGCTGTGCGCCCAGCCCTGGTAAGGCGCGATCCACCTCGCCTCCCCCTCTCCCCTCCCCTTCCTCCTCTCCTCTCTCCTCTCTTTCTCCCTCTCCCTCTCCCCTTCCCCACTCCGCTACCGCTGCTCGGCTGAGCCTCTGTCCCCCCCAGGGGCCGGCCCTGCGCGTCCAGCTGCCTGCAGTGCCCGTGGCTGACAGAGGAGGGACCGGCCTGTTCGCGGCCCGCGCCCGTGACCTTCCCTACCGCGCGGCTGCGCGTCTTTGTGCGCGAGCGTGAGAAGAGACGGGCGCTGCTGTACAAGAGGCACAACCTGGCCCAGGTGCGCTGAGGGTCGCCTATCCCCGCCCACCTCGCTGCAGACGCGCCAATAAAAACGCACAGCCGGGCGCGGAGCCTCCGTCTCCAGGCGTCATTTTATTCTGGAGGGGGGCGGTGGGGGCTCTGCCCGGTCCTTCCGGCCACGTCTGGGCCTGCGGGCCGCGGAGATGGCGTCCTCGAGGTTCGCTCCCTCCCTCCGCTCCTCCGCGCGCTCTTCCCCGCAGGGCGTCTCCATCTTCACACCCGTGTGCGCGTTTATTCCACCCGCCGTGCGCCTTCGCCTCCTCCACCACGCGGGCCTCCAGCCCGCGCCCCGCCGCCGGTTTCCAGAACTTCTCCGTCGCAGACGGTGCCCTAGGGAGAGTTCTTGGGCAAAGCGTGTGAGCGAGGGCGGGAGCCGCGGGCCACGATCCGCTGGCGCGTGGCCTCTGTGAAAAGCAACCCCGTTTTCCAGATTCCAGGGGCAACGCCTGTGCTGGCCGAGCCCCGCCCGGCCCCTCGCCAAGAGTGCGGGAGGACTGGGGGTGTCGCTCAAAGCTCCTGAGCGTCCTTTCCCCCATCTCCTTTGACGTGGGAAAGAAAGGGAAGCTGAGACAGGTGCAGCCCGGGAGACCTGGGAGCTGGCAGGCAGGGCCTTCTCCCCTCGCACATAAAAGCCTCTGCAAAGGTCCCTCAGACCTGTGTCTAAGCGCAGACGGCTAGGAGGCTGCCGGAACCCTCTTGGCTCAAACGGTTTGTGCTGACTCCTGGCCAGCTTACATTCATGGGGGCATCCAGTGATGGAGTTGTCCTGGCTCTGACAACATGCAACCCAGATGAGGCCCAGTTGTTTTAAACGCCCCTTTTAATCATTTAAACACTAGCCGGGCGCAGTGGGTCACGCTTGTAATCCCAACACTTTGGGAGGCCAAGGTGAGTAGATCACGAGGTCAGGAGTTTGAGACCAGCTTGGCCAACGTAGTGAAACCCTGTGTCTACTAAAAATACAAAAATTAGCCGGGCATGGTGGCACGTGCCTGTAATCCCAGCTACTTGGGGGGCTGAGGCAGGAGAATCACTTGAACCTGGGAGGTGGAGGTCATGGTGAGCCGAGATCATCCACTGCACTCCAGCCTGGGCAACAGAATGAGACTCCATCTCAAAAAAAAAAAAAATCACCCAAACAAGAGCCCAAGTCCCATAGTCAGCTCTTCATAGTGCCGCCCTCTTCAGGAGCAGCCCAGGGTTCCCAGGTAAGGGTGTGTTGTCGGACGACAGCTTCGTTCCTGGGGGCTGGGGCTACAGGGTGTGGACAGAGTCGCTACCCTCCTGGTTCTCAGCCCATCTCAGGGGCCCAATGACAGCCACATGTTGATGGGTCCAGTCTGCAGTGTCCAAATGCTGGACGCCTCCCCTGGAATCTTACTAAGGCCAGGACACTTGGAATTGAAATTCAAGCATCGGCCAGGCAGTGGCTCAGGCCTGTAATCCCAGCACTGGGAGGCTGAGACAGGAGGATCATTTGAGCCCAGGAGTTCAAGACCAGCCTAGGCAACACAGGGAGACCTTGTGTCTACAAAAAAATAAAATAATTAGCTTGGTGTGGTGGTGTGCGCCTGTGGTCCCAGCTACTCGGGAGGCGAGCCCAGAGGTCACGGCTACAGTGAACTGTGATTGTGCCACTGCACTCCAGCCTGGGCCACAGAGCAAGAACCTGCCTCTAAAAAGAAAACGAATCCAAACATCTACCTTGAACTGACTGCCCTCACTCCCTCTGTCCCCAAAGTGCCCCGACTTTACCTTCCTCCTCGTTTATGACCTAGGAGAGTCAGTGTGACACCACTCCACACATCAGCAAGGGTACAGGCACCATGCACTCACTTTCCCACGGTGCTGATGTACAGGGCGGGGGTGCAGGGGGAGTCCTATCTTTTCCTCACCCATTGCAACACTCACGGATGAATACTGCATGGATGGCCCATCTCAAAGACAGGCTAACAAGATAAAGCGTAAGACACATCTATTTAACAAAAGGTTTTATGTGACAACTGAGCCTTCGGAAACGAAAATGCAAAAAAAAAAAAAAAAAAAAACCAGGCAAATGTATCTATATTTTTATGCCTGGGTTTGATGAAGAATGTACAGTCAGTGCTTTGACAAAAAGCAGGTGCAACTTCCCAAGGCCTGTTTTTGAGATTCTTGTCGGCCTCTGGAATGAGGGTCCTATGATCCGCTTTTGGGGGAGAATCCTCTTATGGCTTCCTTCAAGGGAGAAAGGCAGGAGACGGTCAGAGAGAGAGTTTCCTTCAGCTGAAGATACTTGGCATGCCAAAGTGTCACATTTTGGGGTATTGCATTCTGAGCCCCGTCACCAACCTCTCACAAAACTGTAGTACACGCTGATGATCAGGAAGACTGGTACAGTCCAGAGAGACAATTTCCATCTCCAGGAATCCCTTCTGCTGCCCAGAAAGGCACAGAAATTAGCCGCCCTCTTTCTTCCCATGGAAACGCTCCTTAACCCTGGCACCCAACAATTTGTCTGCACTAATATAATTTCGTCATTTTAGAAACGCTCTCTAAATGGAATAATCCCATATGTGGTTTTGTGCCTGGCATGATTCTCTGGAAATTCATGAAGGCTGCTGCCTGTGTCAATAGCTCATTCCTTTCTACTGCTGTGGAATAGTCCACGTTATGGATGCACCACTGTTTGTGTAACCATTTATCCATCGAAGGACATTTTGGGTTACTCCCAGTTTTGGGCCAGTACAAAGAAAGCGGATGTGAAGGTGTACAAGTTACTGTGTGACTGTCTGTCTTCATCGCTCTAAGGTAAATGACCAAGATACTGTGTGACTGTCCGTCTTCATCACTCTAGGGTAAATGACCAAGAATGCAGTGGCCGGGTCACATTGTCATTTAATCGGCCAGCTTTATGTCCTCATGGGTAGAAGATCCTGTTAAAACTTGCGCTCTGAATGAAGAGACCCCCAGACAGGCTTTGTATGAGCAACATGACTGTTTATTCCTTATTCCCCGGGGTGCAGGTGGGCTGAGGCCGGAAAGGGTGTCAGTGAAGGGTGGGGGTAGGAGTTGGTTTGATAGGTTTGTGGTGGGAAGTCACAGTTTAGGGCGTTTTTTTGCAAGCTGGGAGGGGTCGTAGGGTGTGGAGTCACCAGGTTGACCAAGGTCAAGTGTACAGTTCTGTTTTGTTAGCGACATTCACATGTGGCGCAACCGTCACCATCATTCATCTCCAAACCTCTTCATCTGGCAAAACTGAAAACTGTCCTCATTAAGTCCCATTCTCGGCCAGGCGTGATGGCTCACACCTGTAATCCCAGCACTTTGGGAGGTTGAAGCGGGTGGATCACCTGAGGTGTTCGAGACCAGCCTGGCCAATATGGCAAAACCCCGTCTCTACTAAAAATACAAAATGAGCCGGGCGTGGTGGCGCGTGCCTGTAATCCCAGCTACTGGGAGAGCTGAGGCAGGAGAATTGCTTGAACCCAGGAGGCAGAGGTTGCAGTGAGCTGAGATCACGCCACTGCACTCCAGCCTGAGTGACAGAGCCAGATTCTGTCTCAAAAAAAAAAAACCACTTTGATGATCCCAAGGATTTTAGAAGTTATGAGCTAGTAACTGGGTGAAACCAATATGTATCTATAACATCACAATGAGCTACTATCTAGGAAACAAAAGGCAAAATTGACCACTGGTACACTTATAATCATAGTAGAAGATTTTAACATACTGTTTAGAAATCAGTAGGTTAGGCCAAGCATGGTGGCTCTCATTTGTAATCCCAGCATACTGGGAGGCCAAGGTGGGCAGATAACTAGGTCAGGAGATTGAGACCAGCCCGGCCAACACAGTGAAACGCTGTCTCTACTAAAAATACAAAAATGAGCTTGGCGTGGTGGCAGGTGCCTGTAGTCCCACCTACTTGGGAGGCTGAGGCAGGAGAATCACTTGAACCCAGGAGGCAGAGGTTGTAGTGAGCAGAGATTGCACTGCTGCACTGCAGCCTGGGGGACAGAGCAAGACTCCGTCTCAAAACAAAAAAAAAAAAAAGAAAGAAAAGAAAAATAAATCAATAGGTCAGATGTATAAAATAAATCAATTTCTGTAACTACTGACTGCATCACTGGGAACGTTTATGTGATAGGAAGATGCGTAGGTATGAAGGATACATATGACTTTCAGATATCCAGAGGCCATCCACGTGAACAACCACGCATTGGGTCAAAATCCTCTCAAAGCGGAGGTCATACAGTCCACATTTCCTGGCCACTGTGAAATGACATTACTCACTGTCAGTCAAAGAATAAACAGCAAGTTAGAGCTAGCCACCTGGACATTTTAGAAAACATCCTAAATAATTTCTCCATGAAATCGGACAAGCAAACTCATAATTAATTTTAGAGGCACCCTAAGGAGGAATGGGGGAGGCTGGCAGCAAAGGACATTCGTTTATTTCCCCAGCTCCATGGATTCTTAGGTCAATGTTGGGGAAATTATTTATTCTGGTCCTATGTTTCCTTTGCTAACATGGAAAGATCACTATAGAACACAGAACATTAAATTAAAAATGTAAGTTTTTTAAATCATACCATGCAAATATTTTACAACCATTGGTACCTTAGAAACAAATGCAGGCCTATCTCTAGACCCTGCATTCTATAGTGAAAGGTTGATGTGTCTTCAACCCAGATGTTCATGCTCATGTGCAGAAAAGGATACTGGCATCTTGGGCACCTGGGCTAAGAGGTAAGATAGGTATATATATATATATATACATACACATACAGATATAAAGATATGATAGAGATATAAAGATACAGAGGCAGGTAAATATAGAAATGATAGATGACAGCTATGACAGAGATCTAGAAGACAAATAGACGGATGATACAGGTTGAGACAAATATATATGGAAAAATAGATGCAGTAGATAGATACCTACAGATATATAAATGGATTGATAGAGATAGAAGATGGACACAGAGAGAGATATAGATAGATGGGTATAAAATATTACAGATAGAAGAGCTAGGTATAGAGAGAAGACAGAGGCAGAGTTAGATGATAT